GCCTCGTAGTAGTAGTTTGTACTCTGAAATGAACGAGACTCAGTTTGCAAGGACAGAGGGCCATACAGATATGACATACATACCTTAAAGCCCCGGTGTCCGTTTGCACAGGTTGCTGCAGAACGTGGTCGAGGAGATGTGTGACAGTGAAGTCAGGCAAGGCATGCAACCAGCAAAGACAGGTGTTGAATGATAGGCGGAGGCATCGAGGCGCCAAACCTGACAGGCGCGAGCCTGTGTGATGGGTCGTTGAGTCTTCTCACCAAGTTTCGCGCAGCTGCTCATAACGGTGCTGCAAGTGGACTTGATAAGAAGGGTGGTTTGGTGTCGGTGCAGTGGTGCGGTAGTGCACAGCCACTGCCGCACCCAACAACAGAATTGCCGCACCGTGCCGCATCACTGCCGCACCCATCAAGTACATATATCACTGTAGTACCACTGTTAGCCTTACACAAACACCTGGAATATAGTATTACTTATTCTTAAATCATATTTCAGACAGTTGCGTACGACGCAGACGTATTGTAGAGGCATATAAGACATTATTGAGTAGGGTGCAGCAGGGTGCGGCACAGATGCGGCAATTTCCTAAGGCCCGTGCCGAAGCCGCTTCCGTAAGCAAATGGTTAGTATCGCTTTAACCTGCAGAAGAGCTTATAGCATCACTCACGAGAAGCACCGTTCAGATGAGCCCAGTGCACAATCACTAGCAATCAAAGGATGCCTGGTGTGGTTGGGAGAAGAGGAAGTTGGCCCTTTTCGTTCAAACCATCTTTTAAGGTGCGTTCCACGCGTCATCCTCGTGTTCGCTTCACAGCTTCAGTGCTGTGTAAATCAAAGAACTTGCGGTGTAAGGCATGATGGACCGGGCCGCCCACCATCAAGTGAGTGACGCCGTCCTACCGTTTTGTACAATCGCACTGTCTCGGACGCTGATGCCATTCATATATAGTCCTGAATCTGGGCGTCTGTTTCGTGATCAAATTTCAGATAAGATCTTGGTCTGCTTGTCACGTCACCACAGAACCATGTCAACCGATCTGTGGGAACCACATCATCCGTTCTTGGCTCAGCTACCCAGTAAACGGTGTTCTACTCTTTTCAAGACGGGCACCCATGAGTCAGTGATGAACATCGAACACTGGGAGTTGATTTGGAACGTTCCATAACGGTGCTGCTCAGTCGGTCGAAGCACTTTTGAAGGTAGATCTGCTTGCTTTTTACCACTCTGTCGTCGCATCAATGCCCGCTGCAGGCCGTAGACAATTAAATGATATAGTGGAAACTCGCTGCGAGATCACCGTAGCGTGTTTAAACCATCCGGGAAGCATGCAGGAAATGCAGTTGGGAGGAAGCATATGCGCAGTTGTGTGATGGAACGACCAAGTCCAAGACGAGATGTACATACTTACTACTTACCAAGTGCCCAATGAGTACATGTGGACGGGATGGCAGCACCAGGATATGTTTCTAGCGAGTGCTTGACATTAACACCCGCAGCTTCATGACATAGGGTTGAAACCACTGGCAACCCGATATTGAGGAGGTCATGGAAATCAAATATGTATATACTCTCGGCGTGAACAAAGATACAACAATAATTACAAAAGAGCCAGATGTAAGGGTCAGATAGGTGTCCATATGCTGCAATGTCAATGTCCATCTACATGCGGGGGAGATGCACAACAGAGAAAAAGAACGAAACGAGTCCGCAATGGAAGGGGCTGTGGCTGCGCGGCTGCTGCACCTGGAGCGGTAGGATGAGTATCAGGAGCAGTAAGTGTCGTGGACATCGAGGCGGCGGCTGGCTGGGTATGCAGTAACGGTGCCTGGGTCTGCGATTGATCTTGCTGCTGCTGTTGTATTGTTTGTGCATCGCCATCGTGTTGAGGAGATGCACAGCAGAGAAAAAGCACGAGATGGGCCAACATTCGGGCGGGAAGTGAATACGAAGGTTTTTCGCCTGGTATGGTATTACCATTAATAGGTTGAGTGTGTGGATGATCTGGTGGCGACCGCTGAGCAACAAATAAAACCTGCATGGGGATCATCAGACATCACAAATTGACATAATGAAGATATACATACCTCCCTGTCCCGCATTGGAGCTACCTCGACGACATGAGGACGGCATGGGCGTTGCGGGAGTTCGATTTCTTCGTTGGTGTGAGGTTGAGAGCGGAAGAGTCAGGACAGACGACCGATGAGTGCATCTGGACGTAAACCCGAATATGTTGTGGGATGAGGTTCGGTTTCTTCGTCGGTGTTGAGTCGAAAACGGGGTAAACGTGAGGACAGTCGAGCGAGGAGCACATATGGATCTAAACGCGAAGGCGTGAAGGGTTGCTGTAGATCATCTGCTGCATCATTTTCAGGTGGTGAACGGTGAACGAGTGATGAAAGGCGAGCGAGGAGCACACGTGGATGGAACCTGGAAGGCATTGGGGGTTGGGAAAGTTCGGTCGCTTCAGCATTGTCGTATCGAAGGCGGTGGAGGAACGAGGAAATGCGAGCGAGGAGTGCACTTGCAGAGGAATGAGGGTGGGCACCTGTTTCGGAGGACTGAGAGCACAAAGATCAGGATACGAACTAAGTAATAGAAATGCCGATAACGAACATGGACCTCGGCTTCCATGCTGTCAAAAAATCTAGGTGGGTATTCATCGACATGACCCCCGAGCTCGTCGTGACATCGCGTAGCATCAACCTGCAATGTAAATGTCATGACCACTGAGCAGGTTCACAAACATTGCACGTACTTCCAAAAATGACTTGTCACTGAGTGAAGAGCGGGGGGTTCGCTCTATTCCTGGGTTGCCTTGAGATGCCTTCTGTTCGAGTCTGTATTTTGGCCCCGGGTGCCTATCAGCGGACAATATCGGTGTCAGGTGAGAGAGAGACTGGGTGAGGTATTGACACTCACAATATTGCTACCAGCGTCTTCCGCTTGCAACTATCTTATTGTTTGGAGACAATGTCATGGACCACATTCCTGCTACTCTCATCCCACCAGTCTTCACCTATCTGTGCACGGCTCTCTAGGTCCCATAACCGGAGTGAGGCGTCATGCGAACATGTGATTATCCGTCGTCCGCCGGGCAGATGGACGATACCATCTACCCAGCCCGTATGACCTCGCATCGTCCAACGTGGCCTGATCGCTGGCTTCTTACTGGTTGAGGAAGACATGGTCGGCGCTGAGAGTTCCAAGTTCTGCAGATCGCAGACTATCTATGTGAGAGAAGTCCGCTGCGATTTTTCAATAAGACCGGGTTATCGGATGGTAATGGTTGCTGCCGAGTCCAGGAGCCTACATCTTTCATGCACGTTAACACTTGTCAAAAGCACAGAAGCCATTGCCCACGAGACAAGCCTACTCACGGAAAGCCAGTCCTCTCCTGGAAGACAGCTTCGGGACTGTATATCCAGGATTTGCTGCGCTGTTATTCTTTAACCTGCAGAAGAGCTTATAGTATAACTCACGAGAAGCACCGTTCAGACGAGCCCAGTGCTCAATCACTAGCGATCAAAGGATGCCTGGTGTCTGGTTGGGAGAAGGGGAAGTTGGCCCTATTCGTTCAAACCATCTTTTAAGGTGCGTCCTATGCATCATCCTCGTGTTCGCTTCACAGCTTCATTGCTATGTAAACCAAGCGCTCAGGTCTACGACCGGCACTATGTGCATCTTTTACACAAGGGACTTCATGCTGGTGACAGAGTTCGACGGGAGCCACATTTCCCCTCTACTTGGATGTTTCTTCTGGCCAATTTTCGAACGTCAAATATTCTGCATGTTTTGCAGGCCGTGCAGTATGCCGTCACGGTTCACCCGATGCTATACTCGGAAGCCTGCTAGAACTTGCGGTGTAAGCCATGATGGACCGTATCGCAACTGCTGTGTTGAGGCTGTCAAGAAGAGGGGCAGTACCACCTTCACTTGCTAATTCCGCTTGTCGCATGCTCTCCGCGTTGCCATCTTATCCCGCTCCCACCCTAAATGGATGTCATTGATGGACCAGCAAGAGACATCAACACAGGTATGGTTGGGATTCGGAAACAGAATCAACACCGAACGCTTGCGGCTTATTCGGTAATAAAGAGGGCTAGCTTAAAGAGGGCGAGCTGCGGAGGGTCTGAGTTGTGCATGGTGGAACAATTTCTGTCAGAGACGCCTGTGATAACATTTCGCTCGCTCACCAAAGTTGGACTCCAGTAAAACAAGAAACTCTTATTTTTCAGCACCGCGTCGCACGCGACGTATGCTTCTTTAGCCCAATTTGCACGAAAAAATACAACGGACGGTTGCAACGCAGACAACGGGTGAAGACGTTTTAGTTGCACAGCGTGTAAAGGTCCCTTGGTAACACTCTTGCAGACACATCATGGAGTGCTCGTGCACTCAGAGTAAATGATATAGCGGAAAATTGCTGCGAGACCACTATAGCGTGTTGAGACTATCCAGGCAGCATGCACGCCATGCAGGAAATGCAGTTGGGAGGGTGCGTATGCGCAGTTGTGTGATGGAACGATCGAGTCCAAGACGGGATGTACATACTTACTACGTATCAAGTGCCCGAGGAATAGATGCGGACGGGATGACTGGCGCACCAGATGTGCAGCAGCAGGACATGTTTCTAGCGAATGCTTCAGATTAACGCCGCAGTTTCATAACAGTGGGTGGAAATCAGCCCGACATCGAGGAGGTCGTGGAAATCATGTATACACTGTCGGCGTGAAAGAAACAACAGTGATTACGAAAGAACCAGATGCAAGGGTCAGATGAGTGTCCATATGCTGCAATGTCAATGCCCATCTGCATGCGGGAGAGATGCACAACAGAGAAAAAGGACGAAACGAGTTCGCAATGGAAGGGGCCGTGGCTGCGCGGTTGCTGCACCTGGCGTGGTAGTATGAGTATCAGGAGCAGTAGGTGTCGTTGACGTCGAGGGGGCGGCTGGCTGAGTCTGCAGTGACGGTGCCTGGTTCTGCGATTGGCCTTGCTGCTGCTGTGTTGGTCGTACATTGCCATCGTGTTGAGAAGATGCACAGCAGAGAAAAAGAACGAGATGTGCCAGCATTCGGAGGGGTAGTGAACGCGCAGGTCTTGCACCTGGTATGGTATTACCATTCGGCTGAGTGTCAGGAGCAGGAGTAGGAGTGGGAGCGGGAGCGGCAGCGGGAGCGGCAGCGGGAGCGGCAGCAGGAGGTGCCGTGGAAGTTGAGGCGGCAGCAGGCTGAGATTGCGATGACGACGACTGAGCTTGGCCTTGTGGTTGGGCCTGTGTTTTTTTTACCTGCGGCGGAGCAACATATAACGCCTACGCAGAAATAATCAAGCCTCAGTTGTTGGAAACGCACCCGAACAAAGACGTACCTGTTTGTCCCGCACCGCAGCAACTTCGACGACACGAGAGCCGCTATGAGAGAAGATAGACCGCCTTGGACGTTGCTGAAGTTCGGTTGCTTGATTAATGTTAGAGGGAGAGCGGCGAAGGAGCGTTGAAAGGCGGCTGAGGAGCGCATTCCTCGAAGAGTGTGCGAGAGGGCGGCGGCGGGCAGAGGAACGGTATTGGTTACTGTATGCTGTGGAGGACTGAGATCAAGAGGTCAGAATAAGAACTGATTGAGAATGGCTAACGACGCACATAAACACCGGGTCGTCCACCATCAAAAAAGTCTGGTGGTAGTTCATCGTCCTGGCCATGCGTGGCATTGGCCTAAAATGCAGATGTTACAGTGATCGAAAGGTCAAGAAATATACCACATACGTCCATCAACTCTATGACCTGAAAAGAGGATATGTATTGTGATCACCTTTACCGAAGAGCCATGGGATTTAAACTCACGTCAGGAACGGGCACGTCGGGCAGTAGGTCTTCAAGGCCAGTTTCTTTGAGGATGGTGTGAATATCCCATGTGTACACTTTTCCGTTTTTGCAACCAGTGACTAGCGTTTTTCCATCAACGGAAAGGGCTACGGAGAGCAAGCTATCTTCATGCTGGAGGGGTTGTCCGATCTGGAGATTGGTGTCGAGATTCCATAGACGCGCTGTTTTATCAAATGATGCACTTGCAAGGAAGCGGTTGTTTGAAGACAAGGAGATGACGTCAGCACTGTTTGTGTGACGTTTAAGAACGGCAATCTGCCGCCAAGTGACTATGTCGAATATGCTGATCACGCCTAATGAACCGGAGATAAGCTTCTTTCCGTCCGATGTCCAGGCCAAGCTCCAAACTATGGAATCGTGTTCGAGTGTGGTGATCAACTTGCCCGTCTTGCTATCCCAGATGTTGGCTACACCCGGCTGGCCGATTGTCATTTCTTTGTATCCGCCTGTCGCAATATGTTTGTTATCGGGGGAGTACATCACCGTCCGCACCCAATTGTATCCGGTTTTGATTGTCAGGACAGTTTCACCGCTCTCGACATCCCATACTCTTGTTGTCTTATCCCAGGATCCACTCGCTACTCGCTTGCCATCTGAACTCCAGCACAATGTACACACAATTCCCCTGTGTCCCGTCCATTTGGTGATGGCCTTCCTCGTCTCGACGTTCCACAACCCCACTGTCCAGTCGCTGCTTCCGCTTGCAACTGTCTTGGCGTTTGGAGACAATGCCATGGACCATATTTCTGCGTTACTCTCATTTCTCCAGTCCTCACCTATCTGTGCACCGCTCTCTAGGTCCCATAATCGGAGTGAGCCGTCATGCGAACATGTGATTATGTGTCGTCCGCCGGGCAGATGGACGATACCATCTACCCAGCCGGTATGAGCTCGCGTCGTCCAACGTTGCCTGATCTCTGGCTTCTTACTGGTGTAGGAAGACATGGTCGGCGCTGGGAGTTCCAAGTACTGCAGATCGCAGACTATCTATGTGAGAGAAGTCCGCTGCGATTTTTCAATAAGCCCGTGTTATCGGATCGCAGTGGTTACTGGCGAGTCCAGGAGCCTACTTCTTTCACGTTAACACATGTCAGAAGCACAGAAGCCATTGCCCGCGAGACAAGCCTACTCACGGAAATCCAGTCCTCGCCTGGAAGACAGCTTCGGGACTGTATATACACGAGTTGCGCCGTTATTTGAGAATCTGCAAGAGATCTTTGAGGTCTGGTGGGTATCCGAAGCCGCTGGTAAGAATATGGTCAGCTTTAAGCTGCAGAAGAGCCTAGAGCGTCACTCACAAGAAGTACCGTTCACACGAGCCCAGTGCTCAATCACCAGCGACCAATGGATATCTGGTTGGGAGAAGGGGAAGTTGGGCGCCCGTTCGTTCAAACCATATTTTAAGGTGCGTCCCATACGTTATCCTCGTATTCCCTTCACAGCTTCATTGCTGTGTAGACCAAGCGCTCAGGTCTGCGACCAGCACTATGTTTATCTTATACGCAAGGGACTTCATGCTGGCGACAAAGTTCGACGGGAGCTGCATTTCCCCTCCACATAGATATTTCTTCCAACCTAAATTCGATCTTAATATCGTCAAATCTTCAGCATGTTTGCACGTTTTGCACGTTTTGCAGCATGCCGTCATCCGATGCTGTATTCGGAAGCCTGCTAGAACTCGCACTGCCCATATTCTCAGGTTAGCCATGATGGTCAGCAGGATTTGGACCGCATCGCAACTGCTGTAGTTGAGGCTGCCAAGAAGATGGGCAGCACCACCTTTACTTGCTAATTCCGCTTTGTCGCATGCTCTGCGCGTGTTGTGATGATACGGTACTATCATGCATATCCCTACAAAATATGGCGGCCTGTGATCGCCTACCATCAAGTGAGTGATGTCGTTTTACCATTTTGTGCAATCGCACTTTCTCGGACGTTGATGCCCTTCATATACTGTACTGAGCCCGTGCGTCTGTTTCGTGATCAAATTTCAGATTAGATCTTTGTTTGCTTGTCAGACCGTAGTGACTTGTCGAGGCTACTGAGCACCACTCAGATGGCGAGGATAATGGAATTGTTGATGAGTCTTCAGTAGGACTGTTGTCGATGTCGCAGAAGGAAAAATGACTTCTGACACACGACAGAGCCGAGCCACAAATGTTATTTCAACTCAATATTATATTCGTAGTTAGTTTGCATGTCCTCGATAAAAACACGAGAAGTAATCCAATGTAGTGACCACGCATAAAATCTGCTGAAAGTCAATATAGATAGCATAACGCATGCGACGAGCGACAACTCAAAAACAGCCAAAACAATTTAGAAGCAGCCACATAACAAGCCAATTCTGCGCTCTCCAGTGTCGATCTGCCCTCTGGTGGATGGTTGACGTGAATCCAGTGATAGAGGGCGAGAAGGAACATAGTCTTCATCGCGTATCCAGTCCTCATTGTTTCTAGGAGCATCCGCTGAAACATCACGCTACATATGGATGCATGAGACCTCGGACACGACGAGTGAATTAACCCAGCACACCTCTTTAGCCTGCGCGAGAGGGATATCGACGACTGGCGGTAATACATGACCTTCACGAATGGGCCAAAAGGTTGATAGTTGGTGTAAGCGGGCTTTGATGGTTGTGGAGGCAGTAGCAGAGGACTGGGAGGGAAGTGGTGATAGAGTGGGTCGAGGCTGAACAAATGTCAGTCAAGAATGTTATTACGGCAACACTCACATTCTCGCGGAAATCCATATCTGAATGTCCCTGAGTTGTGGAGGGAGAGTAGTTGGGAGGTAGGGACAATGTAGCAGGGGACTGCAAGGGGATCGTCAGGTCAACTGCGGATTTGAAAACAGTTACGAAACACACATCCAGGGGATCACGGGGCTTATCGCTCAAAAGAAAACGAACCGCAGCTGTGCGGAAACGGGAGGGAAGAAGTTTGCGTAGGTAGCGAAGGACAGAGGGTTGTTGTGGGTGTGTTGGAGGCAGACGTGGGATGGAATATATGGCAGGCAATGTCACTGGGTTACGACGTTTCACGTTAGGATATGTTGCGTTGGACTACAATAATGTCATTGATGGAATGTGTAGATGAATAGCAGAACTTTTAAGAACTAGACAGTGTTAGACCTCAGTCCGATGAAAGAGACTGATATTAATGTACCTAGACAGTGTTAGACTATGGTACATGTTAGTATAAGTACGGGCGGGAATAAAACAGACAACGTACCCTCAGTCCGATGAAAGAGACTGAGGGGATAAGTATGTCTGCGCGGGTCTACTATATAGGGAATGAGTTGGTATTCCAATGACATATTCCCGCGGTTGTCGTCGTCATAAGCTAGCTCCAACACTCCTCCTCGACGAGAACCGTCTAAATCTCCTCCTCGACTGGAGCAATCATCTAAGTCCGAGTGCGTCTCGTAGCCGTTGAAAATCGCGTTTTGGGAGTGCTTTCGTGAAGACGTCGGCTGTATTGAGTTTGGATTGAACGTATTGTAGTCGGAGGTGTTTCTCGTGTACGCGATCCCGAATGTAGTGGTATTTGATATCGATATGCTTCACACGGGCATGGAATGAAGGATCCTCAGATAGGACAATGCTCCCGCTGTTGTCGCATAGAAGGGGGGATGCTGATGTTTGTGAGAATCCGAGACCGAGTAGTAGAGCTCGTAGCCATACGACCTCTTGAGTAGCTTCGCATGCGGCGATGAATTCGGCCTCGCTGGTGGAAAGGGATACCGTCTTTTGTTGACGAGTGCACCAAGATACGACTCCGCTACCAAGAGTAAAGCAGTATCCGCCCACGGATCGACGCGTGTCCACGCAGTTCGCGAAATCACTATCGGTGTGACCCAGAAGATTGGAAGGGTGCTGGCCACCAAGGGTAAGTTTGAGGTCTCGCGTGCCCTTCAGATAGCGTACGACTCGTTTGGCCGCTTCCCAGTGGGCGTCACCGTAATTGTCGAGGAACTTACATAGCTGCTGGACCGCGAAAGTGATATCAGGACGGGTACCGATAGCGATGTACATAAGTTTGCCGACTAGTGAACGGTAGGGGGTTTTTGCCATGCGATCGCGATCCTCGTCTGATTTTGGAGAGTGGTCTTTGCGGGAAAGATGAAGGCCGGGTTCCATGGGAATGGAAACAGGGTATGCGTCCTTCATGTTGAATTGTGTGATGACCTGATCAATCAGCGCAGTTTGGGAGAGTGAAATGGTGCGTTGAGGACGGTTACGCTCGATGGCAATTCCTACGCAAAAACGAGCTTCCCCTAAGTCAGAGATTTCCCAGCGAGTACATAGTTGTGACTTGAATCGTGCGAGGGCGTGTTTGTTGCTGCTAACATTGAAAAAATCATCTACGTGGATAGCGGTGAGGATCGTGCCAAGGTCGTCCTTTCTGAAGTAGACGCAGTGTTCACATTCGAGGCGTTTGAAGCCCCAAGAGATGAGGGCAGCGTGCATAGTACGATTCCAGACTCGGCCACCTTGCTTCATGCCATAAAGCCCGCGTTGCAGCATCCATACGTGGTCCTCCTTCCCTGGTTCGATGAAGCCGTCGGGTTGGTGCATATAGCAGACTTCCTCCGGGTCGAGTAGTCCGTTCAAGAAGGCGGTTTTGACATCCAGTTGCTCGATCTCCCAGTCTAGAGATGCTCCAAGGTGGGCGAGGACTCGAAATGACTCCAGGCGTGCGGTCGGAGAGGAGGTCTTAGTGTAGTCCTGTCCGTAGACAGCTGTAAAACCTCTGCACACGTACCGTGCTTTGAAGCGGACGGGTAGTCCTTTTTCGTCGCGTTTGAGCTTGAAAACTGGTCGGCCCTTCATAATTCGGCGGCCTTTAGGGACATTGGATGCGGGGACGAGGGTATAGGTGCCAGTGCGCTTGAGAGAATCGAACTCTTCCTGTAGAGCAGCGCGCCATTGTGCGGCGTGTGGTGAGGCCATCGCTTCTTGGTAGGTGGTTGGATCGTCGGGGTGTTCGCGCTCGAAATCCTCAGGGACGGAGGCGGAGAAGGCGTCGACGAGAGATGCGAGATCGTGTTCAGTGAGGTCCACTGGGTTGGTAGGGCCATCAATATCAGGGACCTCGGTAACTGAAGGTTGCATTGCGCGCCGGCGGTCAGAGGCAGTAACATATGGGGTATCGAGGGATGCACAGAGGCGTTCAGAAGGTGGAGAGAGACGAGTGGACCTACGAGGAGGTGGTACTGGAACGGGTTCGTGTTTTGGTATACCGGGCGATGATGACGCTGATACTATACGGGTGGTACAGTCCTCCATACCTGGTGGTGTTGGTGGCAATGCGGTTGAGGCTGGTGGTACTATACGGGTAGTACAGTCCTCTGGACCTGGAGGTGTTGGTGGCGATGCGGTTGAGGTGCGGAATGGATGAGGGACTGCCTGGTGTGATTCAATGAACGACACGTGGTAAGATAAAAGAACTTTGCCGCTTGGGCGATGGTAACAACGGTATGCTTTAGAGTCAGCAGAATAACCGATTAGTACGCACTCAAGGGACCGCGCGTGAATCTTCGGGTTGTGCGTGTTCTGTATGAGAACGAAGGCGCGACAACCAATTTCCCTGAGGTGAGAGACATCGGGTTTGTGACCGGACCAGCGCTGGAAGGGTGTAAGACCGTGCTGTGACTTGACGGAGACACGATTCGATAAGTAGCAAGAGGTCACGACGAACTCATCCCATCTGTTGGGTGGAAGATTACTTGCCAAGCGCATAGCGCGTGCGCGATTCATGAGGGTGCGATGAACGCGCTCGATACGTCCGTTCTGAGCGGAGGTATATGGTGCAGTGAACTGGTGTTGAGTCCCGCGAGAGAGGAGCCACTCTCTCATCGCGGTGGACTTCAACTCACCATTGTCAGAGCGAAAAATGCCGACACGGAGGCCGGTCTCAAGCTCGCGTGCGCGTTCCCATGCTTGAAGTGCTGGTAGTGCTGCGCTCTTGGAGGATAGAGGGATTGCCCACATAAACGAAGAATAATCGTCTATTATGTCCAAAATGTAACGGTTGCCTGCTGCGGATACAGTATCGGGATGATCCATCAAGTCTACATGTACAACTCCCAATTTTCGAGTAGCGCGTGATCCCTCGCGAGTCTTCGGTACCGGTGATCTAGTCTGTTTGCCGAGGATACAATGGTCACATTTGGGAGGAAGAGCAGAGAGGTCAGCGTGCATACCGGTGACGTGGCCCGAGCGCGCCATGTCAAACACTGCACGAATGTTTGCGTGGGCGAGACGGTTGTGCCAGACACCAAGGGATGGAGTGGGTTGAGTGAACATAGCGTCGTGTGAGCTGGACGGGGTGGCCTCAGAAAGGGAGGAGGCACGTTGGTGCGTGGCATGGAGTTGTCCCCCAGAGACGCGATACAAACGACGAGAAGTAAGTGTACCGACGAGGACACGTGCCCCGCTATTGGTGGTCACCGAGCAGGAAGATGCGTCGAAGCGCGCTGTGTAGTTCCCAGTGCTACAGAGGCTGGACACGGACACAAGACGCACGGCGGCGGAGGGCACGAACAGGACGTTGTGGAGAGTGACGTGGAGACCTCGACCGATACGTAGCCTGACGGACCCGATGCCAACGGCGTTGATATGGGAGCCTCCGATACCGCGAATGGGGCGGGGGGGAAGACGATTGATTTCGTAAAAATCCGAGATCTCATGTGAGATGTGGACCGAAGCCCCGCTGTCGAGATAGAAAGGGGTAGTCTCGAGGTTGACAGGCGTGTATTTGGGCTGTTGAAGGGCGTCATTTGCGATGCCGGCGAATTCGACAATGCGGCTGTTGGTGCGCCAATCAACGGTGGCCTGGAGGTTCTCCCAATCGAGGAACATTGCGTCCCATTCCGTCAGGTCAGCATCGGATAGCTCCTGTATATGCGCTGGTGTCAACACGTCATGTGCGAGACCCGCGAATTCCTCCGAGGAGGGCGTAGGCTGCTGGGGCGTGGCTATGTAAAATGCCTCACCCGTGACACTATCCAACAGGTAAGCCCGCCCGGACGAGTCCATGCGTCGAGTAGAGGTGGGTTTAGTATTGGACACGGGGGTTGGCTTACTATTGGTGTTATCACGCTTGTCTCGTGTGGCACGCTTAGCAGCGAGAATCTCATCGCGGCGTCCATACGCAGCCCCCCCTTCAGCAAAACATTCGCTAACGACATGCCCACGTTTGGAACAGTGGGAGCAGCAATTGCCTTTGTGAGGTGGTCCTCTGCAGGTGAGGCAGTTCTTGGACCTTCCTCCTTGAGCGACGAGGGCAACGTCAGCGGACGTGCGATGCTTGTCAGCGTCGAGGAGTTGTTGTTCCATGTCAAGGCGAATACGAATGTCGTCAGGTGTGAATGGGTTGGATGATGTGCTGGCGGCGAGAGAGCTTGCAACGTGGTCGCGAACGTGTGACATGTCTCCAGTGAGGGCGTTCAACATAATGATGGAGAGGAAGACTTGTTGGGTTGGGATGCCCATGTCGAAAATAGCGCGAATGCCCTCAGTGAGGCGATGACTGGTTTCAGCGAGGTTCGTGTCTCTAGAGTAGCGTACGTTGAGCAGCTCTTGGATCTTTAGGATCTGTGCGATGGGGCCGAGCTTCTGGTGACGTGAACGTAGGGCGTTCCAGGCTACGCGAGCGTTGGTGATGCCGTCGAGGACACGTTTGTCATCGGGGGATACACGGTTGCGTAGGGCGGCGACGATTCCGGCGTTGTTTAAGTCCCAGTTTCTAGCCGCTACTGGCTCGCGTGATGCGTCTGGACGTGTGACCGTACCTGTGGTATACCCCTCAAGGAGATTCATGTGGAAAATTTCCAACATGAGTTCCGACCAGGAGGTCCAGTTATTCTTCACCCTATCAAGGAGCTCAATTTTGTCGAGGTCAGTCTTTGAGAGTCGACAGGCGGTGATGGATACCGCTGACGAGGCGTGCGTTGGGTAATACCCATATGGCGCGTGGGTGACTGTCGAGCTCGCTTGTGGTGTGATAGGTGTTATTGGGGGGTTGATGCTAACTGGTGTAGCTGGGACGTTTAGTCCAGAGGGTACGGGACCGGTTCCATCGAGTTCGGTTCTCGCACGCGTGTGAGGGGCCATGATGATGGGAAAGAGTAAGTGTACCGAAGCGACACGGCGAGGTATATATACGCGCGGTGCGCCTTGAGGATCACTCGAGGAAGTATTCCCAATAAGGGAGGATTGATGGCCCGAGCGTAACGTACGATTAGGTGTACTTGTGCACGCCGGTAGAAAACACGCGCTCAGCACCTGCTAAAGCGTCGTGTGTATATGGTCTGAGGGTGTAATAACCGTTCAGAGAGTCAGTTGCGGTCTTGGCGCGTCTAGAGGTTCTGGCTCATTATACAGAGCCAGGGCTCATAACCTTTAAGAACTAGACAGTGTTAGACCTCAGTCCGATGAAAGAGACTGATATTAATGTACCTAGACAGTGTTAGACTATGGTACATGTTAGTATAAGTACGGGCGGGAATAAAACAGACAACGTACCCTCAGTCCGATGAAAGAGACTGAGGGGATAAGTATGTCTGCGCGGGTCTACTATATAGGGAATGAGTTGGTATTCCAATGACATATTCCCGCGGTTGTCGTCGTCATAAGCTAGCTCCAACAGAACTTATGTAAGAGATCACGCACATTGAGTAGATCAGCAATGCACGGATTGTGAGGTGCGCTGGCCTGCAACAAAATGTTAGTGCACGAACGGATAGATATGATGTGCGGGGATGCGTACATTAGACAGTGCTCCTTGTCCAGGCTGGCGGATGCTAGCAAGGATGCTGGATGGAGTGTTGCATATGTAGATATTTATATCATCCCAGGTTGTGTAAGCCAGTTGGCGCGAGTCGGGTGAGATGATGATGCGGGAAGGTTTCTGAACGTCAAATGAGGCGAGGAGCTGGCGGGACTCGAAGGCCCAGAGGTTGATGGTATCGTCTTTGGAAGCGCTAGCAAGAAGAACACCATCAAATGAAAGTGTAAGACCGCAAATAACATTGGTGTGCCCTTCGAAGGGGGCTCCGACAGTCTCCAGCGTCGACGGGTCGAACTCATAGATTGTCATGGGCTCGTTTGACTCCTCCTCATTGGCAGTTTCATCCTCGAAGCTGGGCTCAGGTAAATTGCCGCATCACTGCCACAACTTGCCGCACCCTACCGCACCACTGTCGCACCCATACCAAATCATAAGTACTACACTTATTTTCGGCCTGCACTGTTCTCGTGCACCAAATAAATGAACTAGGAGTGTTTCTCGTCCGACTCCTTAATTATCCACTTCACACTAATGCATTTGAGAGTCTGAATTCAGAGAACGATTTTGAGCATGTTGCGGCACGGATGCGGTACTGGGTGCGGCAGCTTCCAATCAAGGTGAGTCTTAGTATACTGTATATATATGAGCACCTGTTGGTGGCAGGGTTATGCATAATTTAGGCTAATTACAGACATTATCGTTATGCATGGCTGTCACTAATCCCCCATCATCCTTCTTTATGCATAATGGTGCCTGCATCACACTGACCCCATAATAGGGATTTATATTCAGATTATTCTCATGCCCTACGCATTTTTGGCCACCTACCGTGGGAATTTCCCCACAACACCAAAAACATCGGCCATTTTGGGAATGTCCACAATATCAATTATTCCCACACCCTCCCCACCTCACTGCAGCTTCACCACTACACCATAATAAGTCCCCCCTTGTATCTAAGTAGTAGTTTGGTACATACATGTATAAAATAACATAATAAACCACTTTTTTTGTGTATCCATGTGACAACTCCCCCTCCAGGGCCATTTTAACATAACCTAGGTTGCAGAACATGTTCACACTTTTGCCCCTTTGATAGGGAAGTGTTCTATGGTATCCAGGACACACTTATGAGTGTATATGAAGAGATCCCCCCACATTTTTGACCACCTGAAGCGCCCTACATCATTAGATACAGCATATATACAGGAAAACACAAAATATGTTCCCATTTGTTTATTTCTAGGTGAGTAGACTTGGAAAAATTATTCCCAGCATCCATTCAACAGTAGGAATAATGTATCAGGACCTCAGGACCATAGGACAAGACCTTCTTGTGTAGTATATCCCCCCTCTCCTGGTGGTTTACCCACTGTGAAAAATTTTCCTGTAGGACCGGACCTTAAGGAGGGTGGGAGATCTCTTTCTAAGTATATTTGGAGTAGATACATCATATGGATAGCCCAGGACACACATAGGATCCTACTATAGGAACAAAACCATACAAAATCGCATTTTTGACACTTTTAATGTTTTTAAGTCCCTTACACTTGCACAAATGACTAGCCCTTCATATATAATCAGTAGTACATTCACACATATGTTCTATGCCAAGGATCAGCCCTACATAGGGCACAAATATGATATATGATGTACAGGGGGTATTTCCACTGATAAGGAGCCCACATAGTCATCAAGCCTGTGATAAGTGATCAAAGACCTGAGATATGTCCTATATATGTCCCTGATGATAGACATGAAGTTCTAGAAAGATCCATCAAGGACTGACTAAATGACAAGTAAAATCACATATGTGTGAAAAGTGACAATTGACATCTTTTCACACAAAGTTACATTTATATATGATACAGCTCAAACATTTCATTAAAAATATGTAGGATACAAGGTAGACTACTGAATGAACCTATACTACATACTGCCCTGAGGTTGAAGGGTGGTGGAAGGAATGTGGTGTATATTTGAGTTGACCCAGCATTAAAGTCCAACTACTGCCCAACTGTCCATTTTCGATGTTTTGGGTATTTGAACTTTCCCACACTCAATTCCTTATCTATTTCACTTCCTCAGGACTCAATTCTTGTTGGATTGTTCTGTACATTTAGGCCTATGATTATGAATATATTTGACATCTACTCCAGGTGTCTGATTATTAAATTTTGATGTATTAAAAGTATGGGCTCCTTATCAGTAGAAATAGCAAGCATTCACACTAACTCAAACTCCTGGCCTATTTTGAGCTGATCCTTGTCACAAAGAGCAAGTATATATACTATAATAATGATATATGAACAGGTTGTATTACTTGTGCAAGAGTAAGATACTGAAAAACATCAAAAGTGTCAAAAATGCGATTTTCTATGTTTTTGTTCCTGTAGCAGGATCCTATGTGTGTCCTGGGCCAGCTATATAATAGACCTACCTCAAATATATGTAGAAATAGACCCCTACCTCAATTGAGGTCCGGTCCTACAGGAAAAAATTTCACAGGGGGCAAATTACCAGGAGAGGGGGGGCACACCATGCAACAGGGGATTATCCTATGGTCCTGGACTCCTGATACATTGTTCCTATTGTTGAATAGATGCTGGGAATCATTTTTACAAGTCTGTTCACCCAGAAATAATTAAATGGGAGCATATTCTGTGTTTTCTTGCATATGTGGTATATCTATTGATGTAGGATGCTTCAGGGGGTCCAATAAAGATAGGAATATGCTCATATATGCTCATAAACATGTTCTGAAGATAATAGAACACACCCCTATCAAAGGGGCAAAAGTGCGAAAATGTTCTGTACCCTACCCTATGTTGAATTGCCCCTGGAGGAGGAGCAATCACACAAACAAACAAAAAAAGCGGTCTATTATATTATATTATACATATATATACTAAACTACTACTTATATATATATATAAAGGGGGAGCTATTGTGGTGTGGTGGTGAAGCTGCAGTGAGGTGGGGAGGGTGTGGGAATAATTGATATTGTGGACATTCCCAAAATGGCCGATGTTTTTAGTGTTGTGGGGAAATTCCCACGGTAGGTGGCCAAAAATGCGTAGGGCATGAGAATAATCTGAGAATATAAATCCCTATTATGGGATCAGTGTGATGCAGGCACCATTATGCATAAAGGAGGATGATGGGGGATTAGTGACAGCCATGCATAACAATAATGTCTGTAATTAGCCTAAATTATGCATAAATATGACAGCATTGCCTGATATGAGACACTAACATTCAGACTGTCTACAGCACCCACCTCGCAACGGCCTGTCTCCCTTGACAAGCTCCATATTACCATGTGCACGTCGCACCACCCCTCAATGGCACAGCCACTAATATCGAGGGATGGGCATCGATCTTTGCAGTATCACGCTTATCATTGCATCTTGAGCGAGACTCGATGTTTGCCTGAATGCTGTTGTTATACAGCCCTAGTCGTAAGGATGATTTTGGTACGTTAAAGGACTTTAATTCGTGAATTCTGCTGATTGCATCATTGTATCTTCCAGAGTTTTATCCGTCAATTATTTCGGCGCGGGACGCCATGCGAGCGTGATACAACACAACCCAATACCACAGGTGTGACCCATAGTGCCAAGGAAGGTGCGTGACCTAATGGCTGCTCAGAGACCGGGCATCCTGAATCATGGCCTCCAGCCTCCGGTTGTAATCGCACAGAAACTGTGACTGCGCAATCTCTCACTGATACTCCCAATGAACATGTTCGTGTTGATGGTAAGCATTTTTCAGCCCTTCTCTTTCACTACGCCAATTCTTTATCTGATGACTTCAGTTACCGTCCATGTTTTTGACACGCAAAATCAAAGGCTCGAGTCGCAGCACTATACCTCGAATGCTCACACCACTCCGACTGTACAACAACCACCCGCCCCATCACAGCTCGCACTTGCCAACCAACCACCACCAAATGAGGCGCGAGATCAGCCTCATGGAAATGTGCGATTTCCTATTGATGAGCCACATGGACGAAAGGCTACGCACACCTTTGCTGTCTCTGAACCAAGGGCACCTAAACCTCAGCCCCAGGTACCTACCAGTGGTAATACCGAGTGGGATGTCTGGCCTGACGGCCACATTGTGCGCACCTACTCGCATGAAGATGCCAAACGGCCCGAGGTCAACAATTTCCACGTCCACTGGGCTTGTGAGGGCGTAGGTGCTCCTCGACATAAAGGCTCACTCGATGCGTTACAGTGGCAAGACGGTGTGCGTAGTCGTAGACGTTGCCACGGTGTAATTATATGCACCAACCATGAATCCAAGGGTGGATCATGTGCCATTGTCATCCGCCCTACAACGACGAAGAAACTCATTACAAGGCAGCTTGAGACAACATGCTCGTGTGGTGCCATGCTCGTCCATAATCACTGCGGTATAATTTACGACCTTTTCAAATTTGTGGGCGGTGTGTGCTTCGTTCATCGTGGCTTTCACAACCACCTTCGCCCACCGCGACGATTGCATCTGACGAGAGTGGAATCGGATCTCTTCCAGCAAGTCATCGAGGAGCACCCCCGCATGGGCGCAACACAGCTTTTGATGGGCCGCCCAGGCATCAATGGACCCCAGGAGTCAATTGCGGTCATATCTCCAGTGCTTCTGAACACAGCCAGGGTGAACCTTGAGAGAAAAAAGGTTTTCACGATGAGCCGAGGGAAGGACATTATTGCAGAGTTCACGGAGTTCCAGCGCCAGCATCCTAATTTCGTTATTTTCCACACCTTCGATCCCGTCGCAGTTGTCATCACGCAGTCACCCACCATGTTGTCGTTTCTTGTCAAGAATCACAGTAATGGCATTATATCTGATGCTGCCCATGGGTTTTGGGCTGAGCGTAATGATCTATTAATCATAAGCTCGGTCTTCAGTGATGCTCTGCAATGCTGGGTGCCAGGTGTAATGACGTGGTCGAATGGTGGCACCGAAGCACACTACCATCATCATTTCCGTGCACTATTTGAAACAATGGCAGGGGAGTATGAAAGGCAGAACATTATTCTCACTGACGATCTTTTTGCGAATGTGAGTGCATGATGTCAAACGTAGTGACACCAATTCCTCACGAGTTCATTTTCTATAGGTCGTTGATTTCAGCCAGGCAGAGCGAGCAGGCTTCATCAATGCATATGTAGAATTCTGGATGGTTCGTGAAGATAATACTCGCCCAGCTGAAGAACTCGCAGAAGCTGCCAGGGGTCTACTGAAGGGCTGCCACCAACATTTTCGTGCACAGGTCACTCGTGTCAAAAAAATTAGTGGTGTCGTCCCTCCTGCACTTGCAGATGTGTTCGAAGACCGTGTGCTGCAGCTCCTGCAGTGTCAAGACCTTGCGACGTTCAAGTCTATCTCATCCTCTCTCATTCGTGACTACCCCAAGGCTGAGGACTGGTTGAACTGGTGGATGGCAGATGGGCGTGCTGAAATGTTGTTTGCTCCCTTTCGGCGCATGCCAGATAATCTCTGGTATAATCTCGAGGACACCACCAATGCGGAGGAGGCAATGCATTGGCGGATATACTGTGGCCTTGGCAAGTTTCATAGCTTCATGGCTGGATTACAAATTCAATTGCACGGTGACATTCTCCCGATTCCGTCAGATGAGCGGTTCTGGGCCCTGGATCAAACAAACTCGTCAAAATATGTGGACTATGTATCTCACAAACCCACCGTGGAAAGTTCATTGCCCCCCCCACCGATTTCACAGCCGAGACCACCGAAACGAAAGAGGGTACAGTTGAATGTCCTAGATAGCGATGATGATGAAATCCAGGAGGTCAAACCACCACCTCTATCCCAAGAATACGAGTTCTACTGTCGGTGTGGAAGCCGGGAACATGGAGATCTCCAGCAAGAGAGCGAAGTGGCAATTCAGTGTGATAACTGCGAGCGCTGGTCTCACGTAGCTTAACAGAGGGATGGTCGGGCAAGTAACTTGACAAAAAAGCAGTCATTTTACTGTGATGCTCCTGACTGTGCGCCATATAGTGATCGTGTATCACTCTCGCAAATTAGACGGCCTGAGCGGTGAGTTTCTTTATTTGTTGCATCGAGATTCACAATGTTATATCGTCGTAGTATTTCCCGCCACGTCACGATTCCTATGGTGAAGCGCTTGTTGTAAGTTTGCCTAGATATTTATATAGTGAACGGGAACTCATCAATTATATGCAGACCAGGGAAGGGGGCACTAGCACGCCATGGCAAATACTGGTATCCCGTCAGGATAAAGTCATGTCAGCGTGTGTCTGGAAGTCTGAGGACATCGTTCACCGTCAAATGGTGGAGGCACTGTTCTTTCAAACTCGGTACCACTCAACCTCCAGGTGAGGTTGGCGAGGGAGATATAGTTGATGCTCTCTATGGAGATCGTAAACGTCGCCGCATGATCCGGGTGTGTAACTCTTGTGGGTATATGTCAGACTTTAACATATTCAAAAACCATAGCTCGGGAAATGGACTCACGCTCATGAAGTTCCCCAGCATGAGGATGTCATTGCAAACTTTAGGAATATACCCTACAGCATTAATATCGACGAAGCATTGGCTCCTCACACTCAACTCCTTACAGATATTCTTGAGCAGCCGGATCCTGTGAAAATGCGCGACACAGTCCCAGTTCTTGGATATCTCACTGACCTGTCAGAGAAATCAGGTCGTAGGCACACTACAGTCCCGTATTGCGGTGATCTGTCACTCACGGACTGTGCTCATATTGCAAACTGGATTTACCGAAATGTCCCTGGTGCAGCTGAACGAATTATCAATTGGCTAAACTGTGCTACATATGCACATGCTTGCACTATCGTAGTTTCGAAGCGCAAGAAAAACTTACTCCAGGAGCCAGCCGAAAATATCCTCATTGAATGTCGCTCGTCAGGACCTGGCATGGACTCAGTTCCTACTCCGGAAGAGCGAGAAAACGCGATTCTCCAGGCTGCCTGGCTTGACCTCCAACTCAGCTATGATCTGACCTCGATGGACATAGACGTCGACTTGGAGTGTCTTGGCATACTGGAACAGCGGATGTTCGAGCTCTCGTTGGCTGCAGGAGCTGCAGGAAATGAACAATGGGGCAAAGATGCTGGTGCACACCAAGAGCGATGGAATCCCTATGAGGGCCTCCCTGAGCACTGGAATCATGGCGACCGAGATTCATACGCACCGGAATTTGAAGGAGAAGTAGACGTGCGTCATCATCGCTTTTCATCGCGGATCAGTCTGACATGGTTCGACTAATAGTGCGGACCGAACTTTAGCGAGGGAAGTGAGCCTGACATAGTTAAGAAAGAGAAACACACCAAAAAAACCAAACCGCGGCCACGACCAAGGAAGATACACAAGGCTTCATAGGCTGGGGCCTCGTAGCAGTAGTTTGTACTCTGAAATGAACGAGACTCAGTTTGCAAGGACAAAAGGCCACACAAATATGACATACATACCTTAAAGCCCCGGTATCCGTTTGCACAGGTTGCTGCAGAACGTGGTCGAGGAGATGTGTGACAGTGAAGTCAGGCAAGGCATGCAACCAGCAAAGACAGGTGTTGAATGATAAGCGGAGGCATCGAGGTGCCAAACCTGACAGGCGCGAGCCTGTGTGAGGGGTCGTTGAGTCTTCTCACCAAGTTTCGCGCAGCTGCTCATAACGGTGCTCCAAGTGGACTTGATAAGAAGGGTGGTTTGGTGTCGGTGCAGTGGTGCGGTAGTGCACAGCCACTGCCGCACCACTGCCGCACCACTGCCGCACCACTACCGCATCACTGCCGCACCCATCAAGTACATATATCACTGTAGTACCACTGTTAGCCCTACACAAACACCTGGAATATTGTATTACTTATTCTTAAATCATATTTCAGACAGTTGCGTACGACATAGACGCATTTAAGAGGCATATAAGACATTGTTGAGTAGGGTGCAGCAGGGTGCGGCACAGATGCGGCAATTTCCTAAGGCCCCTCGAAGCTACATGCCGCTATGATGGTTTTGTCTTGCATTGTCCAGAACACTGGCGCGAATGTCCCTGCTCCGGAAGTAGAACTCCCTACTCTGATATCCAATGTCTGTGTTTCGACATCCCAAACCTCTAGGCACTTCCCCACATCTGACTTGATTGAAAGCTTCTTCGAGTCATGCGATAATCGAACTGCGCCCAACATGTCAGCACTCTCGAACGGACCAGCTACAAGTTTTCCGGTATCCAAGCTCCATATCCGTGCGGTGGAATCATCTGCTCCGCTTGCCAGCATCATACTGTTCGCGGAGATATCAACGCAGCTGATACACCGTGAGTGGCCATGAAAGGTTCTCACAATCCCTGTCTCAACCTCACAGGCCCTCAGCTCTCCATTATCCATATCTCCGCTAGCAGTGACAATCCATCGCCCATCCTTTGATACCGCCACCGCCCATACATCATGCTCATAAACATCTCGCACCTTCTCAATCTCCTTCCCTGCGTGAAGGTCCCATCGTCGAGCGGTCTTACCAGCAGATCCGCTGATAATTTGCTTGCCATCTGGAAAGTACGAAATAGATTAAACATGAAGGACGCTGCATTGCTCGACATTCGGAAGGTTGCTTCTGACTTTTTCGTGACCCTCCAAGTTCTTGACCGGAGGCACGCCTGTACGAACGCGAAGGACAACACTGTAAATGTGGTGAGAGGTGCATTCAACACTCCAGGTAGACTCGTATACGTAACCAGTCTGACTAATTAGTATTAGACGCAAAATACATGGGGCACGCCTGTACGAACGCAGAGGTCCGACAGCACTGTAAATGTGGTGAGAGGTCCATTCAGCACTCCAGGGTCTGTATGCTAGATGGACTTGAGATGGACGCTCAAAATATTCATCAACAATCATTGGGTACGTACTGAATATTGAATATCAACTGAAATTCGTTTCGAGCGACATAATATGTTTGAACATGACCTCATGAGGCCTGAGGCCTGAGGAATCATATAATCATACCGCAGTGTCACTGCCTTTTTAAGCGACAGCCAACTATAAATTTTCGAGAACCGGATCGATGGAACGAACGACTGAGAACCGAGAATCTTCTCTACCTGGGGCAGACTATCAGAGGAGTCAGGACACAAGTCTACACAAGTTCACACTGCACAATCGAGGAGTCACGTTGGTGCAGCGATTGTAAACTTGCGAACCTCTAGGTGAGTTTCTTGACAGTATCAACCATGACTATGCTTACCTTGCTACCTCTCGTTCAACAGTCCTGATGGCTAGCTTGCTGCCTGATGACATACTTTTCATGATCTTCAAGTTGGTCTGTGAAGATGGCAAGGAAGCATTTCATGAATTTCTCGAAGGACGTTCTGGCACGGGCGCAGTTTGGGACGATTGGGGAGATGCCTTCGAGCTCGAGGGCGATGAATGGGAACCTGCATGCGATATTCCGCCGCCATCAACCTTGCTAGCAGCGGCTGTGTGCAAGCGTTGGCAGTCTTTCGTGACGCAGACTCCATCAATGTGGACCGAGCTGCGGATATCCTTCCATGAAGGTGCTGCGGCTCTCGAGCATGCACAGAGGTTTCTCCGTTGTAGCGGATCGCACCTTCTCCATATTACGCTTCTCTGGGACGATCCCAGTTGGATTTCCCCGGATATTGTTGAAGATGCTGATACCACTGGGTTGAAATACACAACACGCGGAGAAATCATGGCTGGCGTCCAGCTTATCTTGGTCATACAGGAGTTATATGCCCATGTGCATCGTTGGCGCGAGTTTACGCTCAGGACGACTTCCATTGCCCACACATATCAAGCACTGTCGTTGTTGTCACGTCCTTCCGTCCACCCAGCCCATAAACTAGAAAAACTACATCTCCAATTCATACATAACCCACGTCATGCAACTCACTCTACGGATGAACCGTCACTGTTCCCTGGCTCAGTGCCTCCCATCCGCGGTCTTCTCCTTTTTGGCATAAACTGGGCCTGGCCGTCCTCCCATATGTTTTCACAGAATCTTGTAGATCTCAGAGTCTACTATGATGGTTATTGTACCACCTCCCTCGGGACTCCTGAGCCAGCAAAGGTTTTGTCGCAGCTCCTTGGCGCGCTAGTCAACCTCCAGACACTGGCACTCGAGTTAGAGCTCGTAGATTTTGCGGGCACCACGCCCATCGAGTTGCCCCATTTACATACCCTGGCTATCAAGTCACGCTCAATGGAATCCTGGACTGCAGCGTTTCTCCACGATGTTCACATGCCGGAAATGCGGATATTGACGTTGTGTGTAGCAACGTTAGAGCAGGTGAACAGTGTCGAAGGGGTCTTCGACGAACTAGCCACCCTTACCGATCCTGATGCGACCGATCCTGATGCGGACGATCCTTCTAGCTATCTTCTTGAGCTAGAAGAACTACATCTCCTTAATTTCAGACACAGCGAACAACCCGAGCTCCTCCACCGCCTCTTCACACAAATGAGCTTCGTTGACACGTTGACGCTGGGACCAGGGACAAATGACGGCAATGTTAAGCTGGCAATGGCGCTGCTCCCTACGCCATACGGACTACCGGATCTCCCTCTTTCTAGTCTTCGGACGTTGGTCGCATTTGACGTTCCAAAGAACGTCATGCGCCACATCGTACTAGAACGAACGATGCTCTATGCGCCATTGGAGGAGCTTTACTATCATGAAGGTCGAGAGGATAAGAGCGTCGAAGATGATTGGCAGCATCATGTCGAGAAGTATCATCGTATCGGTAACATGAGCTCTGAACATTATGCCGATGTTGTCGGCAGGCGGTGGTCATATTTAGCATAGTGCCCTCATTTCAGATAGAATTTTCGCAGTCGCAGTTTCACTTGTCTTGGCTAGCAAGGACGACCAAATGTTCACGAGAAGCTCAAGTTGTAGCGGTCCCATTCTCTCGCGGAACAATCAATGAGTTGAGGGTATATATCCTACGTACGGGCGGTGCACCCCCGTTATGCCCAGGGATACCAGCACAGAGAGCGAAGTATATTACTAGGCAAAGTTGTGCAAAACCGTAACGATTTTCAAGAATGACCAACATGGAGCAATCTAAGCTGCGCCATACCCATTGATGTTAGTAACGGCCAGCTTCCCAGCAGTCGTACCTCCTGAACCGGAACCTGCCTGCACGCCCCGGGATTGTTTCGTACAAATTTTGCTGCCTCTGGAGTGTGCATAGTAGGGGGTTTACTAGGATAGTTGACGTTGGATCTCGCTAATCGCAGACACGCTTCGAGCACTTGAGAAAAGGTTCTGTCGGTTGACCACGAACTACGAATCTGAGGTGATTTGATAGTGAGTGCGATCACTGGACGAAATTACACAGTGGCATAAGCAGCTGGTACTATATATGTGAGCTCATGATTTGGGTCAAAGATCACTACACCCGGGCCTTGTGGTCCAACCCACTTCTGATTTCACTGTCAACACTGGTTTCATGTTTAGCAAGCACTCAAGGAATTGGAGGGCAGTATAGCGACTATGAAGGATTGGTTTCGTACAAGTTGAAACCAAGGCTGTATTCAAAATCACGAGTCCGATGGGCTGTGAAGACGTGTATGCGTCATCAGCGCTAACGCTCAGCTACGGCGATGCTATGACGATATCTATGGTATATGCAAATGTGGTCCTTCCCTAACGTACAGCTTCGAATCTCGAAGGTCCATCAGAAGATCGTTGTATCAAAAGGAGGGATCGAACGCAGCCAATTCCGAACATTCGGACCCTCCTTCAAGATCGGTATCAACCCACGCATCAGCGTCATTGGTATCTCCTGCCATCACGTCCTTTGGTTGACGTGAGAGGCCGAGCGGGAAGAGCGGCTGTCGAGGGCTCGATAGATGCCGCGAATAATGATGCGTCTTCACAGGAGGGACACGGAATACGTCTCCGTCGTCGTCATTTTCCCGTTCTGCAGGCTTTGAGTTCTGGCTCTCCCTTCGGCTGAGCGAGCCTTTGACTTCGTGCAGGTGCGCTGTCCGTGCCAAGCGTTTGACAGACTTAGGGATGATGAGCCCTGTAGATGAATGCGAGTTCGTTCGCACCATATGGGCTCGAGGGAGTGTGGATATCTCTGTGGAGATGGAGGCAGGTATGCGGCGGGTGGGGGTGCGGAGGGCAAAATTGGCGAGTGGAGTGCCGGACCGCTTTGTCGTGGTGGATCCGCGCGGAGTGGAACGTTTATCTGCCAAGGTAGTGAAATGCGGTGGTCGGCGTGCAATGGTGTCGTGATCGGAGGACCGCTGTGTTCGGTGAGACGGAAAGTCTACACGAGAATTCAGGCCTGAAGAATGATCCTTTACAGTTGCCGACCTCTTGTCAACAGGAACCGCAGGAGGACTGCGACTTCGAAGCTTCAAATTATTCCAGGTATGTTCGTTGTTACTGCTAGCAAAGCTTAAGTTGCGCCGGCCCCATTCTTTTGCGGAACTGAGTTGAGGGTGCTCTATGGACGGTGCACCCCTGGTTAAACCCATAAATACAAGTACTGCCAGAAGTAGGCAAAGTTGTGCAATGCCAAGACGCTTTTCAAGAGTGACCTTGGAACAACATGAGCAACTATTATCCTTTCCAGTATACGGAAGCAAACCTCTTCAGCAAGATAATTTACTCGCGAGAGCAATTCACCATGCTCGAACTCCAGGCGAAGCCGCTGCCTCTCCCATTCGTGTACTGTGCGCTGATACATTTGTGCTTGTATGCGACTCTGGAGATCCATGAGATGCCTTGGTCAAAACTAGTTCTGGTGGAACTCACGACACTCTCCAACCTGCCAGCATCCTCACCAAGCCTCCTGAGTACCTCGCGTACGCCAGCAGTTTGCTCTTCCACATAACGCGCATAAAGGCTATGATTTGCCTCCAGGAGAGTCAGTCGAGTCATAATTGTCCGATATATTGACTCTCCACTTGATCCGACCAGTGGAGGTGTTGGCAATGCCGTTGACATCGTGTTCGCAGATGGGACATGATGAGATGGTGATGGTGAAGATTGTGATAAAGATGTTTCAATACTGGAGGTGTGTGGGACTTCGGGAGAGATTAAATCAGGGGAGTGGGCGGACGAGCTCTCATTAGACGAGACGGAGGATACAGAAGTGTCGAGAGAAGATGTAGTACTTGTCTCGGAACTTGATACAGATTTGAGTTTAGAGGGAGGGGACGAGGTAGGCTGCTGCATGATGGCAGAGTCCGTAAGGATAATGGCTGAGGAAGACACTGCGGCTTGTGGCCTTCCGGATGCCTTGGTTTGACAAGAAGAGCTGAGTGAGCTGGACGTCCGGTTCACCGCATTGGATGCCCGAGAGTTACTTAGACTCGTATGTGATGTAGACGGCGCCTTGATTGTTGGATGCGCGGCATCAAGAGGATATGTAGAAGGTATATTCCGAGCCTCAAGCTCGTCCATAAACTTGTTGAGTTCAGATCCCCCAGAACTTATGGGTAGGGGCTCCGCAATGGAGGAAAAGGCTTGAACTTGAGCTCGGGCGAGTGCATGACTCTCTTCTTCCCAGATATCCCACTTCCATTGTTCAAGATGGGTGAGGCCGTAAACCCTGAGAAGGGAGACAGGACAGTAATACTCATGTCCGTAGTGTGAGTGGAAGTCAACCCGGATGTACCTGTAGAAGTCGCGCAGGGTAGTTGGGGTGTGGAAGGACTGTGCATTGGTCAATGTTAAATGACAAGGACCCAATATTAGGGAGAGATACGCGCCTGTACACCGCGAATATTCTTCCCCTTGTAGGTGCCCGCCAGCACCCACCCGTCATCGGACGTCGTGTAGGTCTTTGCGACCTTGACTGAAAAATCCTTGAACACCCCACTGAAAAACTCGAAGTTTGCGAGTTGCACGGTGTCGATTCTGATATCCTCACACAACTCTACAACCACGAACTGCTCCTCCTTGCCTGAAGAACATGGTGAAAGCATATATTTGTCTTTCTTTGATGATAGAATGGACGAAGGAGACCTGGCAGACCGATGGGAAGTGTGTACGCGTGCAGAGCAGTCCAGGTTTGCATAGTTGAAGCGGTCGGTGATAGGTACCCTGAAATGTGGGGAAAGTTCTGTCTCCTGGAGGTATGTAGACGGGTCTGGCACAGCGACATCGGCTTCGTGGGTTGTACTCGACTCCATGTGCTCTAAAGCATCAATTTTAGGATGAGCAGTCGCCTGAGGCTGTGTCTGCGACTGGGGCTGGGATTGAGACTGAAGTTGTTTGGACTTCCACTCCTCAAACGAGAGCAGGACATCCTCGACATCATCTGGCGGTTCTATTGACGGAGGTGGTGTCAGGCAGCACAGAGGCGGTTCAGGTTGGCGCTTATGATGTACGAGAACGATAGCGCGAAATGGGTCATTCTTGGAGGAGGGAAGAGCGACCGAGACGGTAAGAATTGGCGACGTGAGCAGGAGAAGAAGCAACGCCTTGGGGAGCGTCATGAAAGAAACCATCAATCAAGTCCCAACCACAGCTTCAGGTCTTCCTAAGAGTTGAAGACAGTTAAAGCCACATGAGTGTTTCCGACAAACAGTAGCGACGTTGCAGGAGAACAATATTGATCGCCACGTCGGCGATTATGAGAAAGTGCTACAGTAAGTATTTCGGTCACTGTCCCTGGGCCTGACTCCTACTAAGCGCTGACCCTTAACCAACTAACCGTAACGCAGCACGTTCACACAACGATGCACCACTCGAGTAGACAATATGTGGTTCACAAGCATAAACATGGATGTATTAGACGGAAAACAATATCGAAGGTAATGAGGTCCGTCATCTTTCACTCCGAGTACATGTCCTTCGGGTAACTTCAATTGCACTGCGAAATCGCGTTAATATAAACAATAAAGTAAAAGAGGAGAAATATACCAGTCCTGTCAACTCTCCAGCTTTTGTGTGCATGATGAGTGCAACAATCAAGCCTACAGATAGCCACTCAATACAAAACTTGTGATTATACAAGGGATCAGCGTACCATAAAGACCCAGTACTTCAGCGAAGATGAGAATCAAAATCTGCACGGCATATCAGATTTGTTTCTTAAAAAAGTAGGTTATAAAGGTTCACCATTCCAACGAAGAGTCTTGGTTGTTGTGCAGTACCACGGACACCAGCATCACCGACGATACCAATTGCAAAGCCTGCGGCAAGACCAGCGAGACCGACCGACAAACCAGCACCAAGGTCGATGAATCCTTGCGCAAGGGGCATCGATTCCGACACTAATTTGAATGCCAATCAGCATTCAAGAAGCGGGGAGCAAAAGAATAGAACGCACGTGAACTGGAAATAAGGACAGCCACCACCAGGCCATAGATCTGCGCACAATCAGAACCGACGGCAGTTAAGGCGGAGGAAAGCAAAGACGTACACCGATAATACCAGCCATGATAACCGGGACAACACACTTCATCATGAGGTCTGGCCGGAGGACACCCATCGCTGAAATACCAACACCAGACTTTGCGGTACCGTAACTGCGCAAAATGTTCAATACACGACAAAAGCTGCAACTCAAAAAGTTCCAGACCTTGCACCGAGACCTAGCACACAATCGCAAGGGTCTGTAAGAACACAATTGCTTCTGGTAACGGCTGCTCATGACACTTACAGGTGAACACAATTGCGCAGGTGCAGCCCTGCGAACCATTAGTCCCGAAACCGAACAAGGAAAAGCATAGAACCCACCATGGCACCGAAGAAGGGCGCGTAGACGGGACAAAGGTCAGACATGATTTGTGCTTTGAAGGGAGTGGATGAAGACTTCTAAATTGGCGACGCTAGTGAATGGCGAAGTAGTAAGTAAGAGTCCAATGAGACACGCAGCGAGGAGAAAGCCGATCGGAGATTCAACGAGTGGCTGCGCCTCGGCAGGAGGATGCCGGCCATTGTTTGGCAAGAGCTTTAGAATTAAACAACCTCCTTCTCTCTCAGTGGGAAACTTGTACTGCTTCTCGGACGATTCGGAAAGGCAATGTCTGCATCCTTGAGATTTACCCGGAGAGTATGTCTTTCATACGATTTGCTTGTGCTTTCTCATAAAGGCAATTATGCAAGGTGTGGAAATCATTCATAGACAACAAAGGTATTCCCACCAGGCTCTTGTGATCGCGCGTCGCTGAATACAATAGCTAGGACATGATGCGCAGTGTTTTCCGAATGTCAGTATACCCTCCCAATCTGCCTCCGGGTACTGACCGGGTCTTTCAGCTCGTTATTCACCGCGCGGTCCCCGGAACGGTTGATTTTTCGCTCAAGATAGAACCTTCTAACTGTACGTGCTTTCTCTCCAACTTTCACCAGTGCTTATCTCCGTGTAGTAAATAGAGTCGGGGTGCGCATCTAGGTTTCTCTTGGTATCCTATTCATTGACGCACCAAGCTAGACCGTGCACGGCGGCCTGATCCTCTCGCTGACTGATACCCTTGGCTCGCTTGCTGTTGCAAGCAAAGGTCACTATATGACCGGTGTTTCAACCGATATCGGTGCATCCTTCGTACGACCTGCGGGCAGGACGGGCGATACCCTTCATGCCCGAGCCACACTTACTGCCATGGGTGAGTGATACAACTTCTGCTGTAAAGCTCAGCGAGCTCACTACACTAGGGAAATCCTTGGCCTATACTCGCGTAGACTTTACCAATCCTTCAGGCGATTTAGTTGCGTATGGATGTAAGACTTTTATTTAGCATGCTGAAGCATTTGTTGGCTAACCTATATGCTAGACCACACGAAATATGTTGGGAAGTCATCGTCTGACCCTGTGAGTAAATCAGATGTTACATTATAACTCAGTGACCTGACAGTTGTCTACAGAACAACGTGAAATTTTCGGAAGACGGCGAGCAAGTGATAGAAGGGAATGACATTAACTGATCCAGTTTTCGTTGTCACTTTGTGATCTATGTGAAAATAACATTCGATTCGCAGACGATTGATGCCAGTTACAGTCACAGTTACAGTTACAAAGCAGTAGAGTGACAAGAAAAAAACATTTCTACTTTTTATTGCATTCCCGCGTGATGGAACAAGTGGAGCAAGCGCGAAGCTGTTTCTTCCTCGTTCGCCCTGGTAATTGCTTTATCCAACTTCTTCGATCTGCCAAAGTCTATCAGGCGGAAGCTCTTACTCGAGTGCGGCCGCAGGATTGGCCATTCCGTTGGCTTGCCCTGCTGCCACAGGATGTTCCGCGCTGCGAATGACTCGTGCAACCACCCCGCATGATGAAAGCGGAAGACAAGAGACGCGCACTCTTGCCTGTCATCCAGACACAACTCATCTGGATTAATCTCCTGGCCACAGTACTCCAGGAGTAATATCGGACTCAGATAATCAGGACGACCCGTGCCGTCACTTGGATCATCGGGTGTGTAATACCCGTAGAACTGCGGGCAGAGCGCCCCGACGGGGACAGGATCGTGCAGAGGGGGCATGACGTTATATCCGTTCCAGTGTTGGAAGAAGTGGTCGGGGAACGATTGATAGTTGCTTGCCTCTCGAGCGAGGTGGAGGTCATGTTCGATCGAGAGTTTCGCAACGACCCTGAGCGTTGCGGTGCGTGGGACGGCCCCCGAGCCCAGTCCCCCGCCGTGTCCGCATGCTTCTGTAGGGCCTCGCCACTTCACATTAGTGTAGATGCGAAGACACGGTCCAGTGTAAGATGGCATGCGGACGACCCTAGGGGGTTCGATGGTGAATAATTCTTCTTCTTCTTCTTCTTCTTCTTCATCTCCATCGCTTTCCTCTGGTACTTCTTCGCCTTTCCCCTTATCCTCCCTTGAGGCAGACCCCAGCGCGCTCGGTTCCTTGGATTCGTCCACTTTCATTTCAACGTCAGGCGCTTCCTCCTGCTCAACTTTGGCTCCGGATTCCAGATCCTGCCCGTCAACGACGTCCATTTTGACATCAGTTTCGGTACCCCCTGCTTCCGCTGCAGTATCCGAGGGAGGATCACCGCCCAAAGTTGGCATCGGCGCAGCGAAAAACTTAGCATCGGCGGCCTTTTCGCTTTCTAGATCCTCTTGTCTGATGAATGCCCCAGTCACCGCTGGAAGCTGGCGCTCTTCGACGGTAACATAACCAACCGTTCGCTTCGCACCAGAGGATTGCGAGAGATCTGTTCCGGAGGCAACATCGGGGCTGGCCTCTGGCGTTTCTTCAGGTTTCCCCTTGATATTTTTCAGGAGTTCTTCCCATTTACCGTCGTCCTTCAACTTCTGGAGCTGTTGACGGGCGTCCAACTCCACACAAGCTCTGCACATACGAGTCTCTATAAAAACATCACGCGGAAGCTCCCACTCCACGCTGTGCACAACTGAATGATTGCCAGTGCCCATTGCGCGAGATGAAAGGTAAAGATGAGCTTCTTCAACTTGCGTTCTCTTCCGAGGTCGCGGAGGGAGTATAACTGCGATCAACGGATCTTCCGTTGGTCCCTCCTTGTCAGAGGGGAAGATGTGCAACAAGCTCTCTTCCTTTGTGGCTTCTTCTTCCGCTATCTCGACGAGTTTCTGCTCCTTCAACGCCTTTTCTTTGCCTTCAGGTGAAAGGGAGAGGGAATAGGTTCGGACGATGTCTCGCTTGGCAACTTTGGAAAGCCATGGAGTCTGGTAATCGGTATCGCCCTCATCGATGGATAATTTGTTCCAAGGATCGTGAACATAGAGCTTTTGAGGGAGAAGATGTAAAGGAATCCGCTGTTGGAGTGTTGGATTATCGTCGTGCGTGCAAGGGATGAAGGGGTGTGGGGAGGGATAATGGTCGGGATGGAAGGGCGAGTTGATGGTTGGCAGTGGTGCGGCAGCTTGAACTTTCGGTTGATCCGCGCCTTTTTCTGGTGATGTTTGGCCTGCTTCGTCCATTTGCATGGCTTCATTGAGCTGCACGCTAGCGGTCGTATCTTCGTCTGAATCTTTGCCTGAATTTCCGTCTGAATCTTCGTCTGAGTTTTCGTCTGAATTTTCGTCTGCATCTTCTTCCAAATCTTCTTCCAAATCTTCCGAATCTTCGTCCGAATCTTCATCTGCATCATCATTAGCAACTTGTACCGCCTCGTCTTCTCGATCCCTACCTGTATTATCGGCTTGATCACTGGCCGGAGGGATCGAATCTCCTCCATCTTCGATTTCTGCTATGTAGCTTGAACCTAACAAGCCTGAATTCGCCTTCTCTCTTATCTCCTTACGACTGGAATACTGATCAAGTGTACCCAAATTGACGCGTGTATCATAGCACGTTATCAGTTCCCCGATATCGGCTACTGGTATCTCTTTGGGATCCTCCTCCTTATCGGCCCAAAAGAGCTCATCCTGAGCTATGAGCTCACCATTCTGGCGCATCCATTTCGCAAGTCTGCTTCCTGAGGAGTTGGTGATAAAGTTTTGGACGTTTGGGAGACGTCGAACATGGTAGAAGTCGTAGAGTGTCGCGCCCCACAAATCAATTCCGTTGCCAGCCTCCTTGCCCCTCAATGGAGATGGCTTGATGGCTAGTCCTTTGGGATCACGAGGCCAGAGGCGGAAGATCATACGCTTCTTGCCATATCCAACGGAATGAATGTCGCTGTCATTTTGTTCTTGGACAGACTTGGGAAGTTTATGGGGGTCAATCGTACTGAAATCAGCGTGTTCGGCTCGTGTTTGTATATCTAAGCTGCAACAAAATGGATCTATAGCGTGCGATGGCATCAATTATAGGGACGTACCGTTCTCCTTGTTTAGACTTGTCTTTGGAATTCTTGTGTGGTGCTCCCTTGGTAGATTCCGAATCTACAGCCTTTGCGATACGTCGTTTGGCCTTTTTGGTTTTCAAGAACCCCCGATTCATGGTAGTATCCGATAGAGTGGCTCTAAATGGGATGGTGATCTTAGGGTCTGCGGCACTCGCTGAGAGACGTCGAGAAAGTTGGACAAAGACTCAGAAGCAGAAGAGCGAGTACCAATATCGCGACTATCGATAGCTCTTAAATAGCCCTGCGGGTCTGGGCGTCAATCATAAGAATTAAATCATTTCCTAAATAGTCTCGCCTCACCACTTCTATATTCGCGAATCTGGATCAGATTGATATGGGATGACTGTTTGATTGCAATTGGTCGGTCACGCGTCTGGCTGTTCTGGATGTGATTTGCAGAAGGTCATGCACTGGTAGTTGCACCTAGATACGGTGGAGGGGGCTCGGCAGCTAGGGGTTATTGAAAGCGAGTTCTCAAGCTTTTGATGCGTATAGCGCTCTTGAATCTTCTGGTCGATAGTCACGAAAACGTTAGAGAGAGGCTTGAGGTGGAGGAAAGGAGAGAGCAGTCGAATCACTGAAATACGAAACCATTAACAAAGGGTGTTAACAACATTCTTTATTATCACGTGATCATGGGTCAATTTCAAATAGATCACTGACGTCCGGGACCACGGGTGAGTCTGCGCAGCAGCACAATAGAGATTCGAGAATGATACATCAAGCAGCGTCGGATGGTATGGCAATGAGGCACCCAAGCTGAGTGGTGATTCGGCCATGTCGGAAGACGGCTTGCTACTTCAAGTTTGTGATGTATGGACATATAGTGATGTTCCAGTGAACGTCATAATAAAGGTGGAACAACTATATGTCAATGGTCTGCCTTCAGGAGACTAACAAAAGATCGTTTGACAGAACGGAGCACCGTTTCCGAACTTCCTGACCTGTTTTTCAGTTCGATGACGAGAAAGATGGTTGAACGATTGCAGAGCCTCTCCTTCCTCGCTCACCCTGTCCTTCGAGCTGTCCAATTTCTTCGATCTGCCAAAATCTATCAGGTAGAAGCTCTTACCCAAGTGCGGCCGCTGGATCGTCCACTCCATTGGATTGCCTCATTGCCGCATAATGTTCCGTGCTGCAAATGACTCATGCAAACACCCCGCATGATGAAACTGCAACACAAGCGACGCCACACTCTTCCATATTGTCCAGGCACGACTCATTCGAATTGATCTCGCGGCCACAGTGCTCCAGGAGTAACATCGGATTCAGATATGTAGGACGCTTTGTTCCGTCATTCGGATCATCAGGTGTGTAATACCCGTAGAATTGTGGACCGTGTGCTCCGATGGGGACAGCATCATGCAGAGGGGGGAAGATGTCACACCCATCCCAGTGTCAGAAGCGGTCGGGGAATGACTGATAGTTTTTTGCTTCTCGAGCAAGATGGCGGTCGTGCTGAACTGATAGCTTTGCCGCAACACGGAGTCTCGCGGTGCGTGGAACAAACTCTGGACCCGTGCTCACATGACATTCCCGAGGGATAGTGCCACTTCGCAGTAGCGTTGATGAAGACCTATCCCTGAGTAAGCTGCTATGCGGGCGGCACTGAGAGGTTGGATGGTGAATAAATCTTCCTCACTATGTTCTTCATACGCTTTTTCTTCGTCTTCATCGACCTGCCTAGTTTCTCTTCACATTTCATCCCTTCCTTCCTTGGGGTGGATCTCTGTGCGCTTGCTTCCTGTCTACCGTCTTCTCGACATCAGGAGCTCCTTGCTCGACCCTGTCTCCAGGCTCTAGATCTTGTGTGTCCAAATTGACATCAGTTATTTCGGATGATATAAAGACAGACGAATCTGATGACACCGAACCGGGAGCAGCCTCGGACAGTTTGCCTGTGTTACTACACAACTTCTCGAAGCTGATGCCTCTCGATAGCAATGTGGCCTGTCATTGGCTTCAGACCATATGTCTGGATTCTGGAGGAGACACTCGAGTTTTTCTTGAGCCTTTATTCAGGAAAAGCACTCCTAAAATACTTGGTAATGGAACTCCTCCCTGGTCCTCGGACTTCTGGAGCTGCTGACGTCATCCACCCCACAAGTCTGGCACATACAAGGCTCGACAACGAGGTCACGGGGAATCTCCCACTCTGCCTCATACACAACTGAATGATTACCTGTGCCCACTACACGAGGTGAAAGGTAGAGACGAGCCTCTTCCACTTGCGTCCGCTTCTGGGGTTGCGGAGGGAATATAACTTCGATCACTGGCTCTTCAGCAGGCAAGGTGTGATTCACGTGCACCACCTTCGCTGCCTTGTCCTCTTGGCTAGCTTTTGCGCCTCCAACGCAGCTTCCCTTTCATCCGGCATGAGGGAGAGGGAATAGGTTCGGATAATATTCTCGCCCACCGGCAATTTTGGAAAGCCACAGAGTCTCGTGATCGGAGTCGCCTTCATCGAAAGAGGGGGTCATGTACATGGAGTTTTTGAGGGAGGTGAAAAAGAATACGCTGTTGGAGTGTGGGAGTCTCGTACGTGCAAGGAATGAAGGGGTATGGGAAGGATAATCGGCGGGATTGAAGGCCAAGTTGTTCGTCGGTGATGGAGGGGCCGGTCGGCTAGTCTGAGCCTTGTTCTTGTGACGTCTCGCCCGTTTCGTCCACTTGCATTGCCTCACTGAGCTGCGCACTGGCGGTCGCATCTTTCCCCGAGTTTGCCTATCGGCGACTGATGATGCCTCCCCTTCTTGATCGCTATGATCATCAACTGGGGGCGAGTCTCCACAATCTCTGACTTTGTGCAGATCTCTATGATTGTAGAAGGACCGGCCTGTTTTTTCCTTTCTTTGATCTCCTTTCGACTGGAAAACTGATTGAACATACGCAATGCGACGCGCATATCATAGCACCTTATCGGTTCCCCGATGCCGGCTACTGATATCTCTTTTGGGAAACCGAGGTTCGTGATATATCTGGGGCTATTCATTTCTTTGAGTAGTGCTCAGAGAGGTTTGGGACGTTGATGGGGGCCGATCGTACTACGTTCAGCGTGTGCGGCTCGTCCACCTGAATATAGGCTACAACAAAATGGATCTACAGCAGGCGATAGCATCAATAATAGCGACATACCACTCTCCGTTGCTATCCTTGTCTTTGAATTTCTTGTGTGATCACTGATGGCCCACCAGATTCTGAACCAACAGCCTCTGCAACACAGGTCCTTGCATTCTATGTGTTCAAGTATCCTCGCTTCATTATGACAGTCGCTCTGGATATTATGGTGACTTTTGAGGTGTCGCAATCCTGCGGCACTAGCACAAAAAATCGCGATATTGGGAGAATCAATATTGTGACGACTTGAATTACAGCACCATTGCCAATTGGCGACAAATGAGGGGTCATTTTCTGATTATAGTCGTGTCTTTCATGGCAGGTCACGTTCGTCAGGTTGATAAGAACAGGCTAAGTAAGTGGTCATGTCAGACTGTTCTGCAGCTGTGCAATTTCCGCGTGATTTGCAGGAGCACGTACTGTAGTTGTACTTCCACCCAAAGTCTGCATACATTGAACTGAGGAAGCATTCAGAATAGGACCTAGGCCAGCTCTTGAGCTCTTGACACGATTTGTGTATCACTTGTGTTGCGACAACGAAATCACGAATCTGAGCGGTTGTTGGTCACGGAGAGCAGGAGCAGCCTAAATTTAGACTCAATAGTACGCGTTTCATCTGCACGTGACCACGAATCAGTAGCATCAAAGGTCCTGCAGGGTCCCGCTCGCTTACAATGGAGGCTCGAGCCTCGCCAGACCATTTTTTCCCCTGGTATGTGTGTTAACTTATAATTACGGTACTGTACCAACGGTGGTTCTTTTTTCAGATAGCAATCTGCTAGACTGCTACATAGTCCGGCCAACGTCCCACTTTCGCCGCCGAGCGGCCGAGGTATCAACATCAGCAGACAGTGAGATCAGATGCTTCAAGTGCTGATTTCGGTTAGTACTGCAAACAAGTATTGCCAGCGCATGCAGGGGCGGTATGTTCCATATAACAGTGGAAGTGCAGCAGAGAACCAGTGCTGAAAATAATCTATGCAAATGAGGACTGGTAATTCGCCAGAAAGAATTGGATAAAACAGGCGGGGACCCACAGCAGCCCATACTTACTTTAGCCTGAGAAGTGAAGAAACGGTGACATCGGACTGCCCATTTTTCCATGTCGCTAAATCGAAGGCATCGGTCTCATGGGTCCTCACCGAACTGGGGTGCGCGGTGTCTGAAACATAGTTAGGTAAGGTGGGTGCCATGCAATACCGGTCACCAGCGGTCACTGGCGTAACTCATTTTAGGAAAGATGAAATTTAGCCAAGATTCAGCAGTTGAGTAGGTGCCTCTCCGCCAGGCACGCAGTAGTCCAATGATAATATAAGTAGCCTGGACTGACCTTATTATCTTACTCTTTGAGGATCCAAGGAGCGCAAAAGGATTCTTGCTGGTCCTACCAGGATGGTGCTCGCTTCAGCGGAAATTCTACATCGATGACATAGAGGGTAGGTTTGACCAGAGAGGAAACTTGTCCAAAATCGGGGGGCTTGCGAGTATTCCGCCGGTGACAAGCGCTATGTGGGTCGTTACCTATACGGCTTCGATCAGCCTACGAGATCCGACGACCAACGAAGGACGCAGAGCTGGCCAGATTACACGGATATAGCTGGATAACTCTGATCGATCATGCCACACAGCGGAGTATACTTTTCGACCTCAAACGGAGTAGGTTGGCCCCTTCCTATCACTTACTGACCTAGCGGTGTTGTGGCAGGTCTTCCCTGTGCATGCCGGTAAGCAATCAGCGGAGGAAGATATCATGACGGTTCTTGGGTTGTTCCTTTTTTGTGTGACCTGATGGAAATTTGTATAAGAACGTATGGCTTCGCAGCTGTGGTCCTCACCCAATATCACCATCTCTCTGCTGACGAGCTCATATTCACCACTGATAGCAATACTCACCCACTGACCTGGCTTCTTGGATTTGAAGCTTAGTTGCGTCATTAACAAACTTGAATGATATTCTGTTGTCCTCCTTCTCCACAACTACGACACATAATGGGTGAGAAGTCTTTGGTTCGTCGGGCAGGACTGTAGATCTAATGTATCACCTAGGATATGCTCTGTGGCTTGTTCCCTCGGAACCGCAGTCTGGCGCACTACGCCATTTAATGGATTACCGACCACAACATTATAGGTCAAGCACTCACTCGTACAGATCATACCCCCGCTTTGACCCTCACATTACCCTCGCCACCTTCTCGTGCCTGTATCGCCCCAGCCTATGTCAATTTCTGCCTTCCAATGTCAACCCTGCTCCCGTGTATTTTCAGTCGATAAAGATTGGAAATAATTATCTCAGCTCACTATCCATCGTCGTTTCCAAATCTCGTGAACTCATGAATTTACACGATCTCGTCGTGAGACACCTTGAGAAGGTGAACAAACACCTCCAGGGAGTAAACAAGGTACATCCCACGAGTCGTTCATTTCCACGCATGTCCTTGTTCTACCTGGATGAAGCCTTCTGGGGAGAACGGCTGCAACTTGGCAACGCGCTGCGTCAATCGGGAAGAATCTACGAACGAAAAGGCAACATCACGGACGTTGCGTTGAACTGTGCCCTAGATGGTGCCGCGCCTCAATTTCGCGCCATGAAAGGCTTTCATGGGACGGAAATATGGCTCGTTGACTGCACCGGTGCAGTGGGAGACTGGAAAGTCCTGGAAAGACAAATACTCAATCCACCTGGTACCTACATTTCAAGAAACAAACCTTCCTTTCACAGGCCAAATCATTTTCCTGTCGTACCAACGGAACCCCGTCCTCCGAGGTTGGGCGGACGCGGACCTTTCTTCTTCGAACCAAATCCTGTCCTACCAATGGCACCATATTACCCCCCAGACCCAAGGTAGCGTACACCTTCCTGGCTGTATTTTGCACTCGTGATCATCATAATCATAGGGTTCATAGATGTCGTCACGCACAGGGCGTAGACCCTAGATTCCGAGGCAACATGTGTACATGTACGAGGAGGCAGACATACGTCGATGCATATGGGCAACGTTGGATTTGAAAGCATCGAGGGACTAGAGTATTCATACGCGATATGCCATCAATGTATCTATGGGTGTTGGCTGTAACGTGCTCCTTGACTAAGTATCGTCAGATACAACTTGCATGAAACCATAGGACGAATGGAAGTTCACCTTGGCTAACTTGATTCGGCGTAACAGTGTGTAGCCGTACACCACATTCTAATGGCTGTCAAGAACGACGACAGCCACGAGAATAATCTCGGCTTAAGTGTATCTTCGAGATGTGTCCCATATATAATTCGAACCGCTTGCTGGAGCCACCAAGTCATCTACTACTAGTTAGATATCCACAGCTATACTTCACCATCATGATGATCCGATGATTAGATGAGTGAACCGTATTCAATTTCTCGTCTTCCGAGTTGAATATTCAATCGTTTTGTTCCAACTTGGGAGGATTGATCGCTGTGAGCTTCTCGAGTGAATACTGATGTTTGGCGTAAAAGTGCTAGATATTACGAGCAGTCACCGATCTGCGGTCTTGGGTGTGAATCACAGTGGTAGATGAATGACAGCCGTTCCTTATAATTAAGAGTTTGTACGGTCAACGTGGTTCACTCACTGCTTGGGCTGCAAGTATCCTGGGACTCCGTGGCGCACCAGCTTGAATATTGGTCCACACTTGAAGCACTTAGCAAACGGAGGCAAAACGTAGTTTGGGCGTAACTGAAGTCACGGTACACACACATTTTGCCAATTCGGAGGCCGCGGCGCCGACTCGGAGCCGCCCGGTACGAACTTAGTACTTATAAGTACTTGCATGCAACATCATAATGGCCTCAGCTGGCAGCGCTCAGTACAGATGAAATATCTGATTTCAATGGTCAGAGAACTACCAGCGGAACGCCGCCGACATACAGAATCATATGACTCCTTCGTCTTCATTGAATTTACCTTCTAGCTCCTTTTGATCAAAAGGAGCGTCCAACCTCCAAAATCGTGCAATGCCAGCAAGCTACAGCTCTCCCGCCAAGACACCCCAATATTGTGTAGATAGACGGATCTTGCTCTCTTGAAATATCTTCATCACTGTTGGTCAGTTGTAGTTGAGGATTACACACACTTCAACTTTGCTCCAGTAGAAACTCGTAAGATCTAAGAATAACAGCAGAAATATCATATCTCGCTGTCTTTTGTGCCTTGGATAGTCCTCATCACCGCGGCCATGTTTACGAAGCGCTACTGAGGTCTTCATGTAAAGGTAAGTTGGACCAGAGAAGGAACCTATCGGGAAACGAGGACCCCGCAATTTGGTTTTCATCTTGAACAAGAACTATAGCCCGTTACTTATACGCCTACAAACCACGACAACTGCCAAGTGGACTGGCTAGGTGGCGCATGTACGTGGTTATGTAGTTATCTCTCATACATCATGTCGCACAGCGGGCGGAGTATGGTGTTACAGATGATTTTGACCTTAAAAGAAGTTACTTACCGGCCGACCTGGCAATTTTGTGGCAGTTGGCACTAGCACCAGTCATATTCATATTGTGGCAGCCTTCCTGTGCGTATAGATAAGCTATCACTGGAGGAAGACATGACGTTCTTTGATCGTTGCTTCTTTGGGTGTTCTGATAGGAAAATTGTTTAGATTCGTATGATTATGCGGCTCTAGTCCTCACTTAATAACACTATCTCCATAGTCTCCCGTAGGCAGACCAATAGAAAGAAGACAGTTCTTATACAAAGCTATCGCCTTGCTAACGAGTTTGCGTTGGCCCGCTGATGGCATTAACCACTCACTGACCTGACTCCCGAAATTTAAAGCGTAGTTCCAGCATCGAGAAACCTGAGCAACAATCTTGCCGTCGTCCTTCCAGACAATAAGTTGAGCTACAACACACAATGGATTACAGTGAGTGGTTTTTTGGCCATCGGGCAGGACTGTCGACCAAATTTGTCGCCTAGAATTTTCTCTGTGGCTTGTTCCCCCGGGACCGCATTCTGAGGCACTACGCCATCTGATGCAATTCCGCCCAAGGCCTGATAAACCAAAGCGCGACAAACCCAAGGATGACGCACCAAAGGGCGCTAAACCAAAGGACGCTAAACCAAAGGACGCTAAACCAAAGGACGCTAAATCAAAGGACGATAAATCAAAGGACGCTAAATCCAAGGACGACAAATCAAAGAACGATAAGTCAAAGGACGATAAATCAAGGAACGAAAAGTCAAGCACCCACTCCCGATCATCCCATGCCCAATCATCCCGTTCCCAGTCATCCCACGCCCAATCATCCCACTCGACATCCTCCCACCCGATGCTCCCTCGCCCGAGTGCATTTCGCTCGAGATCATACCCCCGCTTCGACCCTCACATTACCCTTGCCACTTTCTCGTGTCCGTATCGCCCCGCCTTATTTCAGTTGGTGCCTATGAGCACCAAAAAGATTCCCGTGCAGTTTGAGTCCATGGAGGTTGGAAACAACTTTCTTAGCTCATTGTCCATCGTCGTTGCCAAATCAAAGGAACTCATGGCTCTACACGATCGCGTTGTAGAACACCTCGAGAAGACGAACAAGATAGTGGCCACGAACCGTTCATTTCCGCATATGTCCTTGTTCTACCTAGATGAATCGTTCAAAGGAGAACGCTTGCAGCTTAGCAAACAACTGCGGGAAACAGGAAGAGTCCACGAAGGAGACAAGACCCTTACGCTGAACTGTACCATTGATGGTGCTGGGCGTGAATTTGGTGCTATGAAAGGCTTTGAAGGGGCGGAGATATGGCTTGTCGATTGCACTGATGCAGTGGAAGATTGGAAGATCCTAGAGAGGCGGGAGCTCAGGAAACTAATATCCTCGCCAGATGTCTACGTGACAAGAGGCGAACCATATTTCAATCTATTCGCCAAGGAGGAAAGAACGCCTGAGCAAGTCAGGGAGATGGCGTCCTATCCAATGAGCTGGGGCGGACACGGACCTTATGGCAAGTACGTGCCAAGGCATCTCCTATCAATGGATCCATACGATTCATATTATCCCTCGGACCTAAGGTAGCGTTCACCTTTCTGGCTGTGATTTGCGCTCAAGATCATGCCAACCACAGGAGTCGCGCACCTAATTACGGACAATGGGGAAACTCGATGATGCTAGGAAATATGTATCCAAGTTTCAACATGTATCCAAGTTCGAACATGTATCCAAGTTCGAATATGTGGGGGTTTAACCCCTACATGGATGCATATCATGGACTGGAAGAATACTATTGAAAGCATCAAGAGCATTCGTATGCGATGTGCATTACGCATACTGGGTATTGGCTGTAACGCTCCTTAGACTAATATATCGTTAGTTACAGCTTGTGTGTAGAGCATAGATGTATAGAAATTCACATTGACGGTTTTGAAATAACATCGTGTAGCTGTACATGCCAGCAGAAAGCCTGGTTTTGCGACAGTCCGGCGTTGGAGGGGATGTATGTGGGTGGGATCCTTAAGTTGGAACAATCGCCATACGGTCCAAACGCATCCTGAAACGCCAGAAATCCGAGAAATCTGACGTACAACTAGTCCATCACAATCGCATGGTAGACTGGTGAACAGTCCGTTCAATGAGCCAAGCCGTTGATAAACAGAAGTGTGGTAGACCGGTGAAACAGGCTGGGTTTGAATTTTTGACGCTTTGGCTGGCATCAGGTTACGACCGAGGCTCGTGCACGTTCCAAAGTTTTGGTAGCAGAAATCCGATTCACTCGATGACTCAAAGGTGTACGAAGTCCTGTTACCTCTTGTCGACGCGTGACGCTGACTAAAGGAGCGCGTGTCTGGCTTTCCATACTTCTGAAGCGGCTTTTTCGGGATCAACGAATCTACACTTGTTAGAACCTTGTCGATACGTTTTCTTTAAAGCTCTCCTCTCTCCACCTTAATAACCTCTTCGCTTCTATTTATCTCTCACTCTCATCATTAGTAGTCACCATCACAGAACCTATATTGATTTTTCTCATCTTCACCTCCAACCACGCGACCATCCAAAGGTGCGGACGTTTGCGTCAGACAAAACCAAGGCTTCTCCCACTAATTGTGGGAGTCACGGGGAATATGCAATTTCGAATTTTCGCTGTCAGGGACTCGCTGCGGTCAGCTATAGGTTATTAGGTACCAAGTCTCTATTCAAAATTTCAAACTCGCATCCAGTTGTTACAACTTGCCAGGTGTTGTATGGCCCAAGGTAGCGTACTGCGCTGGCGGCTCACCGTACCACTTAAAACACTATAAGACCTTTCACAGGTTGCAGCCATGGGGACTTTGACACTCGCAGTTACTAGTACCTTCGCTTCTTCGCGGAGGTTTATCGAGATTCGACACCGGATCACATCTTGGGTATATACAACCATCGAGAGCTGCTGCATCTCGACATACCACCTTTTGTCGATCAGAGCCTCCTGAATACACACCCAAGCTTCCGGTCATAAGTAGCATGCAGTCTATGAACATTCTGATCATCGCTGCCTTCCTCATCAGCGCAGTGAGGGCAGGTCGGTGATTTTTTAATGTTTGTTGAACAAGTTGATAATTAAATACAATAGCGAGTGACAACAGCACGATCAGTGTCGAAGCGCCGACAATAGTCTCTATAGTATTCCGTCAGTCCGCGAAGTATCATATTTCGCATTGCATCTAATTCATTCTATTCAGAATACAACCCAAACAAAGTCGCAGCGGCCGTGGCCGGCGGGCTGTACTTCTCCGCCAGCCTTTGCCTGTTCACGCGCTTATTCATGAACAAAGCATGGTGGGGACTTTGTCTCCCTATAGGTTCAACCTGTAAGTTCTGACTTCCCCCCTCAAAATACATGTTTACTGGTGGATCAGTCATGTCTATTGGCCTTTTTATGCGCATACCCATGGCGATGTATCCAAATTCTTCCCTGATTTTTATGGCCCAAGAATTCTACACCTTGTTAACGCCGGCCGCATTCTTCGCCTTCAATTACATCTTATACGGGCGTTTCATTGTCAACTGCGTAGACAAACGCTACTCTTGGATAAAACCAGAGAGAGTCACCAGGTACTTCGTGATCAGCGATATCACGGCATTCCTCATACAGGTTTGAAATTTAATTGTTTGTCTTCATCACACGAAATACTAATTGCGACTTTATACAGGGTGGAGGTGCTGGTCTGCAAGTGTCAAAAAATGCGACAACCGACAAGCTGGGATCGAACATACTGATTGCAGGAATAGCCGTACAGGCATTCTCCTTTGCGTTCTTCATATTTTTGGTTGTGCTTGCATGGCGTAGCATCCTTCGAGACGGTATTCTGCCCCGTCAGGAGCCATGGGGGCCGATTCTTCGGATATTGATGTTTTCGTCAATAGCGTTCATGGTGGGTCCCGTCCACGTTCCATCGTCCATCTTCACTGGTGTTGCATGATATAGATTCGCTGCAATTATCGTGTCGCTGAGCTTGTTCAAGGTAAGAATGGCTATTTCCTCATACACGAAAGTGAGTGTCGGAATACGAAAATTGAGGTGCTTGGTCTGACGGTCCCCTGACAAGTCTACTTCTACCTCTTCGACTCCCTGCCACTGTTGATTGGTATTTCCACATACATCTTCTACTGGCCAACAAAGTATCTCGACAACTCAGCCAAGACCGCACACCAAATGAGCGACCTGGTTTAGATTCCTGTCATTGCCGTTTTCATTAAGGGCACCCTCGATGCCCACTGTAGGACTATGATATTTATTACGATGCGACAATGTTCTATTTCGAATTGTATTCCTTGACCACGCAATGTCCCTTGCTCTGTGTTCGAATCTGGATCGAACAAGAAAATTTATGCTAAGCCTATTGGTATTTTATATTCAATGTCAGAGCAGGCCCGACTTACGAAAATCGAGTGAGGATTCCAAAGTTGTGCACAATAATAGTGAGTCATTGCGGTTCAATACGGAGGCGGGTGCTGGTTTGCGGTGTGACGATACGCGACGTAAAGTGGACATATTTGAGGCTGGCTAGCCATCGGCGAGTCGATGCTGTGTTAGTGCGTCGAAAGATGAGTCGCTATTGAGAGATTGTGTGGCAGGGTGATAGAGGTCATTTCTGGCTGTTTTTCTATCACCCCGACTTTCTCGAGCCGGGCCAGTACTACATAGTATTGCGAGTTGTCACATGCGTTTAAATTTCGTACCCTTTATAATATGCTTCGGCAGTATTTGGCCTCGTACCAGGTAGTGAACAAGCCTACGTGTCCTGAAATCCAGATTTGAATGCGTATATGAAAGTCTTGAGAAGAGATCAGATCTGAGAAGCAACTTGTTAGTGGAGTGGTGATTGTCGGACGGTTAGTGACTGTTCAGTTGGTTCACTGTCCATTTGGTAAGATGAACGAAGCGGGAAGCCTAAACGGTAGAGCCGCACCAGCTGCCGGAGCTGCCGGTTAATTACCCCGTGCTACACGCTTGCACTGACCACTTATACGTGGCGTGAGCACTGTCGGCAGCAACGTGCTCAACAAGCACCATGCTCAGCATGGACGAAGCGTCTGATGTCATGACCAGAGAACTGCCAGTGGAACGACGCCAACGACACTCGCGGGATCGTACGACTTCGTTGAATTCGCTTTCTCACTTTAAAAGTGGTCCGTCCAAGCATATGCGGCCTTCCACCCTCCGAAATCGTGGCTCTAATGCCAGCATGAAAAGCATCGGGTACATATCATCCTTACAGGCTTGAACAGTGCTTATGTCTGTTGCACAGCTCCGAAACTGACCACTCGGAAATTATTGCCCCCATTCCCCGCCGACATCTCCTGCAAACGTCACAAAGTCTTCATTGGCTTCGGGTCGATACGTCGTCAGGAGACGAATGGTTGAACAGAGGTGTATCTCCCATGTCCGCATCTTCAGTGGGCTCTGTCTTCCCCAATAGCAGGAAGAACAACCGACTTAGCTTCACCGCTCTTATGGAACACGAAAGAACCGCAGCTGGGGCATCATCCACGGTTGATAAGAGAATACTTGAGGACGATCAGGGAACTGTCGGGGCTGGAAGGCGGTGGTTGAGGTGGATGCATCGAAATAATATGAAGAACTGGGTGGTTCCTTCAGCTATCGCCACATCTACCTTGGTGAAATGGTGCATCGGACTTGGAACATATTCGGGTGCGTAGAATCACTGCGCGCATACTTTAATGTCAATGCGTTTTACAGGCCACGATACACCACCCATATTCGGCGATTATGAAGCCCAGCGACATTGGATGGAGCTTACCGTACACCTCCCCGTTAGGGAATGGTACACGTATGACTTGCAGTACTGGGGTCTTGACTATCCTCCTCTGACTGCTTATGTATCGTGGCTATGTGGAAAAATGTAAGTCTGCCAAGTAGACTTCAATTCGCTTATCTTCAGTTATATTGTTTCTCAGTGGGTCATTAATCGAATCTTCATGGTTCACGCTGCAGGCATCTCGCGGCATAGAGACCGCAGGAAGCAAGCTGTTCATGCGAACCACCGTGCTTGCCCTTGATATGCTAATTTATGTTCCGGCATTGTATACGTTTGTACGCGCATGGCAGGGCACGCGATCATCAAGGAAACGAGTACGTTAGTCAAACCCTTGTCACAAGAGCTCCATATATTTATCATTGGATTGTGAGTAGCATGCTGCGCTGCTCACAGTATTGTTCCATCCAGCCCTTCTATTGATCGATTTTGGTCATTTCCAATACAACTCCGTCATGCTAGGCAGGTTTCTCCTGATCGCTAGTGTTTCTGATTCTGACCAGTGTTTTCATCAGGTTTGACACTACTCGCGATCAATGCCTTTGCAGCTGGATATGATCTCCTTGGAGCTATATTCTTCGTCCTGAGTTTAGGTTTCAAACAGATGGCTCTTTATTACGCACCTGCGATCGGCTCTTACTTGATTGGAAAATGCATTTATCTAGGCCCAGTCCACGGGTAAGTCTGTCGCAGCTGTAGGACCATTCCAGACAAACTAAATATATTCCAGTACTAGCCTGTTTCTCCGCCTGGCTCTGACGACCACATTAGCTTTCATCATCATGTTCGCGCCCTTCCTCCCTCCCTTCTCCCCTCTCTCCACTATTGCTGCACCTATCATTCGTATATTTCCGTTCGGGCGTGGCCTCTTCGAAGACAAAGTTGCCAACTTTTGGTGCTTTACCAACGTGTTAGTGAAGTGGAAGCAGCTATTTGCTGGTCGAGAAGGTGTTCTTATCAAAGCCTCTACTGGACTTACCGCTCTTGGGTTCCTGCCTGCTGTGGTCGCGCTAATTTTCGGTGGCTACAAGACCCAGCTGCAGACGGATATTAAAAACGACTCCGCAAATGGGTCTTCTGCGATAGTACACGCTAGCCCTCCAACACCAATTCTGCCGCTCTTGCCGTATGCACTCCTAACCTGTTCCATCTCGTTCTTCCTTTTCTCGTTCCAGGTGCATGAGAAGACTATTCTTGTTCCTCTGCTACCTCTCACACTCCTGCTGTCGGGTGCTGCACCTACTGACGACGTATTCTTATGGGGAACTTTGGGCAACAATGTTGGTCTCTTCAGGTAAGTAGTGTACTCTTCTGCCAGCGTAAATGCTAACAGGTGTGCTTTTCACCGATAGCATGTGGCCCTTACTTAAAAAAGACGGTTTAGGACCCCAATACCTTGCGATGCTTCTTCTGTGGAACCGACTGATCGGGCATAATCCGTTCAAACTACACTATGAATCTTTCGTAGGACTCGTCTCTTCCGTATGAAACGCTTCTTGTGTAGTGTTCGCTCCCAGCTGACAAAAATTGATCTCAGGTGGTGCATACAGCAATAATCCTCCTCCACCTGCTCGAGCTTACAGTGACGCCACCCACACGTTACCCTGATCTCTTCCCAGTCCTCAACGTCTTAGTGAGCACACCCGTTTTTGTGCTCATCTGGCTTTGGAGCATCAAGCGCTCCGTGGAAGTGAGCTGGGCGATAAGTGGACTACCTGGAAGACGCGAAAAAAAAGACGAATCGTCTTCAGTTCCCTCTGCAATTAGTGCTACCTCGTCGAGTGCGGCGTTCGGACGGACTTCGATGCGTGCAGAAGTGGGCGTGCGTGCGATGAGTCTTGGTTATGCAAGTGGGCGTGGGCGCGGACAGGCTGATGCTAGAAGGCGGGCGTTGGAGGTGTTGAGCGCGGGGAGTGATGATCAGGAGCATTGAGCGTTGGGGATGGACTTCGTTTGTTTTAATTTAAGGGAATATACATGATCGCACGTATTCTGCTCACGGTTTTTTTGCGGGAGATTGAGTTTTTTTCCGAGGAGAGGGGGACTTCTGATCTTTACGGAATCGTGCGCTTTCTCGGTTCAGATGCTTGGTTAAACCGGATTATCGATAACCTGTGCGTATCATCATGCATACCTTTGAATGGGGACATCCTATCTTAACTACATCTAGATCGAGGAATCAGCTCTTCCGCTCGGACGCGATCGCGACAAAGCAATCTCAATCTTGCAATACGAAAGCCACCGCCAGCCTTCGATGGCAACAGAATGTTCTGAAACTCAAGACCATCCAGAACGTATGCCAAAGGATTATATTCAGCGCTCAGTCTCAATAAACGAAAATGAATGAAGGGGAATAAGACATATCAATGAAATAAACATAGATCGCAGAAATGTGTCCCGTAAATAAACTAAATGAGTCCATGATCGTACCAATGAAGGAGAAAACAAATCAAAAGAACTGTAATATGGGTAGTTGGTGGGTAGTGGAGGAAATCCGAAGGGACCAAGTTGGTCAGCTAGACGGACTATATGCGGGACTCTGAGATAGTGGTCTGCGGCCTTCGTCTTCCAGGTTGCAGTAGCCAGTGAAGGAGGCCGCTTTGTCGTTTGGCGCGTCGTCGAGATTTGGTCGTAGGGGACCTTTGACTCATCGAGGACTTGCGATAAGTTGGGTGCGTAGTATGTGCGGGGGGCCTTCGACCTCACGGATAATGACTCCGTGTCGTAGGGGACAGTGAGGGAGGCCCTTAGTAGGCGGTCATCGGATTGATCGTAGGGGACCTCTGACACCGAAGACGTGTGTGATGAGACAATGTCTGACGTGTTTGGTTGCATGGGACTCTAACAGCGAAACATTAGTAATTGAAGTGAGAATATATGGGTGGACTACTCACCATTCGTAGACGTCGCGTGGAGTTTAGCGGCTAGTAGGATGTCGATAATGTACTAGTAATCGAATTTTTGACGACTGTGAGGGACTATTGTCGAGAATACAAGGTTCCACATGTCGATGTATGGCGTTGATAGCATTGTCGTGTAGGGTGAGTCGTAGTTGAAATTCCGAGGACTAAGAACAGCTATCGTGAGTAAGAACTTTGATATTTCGGAAGAGGGTGTTGGTGGTGTCGTCGAGTAAGATGCATTGCGGCGTAAGTGTCGAGGATTGAGACTATGATGGGGATTATCGTCGAGAGTAAGGGCTTCCATCTGTTGAAGTAGATCGTCGATAGCGTCGTCGTGTAGGGTAGTAAGAGCGTCTGGGTTTTGCAGCAGAGCATTGCTAGCGTGGTTGTCGTCGAGATTTAGAGCTTCTGTGTCCTCGGGAAGCATGTTGATAGCGTGGTCGTCGTCGAGAGTAAGAGCTTCTGATTTTTGCGGTAGAGCGTCGAAAGCGTGATTGTCGTCGAGAGTAAGAGCTTCTGTGTTGTGGATAGCGTGGTTATCGTGGAGAGTAAGAACTCTTGGTTTTCGCAGAAGAGCGTCGATAGCGTGGTTGTCGTCGATAGCAAGAACTTTTGTGTTATTGGGTAGCGTGTCAATAGCGTGGTCGTGTAGAACGTGATGCGGGCGAAGTTTCGATAATTGAGAGGGAACCTCATCGAGAGAAAGAGCTGCCATCATTCTTATTAGGTTGTCGATAGAGCGGTCGTGTACTAGAGTGTGTTGGGGCTGACATTTCGATGACTGAGGGGAACCATTGTCGAGAGGAAGAGTTGCAGGTAGGCTGGCGGTAGTGTGATCATTTTTTGGCCGAAGCTTCGGAGGCTGAGATGGATCAGATAGGATGTTGATAGCGTGGTCGTGTAGTGTGTGATATCGTCGAACAGTTGATAGTTGGGAGGGTACATTGTCGAGAGAGAAATGAGAAGGTACATTGTCGAGAGAAAGAGTGGATAAATGAGAGGACACATTGTCCGGGGAAAGGGTTGATAAATGAGAGGCTACATTGTCGAGAGAAGGAGTGGATAGATGAGAGGTTACATTGTCGAGAGAAATGACTGATAAGTGAGAGGGTACATTGTCGAGAGAAGTAGTGGATAAATGAGAGGATACATTGTCGAGAGAAATGGTTGATAAACTAGAGGGTACATCGTCGAGAGAAATAGCTGAAATTCTTCTGATTAGGTCGTCGATGGTTTGTGGGTCGTATCCGACATGCAAGGTGTGGTCCGGTTCATTGTCTGCAAGGCAGTGTGCTGTAGCCTGGCAGTCGTCCTATAGACCCAAGCATTAGTAAACGGAAGTCAGAAAAATCACGCTGCTTCTTACCTCATAGAAAGTGACTTCGTCAGTGAGCGACTCGACGTCTGAGACACGGTCGCAGAAGAATACGTCCTTGGCCAACTTGAACTCCTCATCGTGGGCTATGAGTGTCGTGTCAGAATCAGTCGTCGATAAGCCTTTGGTGGGAGCCTCAAAGGTGGTTTCGGTTGATTCAATCACTGCACACGACGAGGATGGCCGAGCTGCTACTCCAAAAGCCTTAGTTGTTGAGATAGCGTCCAGGGTGTTGCCTCCAGCAAAAGATGCGTCGAGCCCAGCGGTATGGTCCTTGAGAGCGGGGACGCGTTGGAAATCATCGCTGAGGAATTGTCGAGCAGCTTTGGCGGAGGCTAGAAGAAGGACGGCTGTCGAGGAGCAGACAGTGAACGTGACAAGGCTAACGGAGACCTCCTCTGATTCGGACAGGACCTGAATAGTGCGGTCGATGACGATTTCTTTGAAAAACGAGGCTGTAAGATAGCCTTGCATAACAACACGCGCGGCGCGGGTCATGGTAGTAGTAGAGATCATAATGGCGAGTAAATGGAGGGGTCGTGAAGATATGCTGATGACGGTAACGGCAGGACTGACTGAGGGATATTGCAGCGACAAACACGCAATACTTATACTCCCAGTTTGAACCTTATTTGTACGCCGATATACATTATCAACAAAGCCGATCGCGACGCGTTAGTCACGTGTTCAGAAATCAACCCTATATAAGTTCGGGGCACTGCGATGAACATGCAAAGTATCCCCCCGCCAACATGATAGGATTAGGCTACATACCGAGGCATCTTGTATGTTACTCAGTGATATTATCAGTTCAGCCACCAGAACCTGACAAAGCTCTTCGTCAAAAGAAAGCTAGATCATAATTGAGAATGGGCGTGATTAACGTACTGCCGTTCCACACACCATGACTATAAGCATCTTCTCCCAGGCCAGACCGACCGCGAGATGCGCGCCATCGACACTCGCCCAATAGCTTTTTGATTTCCATTCATGTCCTTTGTCAAACTTTAGCACGAGAAGGCGAGGCCGAGTTTGAAGTTCCTGCGGAAGGAAACATACTAGGTCAGAGCGAGGGATACTGGCCAGTACACCAAAAAGTGTCGAGGAACTGGTAATTGTCGACTCACGAACAAATGTGGAATGGGCTGAGACCACTAAGGAGTCGAGGAAGCAGAATATGCGTTGAATAAGCGCAAAGAGGCGGGGACAACAACGATCCGGAAGATATTTCCGCGACAAAACAGACGGCATTGCGTAGGCTCGACCTAACACCTAAGTCCCTTGCAGATGCGCATTGCGCCCGCACGGTTGGATAATGATCCGACCGTGTACTTTATAATGAATGTCATTCGTTTATTTTGGGCCGGGCATCCTCGACCTTTGGGGAACATGAACGACAGAACAAATTCCACCGGTCCCTAAAGACATGTCATCATTGATCAGCTCCACAACGTTTAGGTGTAACGAGGCACAGGGCAAGATCGTGGAGCCCTTCCTTCAGGACACCCCGAAGGTCAGATGGTCCTATATGCGGACTTGGTACATTCCCGCAGCTGGAGGAAACGGGGACGTGGTGGGGCATCTTTCGTGGTGGAAGCAATTGGCAGCATCCGGCGCAGACGCAGGGATTTCTGTGGAGCAATGCAAGTTAGGGTGTCTGGGCGACTGCACAAATCACGGTTTCGTTGTGCAGGAAGTGACTTTGGAGAGAAAACATGGCTCTCAAAACCAGTCCCATACCAGTAGTAAATCCAGTGGCACAGCCAACTCGACGGTAGGTAATCGGAGCTCCATCATGACTTTAAATTTTGTGACCGGGAACTCAGCTCGGTTGCCAACGGAAGTGCAAAACTAATTAGGCAAGCCGCAAAAGGCATGTCGAATATCCTAATCGGATCACATCATGACCCGGTGACAAGCTTCTTTTCATCCGTCACTTGCGGCGAGCGTTCACTCGGAGAAGAATTCCACTTCTTCTTGCAATCGTTATATCCACTAGTTGGAAGTTGGCCTAGAACCTAGATCGCCGTATGTATTGATCTTTGCCCTGTCCATTTGGTGATGACCTTCGCGAATCCCCACCTTGACGTCCCACGACATCACTGTCCCATCACCACTTACGCTTGTGGCAATACTGTTGCCGTTTGAATTCCCTACTGTCAACCCGATAACTTCAATGTGTTTAAAGCTTGGAGACAACGCGATGGGTTTCATAGTCGGAGTGAGCCGTCCTACAAACCTATAATGAGGTGTCCTCCGCCAGGATAGTACACAGCATCTCGTATCACTTTAGAATGGCCTCGCATCATTTGGCAAGGCCCGTGTAACCGCTCGCGCCTTTTTCTGCTGCGTGCTGTCATGGGAAAATATGGTCGACGCTCGAGGCGTAACTAGCATGCGGGATGAGGTCAGCGGGATCCTTCAAGTTGAACTCTAGCAGGTTGTCTTGCAAGCCAAAGGTTGCCAGTGAGTCTTCGCGTCTATCTTCTTTCACTTCAGTCACATCAATGGTAGTCCATGAGACATTGCTCGTGAGACAGTCAATTTAGTTCTGATCCTTAGGACGGCTTCTGCACCTTGTATGCAGGTCTTGTTACCGTGTAATGCAGAAATTCGCAAGAGATCTTTGTGATATTCAAGTTGCCGGTAAGTGAGTGATCAGTTTTATTACTCACTAGAAACACTTTGTCAGACCAACTTGTGATGCTCCAATCACCAATGAGAGAGAAGGATTGTAGGCTGAGACAGCGGGGCGGGCGTTTGGAGGAAGTCAGTACTACCGTGCGTATTCCGTGCGTTATCGTCCTGTTCGCTTCACCCCTTAATTGCTGTGCAGATGAAGCACTCTGTGGCGCTATGGACACCTTTCTATACCTAAAGGATTGCCCTGATCACATGCAAAAATTCGAATGGAGGCGTATATCCGTTCCTCTTCACTTCACATGTCTCTTCCAGCCTGTCTATTTTCAAATCTGTTGTCTTCAGATGTTCGCAAGCTGCAGCTTGCTGTCACAGCGTGCTGTATTCTGAATCCCGCCCTAACCATATTCCGACGTAGACCTCTCCTTCGGAAGCTCTGTGCCATTACGAGGGAGTGTCGTGGTCCCCGCCACGAGTCTCTTAGCTTATTTTATTCAGGACAAGGGACGGGATTTCTGAAAGACCAAATACGCTCGTTTTAAACGACTATCTTTCTTTGTTCAAGGTCTGCCCCAGAGAGGCTAACAACTTCCGACCCATGTCTGATTGAGATTGGGTTTCCATCTCGCCTTGGCACGGGCTAGTACTACGGTGACATGACACAGCTAAGACTGGGAATGGCGTAATAGTGAAGAAAGGCGACCGAGGACGGCGCGTGCAGAGGAACGAGGGTGGATATTGTGCGCTGTGACCTGCAAGTGGGAGGTCAGTGAGCTAGACTTTACCAAAGATCCATGGGAATTGCACTCACTTCAGTAATAGGCAGTAGGTCTTCAAGGCCAGCTTTTTGGAGGATGGCATAGCTGTCCCACACGTATACTTTTTCGTCATCGCAACCAGTAACTAGCAGCTGTCCACCAGCACAAAAGGTTGCACATTGTACCCAACCTCTGTGTTGGAGTGGTTTACCGACTTGGAGGTTCGTGTCGAGATTCCACAGACGCACTGTGTTATCATACGATGCGCTCGCAAGGACGCGGTCATTCGGGGACAAGCTTATGGCGTTGACAAAGTGTGAGTGACCCTCCAGAACGGCGATCTCCTGCCCAGTTGATGTATCGAATATCCTAATTGACTCATGTGATGAAGAGATTATCTTCTTGTCATCCGACGTCCATGCCAAGCTACGACCTGGGAAATCGTGCTGGAGTTCAAAGAGCAGGTCGCCTGACTTGGCATCCCAGATATTAACTCCATCAGTGTCACCGTATCCTCCCGTAGCAAATTTTGTCGAGTCGGGTGAGTAGATCACTGCCCACACATTATCGTGCCCGGTCTCAATTGGTCCAAGGACTGTTTCGCCGGTCTTGAGATCCCACACCCTCGCCGTCCCGTCTTGTGATCCGCTCAGCACTGCTTCACCATCTGTCCTCCAACATACGGACCGCACGAACTTAGTGTGCCCTGTCCATTTGGCTATCACTTTGTCTGTCTCGACGTCCCACAACCTCACTTTCCCATCATCGCATCCACTCACAACAGTGTTCCCGTTCGGAGATAAAGCTATGGTGTTCACTCCCGTCACCTCCTCATCTCTCCAATCGTCGCCTATCTGAGCTCCGCTTTCCAGGTTCCATCGTCTGAGCGAGCCATCAGTGGAACATGTGATGATGTGTTGTCCGCCAGGCAATTGCAGAGCGCCTTTTATCCAGTTGGTATGACCTTTCATCGTCTTACAGGGCGTGATCATGGTCGATACTCAGGGTCTCGAGTACGGCAGAACGTGTGATGCGAGAATTCGCATTCGCGAATTTGAAGTGGCTGGTAAGCGCGCAGTCAGTTTTGCCTTGCAGAATAGCCCAGAGTATCACTCACGAGAAAGCGTGAGGCAAAAACTGTAAGTTGATGTAGTGTTTGGTTGGGAGTCGAGGAGGCACTTGTTGGTTTGACTGGTCTTTTAAGGTGCTTCTCATGCCATTGTTATCCTCATGTCTCACCTGTGGCACTGTGGATTCAATCATCCCTATTGAATTAGATAATGTGTCACAATGAGTCTCGGAGTCAGAGAAGCTGTTTACTTCAAAGTGTAAGTGGTTTTGTGATCGAAACGCCCAGGTTTGCCACAGGTGCTGTGACCATCTTGTCATATGCATGGGATTACTTGCGTTGATTCCTGTGACATATGACATCCGCCAGGGCGACGCACTTCCTCTCTGCTTCACATATTTCTTCCAGCGAGTTTTCGAAACTCGATATCTCCAGAATGCTCGCAGACGGTACAGGTAACAGCTATCAGCATGCCGTCATATCTGTATCTCGAATCTTGCGCTGCTCATACTTTGACGTACCTCTTCTTTGTCACCTTCAGAAGAAAGGTCCTGACCAGCATGAATGTGTGGTTTGCGAGGTCACAGACGTGTCGTGGCCCCGCACAACAGCTGATCGTTCCCCTCTCTTATTCTGGACAAGGGACGGAATTTCTGGCTATCCTTCGTCTAAGGTCTGCCTAGGAAGGAGACCAACAACTTCCCACACATGTCTGGCCGAGACTAGTTGTCCATGCATTGTCAGGAAATGATGCCCAAAACTGGGTTCGTGTCTCTTGTCGGAGCACTCCAGTTTAAAATTTTGACCCTCCTTGTCGTAGATATCCTCCATTGTGTATCCGTGAATATGCTTGTTAAAAACTAGCGGTGGACAGCAACAATGAAGTAATCATACTAAGAACCGGAAGCTAAGATGATATAGCGGTTCATATGCTGCATCTGTATGAATGCACATCAGCGCGTGGGGGGAATGAACGGCAAAGAAAGAGCCCGAGACAAGCCAACAACGACAGGAAGCGTGACTGCACGGTTGCTGCACCTGGTGTGGTAGTATTGGTATCAGGAGCAGGAGGTGCGGTGGACGTCGAGGCGGTGACAGGTGAGATTGTGACGACGGCGACTGAGTCTGACCTTGTGAATGGCGCTGTATTTGTTTTACCGGCCACGGAGCAACGTGCAGTGCCTGCGCGGAAATAATTGAACTCCAGTTATTGGAGATGCGCATAGAGACGTAACTGTCTGTCCCGCACTGGAGCAACTTCGGCAACATGAGGAACGTGATGGGAGAAGATAGATCGCCTTGGGCGTTTCTGAAGTTCGGTTGCTTCATTAATGTTATAGGGAGAGCGGCGAAAGGCGTGCGAGGTGCACAATTCCATTTCCCAAAGAGTGTGCAAGAGGCTGGCGGGTAGAGGAACGGTGTTGGATACCGGGCGTCAGTGCGGAGGACTGAGATCAAGAGGTCAAAACAAGAACTGATTTAAAAAAAACTGACAACGCACCTGAACACTGTGTCTCGCCCGCCATTGGCAAAAAAGTGGTGGTAGTTAATTGTCCTCGGCCAGCATGACATCGGTCTAGAATGCCCCTGTTACAGTTATCGACAAGGTCGAGAATATTACACGTACGTCTATCAATTCTACGACCTGCGAGCGGGATATAAGTCGATTTAAACCACGAAATTTACTCACATCAGGAAAGGACAATAGGTCTTCAAGGCCAGCTTCTTTGGCGATGGTGTGAACGTCCCACACGTACACATGTTTGTCCTTGCAACCAATGACTAGGAGTTTTCCATCAGCGGAAAGACTGCACATTGCATTTCAACTTCGCGCTGCAGCTGAACTGACTATACGTACTCTGCAGCTGGAGAGAGCTGGAGTCTGGACGGTGGAATCTCCGAAGCGTGTGACGATGTTCTGTCACGTGCTACGTGCAAAGTCGCGGTCGTGACGGTGACACGCGCTTTTCTCTGATTCCCCTGAGGTCGCGACAGCAAACACAGCAGAAACATCCTCCACTGCAGCTTCGAGTCTACGACCAATAGCTGGAACTTTTCTGAACTTCTGTCAAGCATAAAACATTACGCTCGAAGCAGCAGACTCATCGAACTCCTCGTCGTAAATGGCAAGTCTCAACAAGCTTGCAATCCGGGGCATTCGTTCCTTCGACGACAAGCAAATATCTGTCATTGAGTTTTTCTCGCCAGTCACTGTCATAGTTGGACACAATGGAAGTGGAAAAACGACTGTCATTGAGTGTTTGAAGTACGCGACGACGGGCGACCAGCCCCCCAATACTCGAGGTGGCGCGTTCATCCATGACCCGAAGATGGCGAATGAGAAGGAAGTCAAAGCTCAGGTCAAGTTACGATTTCATGCTGCAAATGGGACGCGGATGCTTGTCGTTAGGAACCTCTCAGTTACAGTAAAGAAGACTGGCTTAACTATGAAGACCCTCGAGAACATCCTCGCGCTTGCGGACAGCAATATTGAAAAGGGCGGGAAGGTGTGTCACAAGCATTCGTATCTTGGACTTGTCTGAAAATTTCTGCTTCCACCAGAGGGGAGCTATTTCCACGAAATGCGCCGAGATAGACACAGAAATACCCCATCTCCTTGGGGTGTCGAAGTCTGTTCTGGAGAATGTAATTTTCTGTCATCAGGAAGATTCGTATTGGCCCCTTGCTGAGCCTTCTGCGCTCAAGAAGAAATTTGACGATATCTTCGAGGCCACGCGGTAAGTTTTTCTCTTGTTGAATGGAATAACCTTTCAGCTAAGACTTGAACTAGATATACTAAGGCGCTCGACAACATTAAGTCGCTGCGTAAAGATCGTGTTGCAGACCTTAAAGCGGACAAAGAACGTCTAGAATCTCTTGCTAAAGAGAAGGCGCATGCCGATAAGCTCCGTGGCCGCATCAGCGACCTGAATGTCACCATTACTGGGAAGCAGTTGCAGTACGAAGAGACCAAGAAGCAGTACGAGGAACTCGTCAAGAACAATGCCCGCTTCTACGAGTCTGCCACCAAATTCCGCGAGTTATACGTCAAGGTTGAAAATTTGCAACAGAAGAAGGAACATTATCGACAGGAGCTTTCAGATGCGAAAGAGAGCGTACAGGAAGTCGGAGGTAACTTTTCGTGTCTTGATTGCACGCGGGTGGTTGAAACTGAGCGCATATAGGCACGGATGAGGAGCTTCAGGAGCGCTTACGCAACTTTGACCAGAACATCGAGAAGGAGAAAATAGCTCGCAATAGACGCGAGGTGGAACGACAAGACCTTGAAGATGAACTTGCAAAAACGCGAAGGTCGCACGTGGAGCTTATCAATGAACACGGAGAACTTGCCGCAGAGGCCAAGGTACTCTTTTGACTTGCTTGTGCATTGGTTTTGTAACATGGTCGTTAGGCTCACGATCGTCGCATTTCCGAACGCGAAGAACTCATCCGTGAGATCAGCGACAAGAACATCATCAAGGGCTACAATCACTCTCCTCTCGAACGCGAGAAAGTGGTTGAATTTGTGTCCCGGCTCGGGGATCTCCAGCGTCGACAGAGGTCTGAATATGAGAAGCTGCAGGTGCACTAAACCGGCAACCTTGGCGCGCCCTTCAGTCCACTAACAATCACACAGACTGGACGGAACAGCAAGAATGACGAACACAGCCGCAAGTTACGAGTGCTGCATACCGAACTAGAAAGTCTGCGGATGCAACGAGGAAATACACGCGAACAGATTGTATGTTGGCGTCCTCATTGATTTTCATGAGTTGCTTTACACTCTTCCCTATCATAGAAAGAGCGTCAAGCTGCTATCACCAAAGCTGAATCGTCAGTCGACACGATGCAGGGTCTTGCGTCCGAGCTCCGCACTCTTGCTGGTGACATCGAGGAGAAGAAATTGCGTCTCGAGAAGATCAAGGCGGATATGCAATCTGGAAACTTCGATGAGCGCCTGAACGCGAAGGCCGCAAGGGCACGGAATATGGAAGATCAACGTGACACCCTAAACCTGGAACTTCGCGGCCTGAGCATGCAGGCGGATTCAAGGGCTCGTTTGGACCTCAAGCGGGCAGAGGTGAAGAGTAAGACATCAGATACCAAGAACATGTGAGTTCCTTTGTTCAACCTCTTTTGCCTTCTGACGATTTTTTCATAGCCTTGAGTTGTCCAACGTCAAATTCCGGAAGTTAATAGGAAGAGATGCAAAAGCGGAAACGATGGAGCGTGATATTGACCGTGCCTCGAGGTAACTATACATTCGGTGATCAAGCCCTGGTTAATAATAAATTATTCCAGGGAGAAAGATGAGGAGCTCGCTGGCGCAGAGGTGGAGGCTGCCGCCGCTAACAAAGAGCTCCAGCAAGCAGAGACAACCTTATCGCACGCAAAATTCGAGTTGAAGAGCAAGCGTGACGAAATGAAAAGTAAGCTCTCTCGCGTACTAAAGGGGCGTCTTGTACTAATCAAGTCGTAGAACTGGAGAAGCAGCTCAAGGACGAGATTGACGGGGGGATTCCTTTCGAGACCGCCCTCTCGTCCGCAGAGGGGGAGCTCGAGCTCCGCAAGAAGTATGTGTCCCCCATTCTTTCTAGATGGTTTCTGATTCCTACCATAGGGAGAGCAAAGCGGGCGTGAGTCAAGTGTATGAGCAAATTCTGAGAGCAGGACAGGCGAAGAAACGTTGCACTGCCTGCAACCGCGGCCTACATGATAATGAGATGGTTGGGTTTGAGAAATATGTATGTGTTGTCACCCAAGTTCTTCGGGAGCCACATTTTAACAATCACGCATACAGCTCAAGGAGCAAATCAAGAGCCATTCTCCCGAGGCCGTAGAGGCTCAGAAAGCCGAAATTGAACAGTGGGAAAGTGAATTGAAAGGACTCCGTGATCTTATGCCTGTATTTACAACTAAGGAGCGCATCAGGACGGTCGAGCTTCCAGCACTGGATAAGCAAATCAAGGCCTTAGATGAAGATCTTCCGTCCAATGTCGAGAGGGCGGAGCAGGTAAGATACCCTTGTAACTTCTCGGGACTTGCTTACATATGTATATAGGCCGCCCAGAGGCTAACCGATCTTAAGAAGGACATTAAGGAAATTGGTTCCTTGAAGCAATCCGCCTCTACCGTGTCGCGTAACCAGAATGAGACCGAGCGACTCAAGACTGAGATCAGAAACTTGGAAACGGAGCTTGCTGCCACTGGTACCGCCAAGACCGGTGATGACGTGCAGAGGGAACTTGATGTCCTTTCTAATGAGATGTACGTCGTCTACCTCCCATCCTTGCGAACACTTCAACTAACCCGTTTACAGCCGTTCAAATGAACGAGAAAGGCAAGCACTGATGACAGAGCGTGACCGCCAGAATCAATTGCTGCGGACAAATGAGAGCGACCTCCACGCGATGGAAAAGAAAGAGAATTCGCTTTCCAATCAGATCCGTGACAAGGATAACATGGAGGAACGTATCGTCGCAATGACCAACGAGATCGCAGCCTTACATTCGAAACTCAAGGTTTGTTCTTCAGTGTCCAGATCATACTAGAGGCTGAACATTACTTGTGCCCCTTGTGAATGCAGGAACTGGACACGAAGATTTCGGAGGCACAAGCTCCTATTGATATGCTTGAGCACGAGCATCAGCAGACCATGGTCGATCTTGATGCAAAGATTCGCGAAGCGCAACATTCCGTACAAGAGCTCAACATGAACGTTGACAAACTTGACAACCTCAACAAAATTGTTGAGCGGTATGCTATTGTTCATGTGTCGTAAGATTCTTCGCTGACATCTACCAGATATGTTCGTGACAAGCGGGCCCGTCTCCTTGTTGAATGCACCGACAGGATAGAGCAATTCGAGCAGGACATCAAGGACCTCGTCACCAATATCGAGAACGTCCGGGATGCCATAGCTAAGATTGACCGGGAGATTAGTGAGAGCGGGAGTCTGGTGGTGAATTTGCGCGAGAACATCCGTATCAGAAAGCTTTCCCGCGATATTGCAGCTACGCAAGCTGAGATTGACTCGTGTGATATGGAAGGGGCTGCAAAGGCGAAGCGTAATTTTGAGGATCGTTACCAGGTCGAGAAACAGAGGGAAACGGAAATGCAGAGCAAGGTAAGAATTCGTTCGCTTTTAGTCTACGTCATCTCATGTTCTGCAGTATGCCCATACAGGAGGCGAAATCAGTTCCCACCAAGAGCAACTCAAGATGATAGAAAAGGATCTACGTGACTTCAAGGAGATCAACAAGCGGTATACTGAGCAATTGGTCAAGGTCAAGGTGTGCTGAGTTTGGTTCCAATTTGCAGAATGGAGTAATTTGACACCTGCTTAGATGTCTGACATGGCAAATAATGATCTGGAGAAATATGCGAAGGCCCTGGACAAGTAAGCTGCACGCCCCTGGTCATATGATCTCATAATTGATATCACTCCTAGTGCCATCATGAAATACCACGGTCTGAAGATGGAGGAAGTCAATGATACCATGCGCCATCTCTGGAATAAAACGTATCAAGGAACCGGTATGTACATTTTGATATTGTCATTTCTAAGTGCCAATCGCTGTCAGATATCGATGGTATCAAGATCCGCTCTGACGTTGAGGGCGGTGCATCAAAGCGATCCTACAATTACCGAGTGAGTAGTTCCTGTCGCAGTAAATACTGATTTGTTGACATGCCTTCAACAGGTCGTTATGACCAAAGATCAAGTCGAGATGGACATGCGTGGACGATGCTCCGCAGGTCAGAAGATGCTAGCCTCGATTATTATCCGACTCGCCCTCTCTGATTCTTTCGGCCAAAACTGTGGCATTCTTGCGCTGGATGAGCCAACCAACGCTCTTGACGTGGAAAACATCGATGCACTCGCTGAGAGTCTTGTCGAGTAAGCAATCACTGACAACCTTTTCACCGGCAAACCATGCTAAACATCTTTGAAGCATCATCAACGAGAGGAAGAATCATTCCAACTTTCAGTTGATCATCATTACGCATGACGAGAATTTCCTTCGCAAGCTTGGTCAAGCTGAGGTGATGGAGTACTATTGGTAAGGTTGCATCCCTGCGGTCTTCACCTTGCTAAATGATATGCCACAGGCGTGTTTCGCGAGATTCGAGACAGAAGTCTGTGATTGAACGTCAAAGGTTCCGATGAGGTTGTCGATCCAATCTTAATTCATCTATGTTGAGTGCTCGCTACATCGTCACACTGTACAATACCATTATGCAAGTTATCCTACAATCTGACTCTCTACGGCACCACGAGGTGCTTATACATCCGGTACAAAATTCAGGTTGGTTTACCATCACTTGTGTGTCCACTGGGCTACACGCTTCGGTTTGGCGAGGAATGCTTGAAAGCCTTCTGCATGATCCTCCAGCCCGAATGTCGCGTGGTAAAGTCTGCTTTCGAAGTGTAACCCATTTTTTAGCCCTAGTTCTTCGGCTGTCGATGTTGATATTCAAGACTGCATGGTACACTGTGAAAGGTGCTTCGCTCACCTTCGTTAACTGCTTCCTTGGCCATCGCCACTATGGGTGCAGAGTAGCTCGCTATCTTTACCGCTAAATGATTGTTGCAAGAGGTTAGTCATCCTTCAGGGAACTAAACATTGCGTACCTGACTTCAAGGCTGCACTAAAGACCTGCTCTATAGGGAGAACCTTGGTCACAAGCCCTGCAGCTTCGGCTTCCTTTGCGCTGATCGTCTCTCCCGTCAATATCATATGCATCGCCTGGGCAAGCAACCATTAGTGATGATGTAAACTTCAGACTTGCAGCGACTACTTTCGACTTTCCGATAGCCCTGATTAAGCGCTGCGTCCCTCCAGCTCCTGGAATGGTTCCGAGCGTGATTTCCGGCTGCCCGAATGTTGCAGTCTCTGCTGCATACAAAATGTCACACATCATCGCCAGCTCACAGCCACCTCCCAGCTGGGAGCCTGGGTCAGTCAAGGTAAACCATGGATCGATCGACTCACTGCGATGCCATTGATGACTCCGATTATTGGCTTATGGACAGCAAAGAATCCGTCATTAAGATTCTTCAGATAATCTTGGTTGTATGCATTGACAAAGGATAGTTCACTTTGCTCCTTGATATCCGCACCAGCTGCGAGGTGATCAGGATTGATTTGTGTAGGAAGATTTCAGAGCTGACCACAAAATCCTTTCTCGTTGCCTGTCAGGATAATAGCGCCTATGCTGGGGTCGCTCTCGAACGACTTTAAAGCGGCCAACAATTCGTTGATCAGTGTTCCAGACAGCGCATTATAAGCCTTAGGTCGGTTGAGCTTGATAATCCCCACCCTTTCGGAGCGTTCGATGATTATCGTCGACTCTGACATACCGTCGGTAAGTTAGTTTTGTGATCACCCACGTCCTTCAAGATTCAAACTGGAGCGAAAAGCTATTATTGACATGAGAATCACGCAGTGCCCCATGATGTGCCCGAACTGCTCGAGTCAAATTTATCTCACTATTCACAGCTCAAACACAAACGCAGAAGAATCATATGTGGAACAACATCAGGCCTGCAGCAATCCTGCCACTGTACTTAAATAGCAGCTTGCTATACAGTCACCCGTAAGTATGTATACACGGCATTAATATTGTGGCGGAGTCCCATATCATTCACTAGCCCTAATTAAGCGAAGCAGAAGTACTACCGTAACTAGTAGTAATCGAGTCTTGACCATCATGATCATAAGTGAACGTTGACTGCGTTCCTCCAAGTCGAATTTCTTTCTGCTCCTAAAGATCTGGAGCACGCCGCAAAAGAACAGTTCTTGTTTTTCTACTCCCAATTGCGCGTGAACGAACTGCGACAACAGCATTACTGCAATACTGTCATCACAGTTCGACATACGTAACCAGACATACCGCAACCACGCTATGTCATTCTCCAACTACTTACATCACACTGTACCTTCCAATTCTCTCCACGATTGTGCCACTGTTTGCAAACATTCTTCCGCGTTCCTAGCTCGGGCAGACTGCAACTCCCTCAGGCTGCTACGACTCGTCAAATTTCCGTGGTGGTCTGCTCATTGTCTTCTGAAGAGATCGTGACTAGGGGCCACTGGCCCTGGGGGTGATCGACACCAGGATTCTTTTCCTAAACGCTCGTGCGATATTTTGAAACACATCAATTTCCTTATCGCTGCTGACTGTTGCACTATAGTCGTTACCTTGCAATAGTTGGACCAAATGTCTTCTTCATTGGACGAGCTTCCTGCCCATGTTCGTCTGGAGACACACTCTACCGCTCGCAGCAAAGCAGTTGCCGCAAGCAATATCAGCCCAGGATCAGTTGTGCTGGAAGTGCCATCCATGGTGGTTGTACTGCTCTCGTCAGACAAAGGTCACCGATGTGATTTTTGTCTCTGCTCAGGAGCATCTGGGATCAAGCTGGCCAGGTGTGCTGGCTGTGCTTCATACTGGTATTGCGGATCACAGTGTGCGTATCCTCTGTCGATGACATTCGAAAACAGCCTTGAAAAAATCTTAGGCCAAACTTTGCACTGGGGGTCGCACAAAAAGTTTTGCAAGAGACTTGCTTCCTTCATGGCATCAGCTGATTTTCAATGCCTGGAAGCGCACGAGCAACTGGACGCTTTGCTTCACACCCATCTTATAGCAGAAATTTCGTCTAATGCGCCCTCTGATGTAAGAGCGAAGCAACTATCCACTTTCATGTCTCTGCTGCCTGGACCGCAGCATGGCCCCCTCCCACTCGCTTGCCCCATGTCTGTGGATGTTGGTGTGCATCAAAGCCTTGAAGCCCTTTTTGCGCGGTCTGGGAACAACAATTTCGTAATTCACAGCCATCTCACTACTGTGGCCCATGGCATTTTCCCTCTTGCGAGTCGTCTTTTCAACCATTCATGCCTTCCAAACGCCGCTGCCAGATACGTAATTCGTCGAGGTCAGCCAGTGAGGATGGAAATTATAGCTTTGCGAGAGATCAAAGCCATGGAAGAGGTACTTGATTTCCCTGTTTCAGATAAGCATCAGATAAGTTAAACTGTTCTTGTCTTGCAGATTTGTATTCCATATGTGGACCCTGCTCTGATAGAATCTCGTCAGCAGATCTTCAAGTTCACCTACGGTTTCTCCTGTACATGCCCATCATGCAATTTCATCAACACTCTTGGCGCAATTCCTTCGTTGCCCGTCTCGGAGGTCGCACTCGCAAAATTGGACAAAACTCTACAAACATTCTGCATTCCTTCTGGAGATATTGACAATCGCACGTTGCTTGCGGGCTCAACTCTTCCAGAACTTCCAGAAAACCTCTACCCTGTGCTCCACGAATCGTATCTATCGCGGCTTACAGATGCCTTCAGCAAATCTTCTCACGAGGGCTCTTATCATGCCGCTCTTGATGTCGGGCTAACAGTGTTTGCCGTGTATCTTTTAATTTACCCAGAAAATTATCCACAAATTGGTAGGGAACTCTGCATCGCAAGAAATCCTACCTCGACTGACGCTGTCAAAAGGTATGCATCTGCTGGAGATGGCGAAGACAGCGTGGAATGCTGTGATAGCAACTGATCATGATGATGCGCGAGCTTCTTTCGCGAAGTCGTCCTTGCTTAAGCGGGCCCGAACTTACCGCGATCTTTCCAGCAAAATAATGGAGGTGTTCGGTCCGGAAGGCGATACGGCGGGTCCTCTTGAAGAGCTTGCGGTTTTGAAAAATTTACTTCATGAGGAGCTGGATTGAACCGTAAGCCAGTATCATGCAAGTCTTTTGAAACTCTTTGACGGACAAGTATTCAGCTGCAGGCGCGATGATTAGTGAGCTCAAATAGTCGAGAGTATACTACTATACGTCTGGTTATCCCCGTTTGATTCAACATGTTCAAGTTCTCGCAGAACATCATATACAGTATTGCGCACGCGTATCTCACGCATAATATATGACGGGGACACGAGACCTAGAGGTCGGCGGCGGAATCGCGAGCAAACACAGCCCCAAAAAAACAAAGAGTTGCATATGCACTTAGGACGATTGACCAATGGCCTATGGGAAATAGGCTCAAATAAGCTCAAATCTGTTTTTGGGCTGTGGACGTGGCGTAACATAAGAGGACACACATTTTCTTCCGCATCAAAGATTATTGATGGAGGAAGTACCCTTCGACTGCCAAGAGGTTTCAAGAGGATTCATCAGCACCCTCATAATTGAGCTCCTGGCGCTCACCGCGAACTTAAACGACGTTACACGCTCGGCTGCATGAATTGTACAAGCTGGACGAGCACTCCGAGCCGACAAGTAGTTCTCAATTAGTAATTACTACGAATCTGACATATCCACCTTGAAGAATACACTGAAATTTTTCACAAATCACCTACGTACCAGGAGCAACCATGTCATTGTCAGCGCTGTAAGTACATTGCCACGCGCGCCTTGCAGTAATAATCACAAGCTGCTCACTCCGGAATCTTGTTGAACCAGATTAAACTATCAATTTGAACAGCGCTTGAATCAACTGTAAGGTTGCATTCCAATCTTTGATACGTGTTCTCGTAAAACAGTTTAAGCCTAATGGAGCTAGGCGTTAACGTTCATGGATCCTTCTTCGCTTGCAGAATGACGGCAAGCGTCGAATGGAACTTCCTCTGAAGTCATTTCGAGAAGCGCCGGAAGAGCCTGAAGGTCGCCTACATCCTGGGGTCATTTTCTGACGCTCCTCGCCTGTGACTTCCAACAAACGCGTAGTGGATCGAGTTAGAGAGCGTCATACAAACTATCCTACAGGCCGTTATGGGGGGCACAAGTCCCATTGGTCGATCCCGTGGTGATGCTGTTCATCTGCACACCGGCACTGGCGGAATCGTCCCTTTGCAGAATGTTACAGTCCTTATTTTTGCCATCATCTTTTCTCTCCTTTTTATTATCGCTGTGTCGTTTTCATTTCTCGGCGAAGATGAAGACGAACCCCCTTTCAAAAGCATGCTGAACGACATCGCGAAGAATGATCCAGGCGTAGGCGTTTCGTACTTCTTCGATGCCTTTTGTTGAACTCGTATGTAGGTCGTCCTGTTGGGTGAAAACGTCGACGTTGATGTTGACGAGCCTTCTGTCACCGTCTCGTGGTCTTTCGTTGCATGTGGAGGTGGTCTTGAGCTTAACGGCAGCTCTGGTGTCCACGAGAGCCAATGTGGGCTGCCCGCGATGTCCCTGTGGATTTATGCCGATAAGTACGTACCTTTACTGTGTTTTATGAAGTTACAACTGATGATGTCCCTATAGCGCTCCTGAACCTGCAGCTATATATGAACCAGCCTTGATTCCATTCGTTCTGAAAACGGGTAAGCGGCGCAGGTAAGTTCAGCAGATCCATCGTTATCCATTGATACTCATGATTATATACGCCAGAATCGAGAACCTCGTTCGATTTGACAGCGATCATACGCTTGATGTCCACAAGGCCCGCCTTTACCCATTTGATTCGTATCTTCTCTCCAGTACTCTGCGAGCCGTCGATGCTACAAACACGACAGTTCCTATTCGGAAACTCTCTACGATCGATCGAGTGACAAGCTTTATTATCTCAAGCACTGACATTGAAAGCTACGAGACAACTTTCAATGGGACTCAAGTTCCCACTCGCGACTTTGATTTATGTATATCGAGGCCTGGTCAATTACAGTTCTTTGCTTTGGTGCTCTTTGGCATCAGCTGGATGCTGTCTCATGTCACTATTGGACATGTTCTATTGGCACGCAGACTCGTTGATATCAGGTCCATGACCAAGCATCTGGTTTCTGCCTTTGCTATCCTTCTCGTCATCCCACAGCTGAGGAATTCAATGCCAGATTCTCCAGCTCTCGACGACGGTGAGTTTATATCAATTGGTCGTTGGTGGGCTGGGTCGAATGATCGCTTACCCATTATACGCAGGTGCTCTCATTGGTATGATTTCTCCGACTTCTCGGCTGCATACGAATAACCCCTTTCGTTGACAGACTACATTGGTTTCTTCCCGCAGATGATCATTTCAGCTTCGTCTGTCATTATTATATTACTCCTTATAATGCTCCGCGAGTACGACGATATGGAAGGCAAACACACTCCCAATAAATCTATGGTGCGACCATTGCCGCTTCCGGCCCCGCCCCCGCCGCGCACTGCCAAGGTGTCTTCCAAACCCCCTCCACCTCCTGTTCCACCGCGGAAATCACCACTGAGACCCCTTCTCCTCGGAGCCAAAGTGCGCACGCGGTCGGTTGCCATGGAACGTGGGGAGGCAACCTCCTTGAAGGACGAGCTCAATGCAAGTTTTGTTTTTCCTCCAACACCACATGCAAATGGTACCATACACCATCGCTCTCGTTCTTCGCGGAGCCGCTTAAGCCCCATAGGGCTAGGAGAACCGCCCGGAAGTGGATCCAAGTTGTCTAGGTCAAATACGCTGAAGCCCGTTAAGGAGTGACGACTAAGACCTATCCCTGTGAGTAGTACCTCATCTTATTAAATTAATTCTTATTTTCTGAATAATCGTGTGCAGTGTCTTCGACTGGACATCCCGGTGGTGGACTTTAGGCAAGTGGGATATGTAACCATATGTAGTACATTTGTAGGAAGTATGGACGTTACACAGTCGCAGCCTTCTACTTGGACAATTTCGTTAATAGATTGCGATAATTTTATCATGGGCGTCACCGGGGCCCCAATGCTGTGGATCATTATGGAATCGAATGTATGTGCTTCAGGCATGTACGAGAGTCCAAATAATGATGACTTCACAGTAGGAATTCTACTACGTATGCTATACGAGGCTATACGTGAGGCCTCCAATTGTGCACAATAATCAGAAAATCGAGCGTGCTACTAACGGGCTAGTCGGGCCATACAGAAGAAAGACAGTATTAGTGGTTCCTTCTTGAGTATGCCATTGGGCCGTGATATGATGAGTGAGGTTGGTTTGGCTGAGCATATTTGAAATGCAATGAAGTTGATGCCACGTGGATGATCTGGACCGATTCCATTACTCACTTGGGCCCTTCTCACTCCCTCTTCACCATACAAAACTTTGTTTCGCAGGTTTCGACGGTTTACTACCGGTTAGCAAAGGGATGCCTGTCGGAATCGAAGCTTGGTTGACCCAGATACCACCAATAACGCGTGCTTGGCTAGCGCTATCTGTCGCCACGAGTTTAGCAGTGGTACGAAGGCGAATCCTCCATTCAGTGACGAATCTGACATTTTCTGAAGCAATGTCAGCTCGTAACACCTCTGCAGCTGTATTTCAGTTTTAAATCCGCTTTTACCAATGCTCAAGTGAGTTGTGTTTTGACCTGGAGCAATGTATCTGCATGCTCATAGAGCGTGCAGCCGTGGCGTATGGCCACGACATTCTTTTACTTTGGGTCGATATCACTCGACTTCATCTTCCATCTTTTCTTCTTGTGAGCTCTGCTATAGTTTCTATCCATCCAAGCTTTGACTTTCGTGGATCCTAGCATGCGATATAGTCGGATGTTAGAAGAATCCTCGTTTGCCAACAGAAAGGCCGATTACTTTTGGCTGCTTCTGCTGTCATCCGTAATGCTATTGGTAAGTCGAATAAACCCGCTGTTGCTTGTGTCTTATGCTTCGTGGTATAGGCCATGTCTCCCTTATTCAACCTCCCCTTTCTCTCCTCCTCGCTCGCCTTCGTACCCATATATATGTGGTCCCGTCGGCATCCATCCACACCAATATCGCTCTTTGGATTGTTCACAATCTCAGCGCCGTACCTGCCATTAGCACTTGTAATTTTCTCCTGGGTAATAAGTGGAACATGGAAGGCGGCGGCAGGAGATCTAATTGGGTGTGCGGTCGGTCACATTGGATGGTTCCTGCGAGATGTCTGGCCAAGAGAGATGGTTGGAGGGTACTCGGTACTGACAGAAGCACCTGATGGGCTGTAAGTGTTTCCCGATAGACAAAACGGGTCATGCTTATACTGTTACAGGAGGAGATTATTCGGAGACCTCTGAGCAAATCTTCAGTGTATTTGATTCCTTCCTAGGGAAGAAAGAGCCGCGCTGCTACTGAGGCGGGAAGAGAAATCATTATGAATTCATTGCTTCTGTGTTTGATGAAGCAATTTCCTTACGTTGCTGCAGTCGGGACCGTGATCACGTCTTATGTTATCTGAACTCATATGTGTCATTGTGCCATCAATGGCTCTTTCAAAACACTTGTCGTTGCTGTCAACTTTTTGTAATGTCTTGCCTTGGCCTCAGGGAGACACTGAACGTCATGGGTGTCCGAGGTCCGCACGGGAGCAGTACGACTACGACAAGTGTTGTCTTGGAGAACCGGGCTCCCTTTCGAAACGCAACAGAATTTTTGATATCATAGTTGGCGGTGAGCTCAAGGCTGTCCTTGTTTTATCTTTCCTTTCTTTTCTTCTTGGCTACTGCTCTCGTCACTGTTTCTTGTGGTTATTTCAAGTTAGTTTGTTCAAGTTGCTGTAAGGGATTATACCCACATGTCCGCGTCCTCACAATCCGCGTCCCCTGCCAATCCAATCGAGTTCTACGACCCTCCTCACGACCATAATGGGCATCTTCATTCCTCGAACGGGATACATTCAGTTGCATCGCCTTCGGCCAAGTTGACACGAACTGTCGCGATAATCAAGACAAATGCATTGGAGCAACGTCTGGACATCGAACACCGTCTTCTGGAGGCAAATTTCGAGGTGTGTGTCCTGCTTTCATGAATTTCCATGCTTCGCCCCTGTATCGCGCATCAGTCCATGTCTTTCGAATATGACACGTGAAATACGCTCAAAGTCGCGTTTAAGAGTTTCTAGACTTCTCAATTTGAGGTGCAATAATTGATTCACCATGCCTTATAGATACTGAAAGAACGCCAAATGGAGTTTGATACGGAGACGGATCCCGACACATTCTTCGAGCTTTTCGGCGATGATGCTCGGTTCCTTGACGAGTGAGTATCTCGATGACTATTTAGTAATAGTATGATTCATATCATTCTCATCCTCATTGTGTCTCCCGTCACTGACCTCTTACTTAGTGGTCCAGTCTGGGTCTACGTTCTTGAGCGCAGACGCGCTGTCCAAGTTCTCCTCTCGCTAATGCCTTCACTCGATGATGCAATAATAGGCGCAAAGGATGAAGAGCAAGCAGAAATCCAAATAGCGTCTCTGTTTGCCTCCAGCCCTCTCTTTACCACCAGCGATCTCCCTGCAGCCGACGAAGAGCTGAGTTCACATGACGAATTCGACCCCGGTTCTGTGCGCTCGATTGACTCTGCGATCCTGGAAGCTCTCAAGCTAGGTTTGAGTGCTCCTCCCGGCGTATATACGCCATCCCCTGGGCCTTCAGATGCGCGCGCACCCCAATTTTCAGCACGCCCGAGCCTCAGTTCCAATGCATCACCCAACGGAAAGCAACCATTTCGTGCACGGCCACTTCCAAAAACGCATATATCTCCTGATATCTCTCCACGCACAACAAAATCCGCCCTTCTACGCCAGGGGCTGGCTCCAGACGGATCCAAACCATCTCCCCTTAAATCGCGGATGTCCATAGCTAGTACAGGCCGCATCCCAGCTCCTCGTAGGGAGAAGGAGAATGCAGCGGAGAAAGAGATGGAGAAAGAGAGGATTAGGAGGACGTTTGCAGGCATTCCAGGCCACAAGCGCTCTGAGACGCTCACGGTTGCGTCCATTGCGCCACCTACCATTGCCCCGAGGTTGACCAAGGCAGCTGCCTTGCGATTGGGCCTCGCACAGCCTGCCTTACCTCCTGGGCGAAAGCGTGCGTCGATATCTGGCCCAATCACAAATGGAAAAGCAGCAGTCATTCCCAATGCGCCTGCTGTCTCTCTGCAGAAATCTGCTTTACCTAGCGATGTCGAGGGAGAAGGCGAAGATACGGAGACTGAGCAAGGGCGTGGAGGCAAAAACATTTTTGACGGTGTCCCTGGGCACAAACGTCGCCAATCGATATCTGTCGCAAGTACAACTGAAGCCCCGACTATAGTTCCTAGAACCAACAGGACTGCAGCGCTCAGGAAGCAGGGCGGACCTCCCCCGAGCAGTTTCATGTGTAAGTCCTTGGCCATATTTTTTTTTCTTCATTTCTCTTCTCACAATAGGACACTTTCCCGTCATTCGATTTTTACAAGTTTGGCACTGACACAGAACATTTGCCAGTTCGTACTCCGTCCGCTCCCAAGGTGCCTGGTAGTGCCGGCACTCAATCAAGAAGCAGCTCTTCTCTCAGCACCTATCATGACAATGCCGGAACAGACTCTGCTCCTCGGACCCGTTCAGGCTCCACGGCACCGTCTCGGGCATCTTCCCGTACCTCCCATGTTGCCCCGAGGGCAACTTCAAACAACACCAGCAGCTACTCCTCTCAAGTTTCTGAAAGTTCTGCAGTGAGCACTACGAGCACCGCTAGTGTGGATGAACTCGACGGAGCCAAGTCAGTTAAACGACCGGCGCGCCGTCTGAGCAGCCTCCAGGCTCCCTCTATCGCTCCCCGCCCCAACAAGAGCGCCACGCTCAGGGCCCAAAAGATGGCAGCAGACGCAGCCAAACCTAAAAGCCCTTGGGCTAACGCCTCCAAGCGGTAGGGGTGATGTACACCGCACGGGGTTTGGACACCCATGTAAGACTGGCGTACGAGCAGTGTGTGGTTGTTATTTTATGCTTCATTTACATGAAGGCATCCCGCCTTCATCTTGCTTTCAGGATATATCCCATGTGCACTATGTATTTCTCGTTTCATACGGCTTGCGATCACGGAACATACGCATCTATCCCCTTTTTGTATATGCGCCTATCTATAGACGATCTTCACTTGCGTCTTTCACAAGTCTATATTTCCCCTTCCTTCTTGTCGCTCTTTGATTGTCTCCTTGTTTTTATGGTTTGTGGAATGGCTTCGTGCTGGACATGGGCCTTATGTGTCAATGAATAACGACGGTGTTTTGATATGGGAATGATAGCATGGAGTGCACAAATGGTTAATTGTCGGCCTACCGCATTCGCCTCTGCCGTGAAAACCGTTCATTGTCACGTGGTTTACGTGCGATCGGACACCTTGCAAGACTCAGACATGAATCATTTCTGCAGCGACCACCATCGTCGCCGTCGTCGTGCACTATGTTATCCACTACTTACTCATCAGCTCGCCGGGTGTCAGCTCGTCGTCTACAATGTCTTCCTCGCTCATTAACCACCGACTCCACCACTTCTCACACCACCCTCCCTCCACCGCCTCCCCTCTCAAAGCCAGAGACAAGCAAGTCTCGTCAGTCACGATTATATCCCCGCCCACGCCCAGCCGTTACCCATCAGAGACAAGCACTTCCAACTCTTCCTGCAAGCTTCGGGCGGAACCAAGTCCTGCCAGTACCTGACTCCACTCGAGCCCTTCTAGAAGACATCGTAGAGTCATTTGATGCGCCCATTCGATATGCGTTTGCATATGGATCTGGCGTTTTTGAGCAGGCTGGGTATGCGAAGCAGATGGACAAGGAAGATAGGCCGATGCTGGACTTCATATTTGCGGTGACACATTCGGACCATTGGCACTCTATCAACATGCAACAGCATCCCGGTCATTATCCCCTACATGCACGCGTGCTAGGATCGTCGTTTGTCTCCAAGACGCAAGAGATTAGTCCTGGACTTTGGTTCAACACATTTGTGCCAATGAAGGGGGTCGTACGTCACTTTCGTTCATACCGTTTCGCTGTTCGCTTACTTTTACTGCGGTAGACTATCAAGTATGGAGTGACGACCGTTGACACGCTCTGTGCCGACCTGCTTAACTGGCGCACACTTTATCTCGCGGGGAGAATGCACAAGCCTCTACGGATCATCAAAGACGATGCACGCGTACGACTGACTCAGCAAGTCAACCTCACCTCCGCTCTCCGCACCGCCCTTCTCATGCTCCCGGAATCCTTCACGCAACGCGAACTATTTTCAGCCGTAGCAGGGATCAGTTATTCTGGTGACCCTCGGATGGTGCTTCCAGCTGAGAATCGCGGAAAGGTGGAGAATATGGTTTCTCGTCAGGAGGACCAGTTTCGGGAGTTGTATTGGAGGCTTGCGCAGGGCCTTCCTGGAGTTCGGTGGGCGGCGGGTTCGAAGAGCGTGGAGCAGGATACCAGTCCGCATGCGAGAGCAGCGCACCTTAAGAAATTGCCGGAAGAGCTCTTGAGGCATGTTCATAGACGTGCCGAGGGGCGTGGTCCTCCTAGAGAAGCGGATGAAAGCGCTTATTGGCTTCGCATCGCAGGCGACAAGGAGCTCCCCTCGATTCTCGACTCGGGTATGTGTTCGCGTTTGTATCTCAGGATCCTCATGCTGAAGTTTTCCATCAGAAATAACCAAGATCGTGCGGTACCCAGCAACTGTCCAGTCATTAAAGGGCATAGTAAGCGCCGGCGTGGCTAAGAGTACGCGATACTCCATAGCCAAGATCAATAAGTGGTGGAAAGGGACCTCTTTTTCCAGTTCGTCATAGTGCGGCGCATATACTCAAGGTAACCCAGCAACTTCATAATGGTAATACCACATATCTCCACTCCTACTCAACGACATAGACCCCATCCTATCCTTTCATCCGTCGAAACAGGAACATCTGTAGCTTTATGGTATAGCTAAGTATTACAGGATTGTTTGTAATGTACTTTGCCTAGTCGGGCTCACGATCTTTGTGTTGAGGTATATATTTAATTGTCAAGATCGCATGTTTACCTCTTGAAGTCCACCACGCGCTGGAGCACGGTCGCTGGAATCCCTCCCTTTGTTATTGCATGTTGAGATCGGTAGTCGCGGTAGATGCCGTGACACTATCACGACCTTGACTGCACCGCGGCCACATTCTGGACTCTCGGATAAGGTAAGTATGTATCTCATGTCGCGTACTATGTAAAGCCTGACTCGGAGTACTGAGCACATTGTTCTAGCCCGACGGCGCCCGCAGCCCTCACTCGAGACAAACCTTGTTTTGTTTGAGACAGTGCATTATGGCAAATCATGGTCTTCCTTCGTCCATAAAAGGAGTTCATGCTGTCCAGCATCTTGCTGGGTAGCCAAGATCCTTTAACTCTTCTGAATGTATGAGATCATGTTTTACTTACATTCTGTGAGTGAGTCTATGGCCTGCCAGTCACTCATCAGTGGACTGGCGAGTTCATGCTGGAGATTATGCTAATTGCGGCGCTTCTTCGGCTCACATCTGATCAAGTGACTATGTCACCGAATGTATCCTTATCGATTCCTTGATCTTATTTCCGACTTCAGCACTCGTGACTCTGCAAAAGGGGAGATTATATCTTCCGTGTAGTTGTAAGTTCCATTCGTGCTCTCAGTAGATGTCCCCCTACGCACTGCTCTAACCATGGTCCCTGCAGTTGATGTTCGCCTTGCTGTCCTCGCCGTCTTACCTATTTGCTTTGCTGTCGTCAGGCAATTCATCAATAACAGACAGAATAAACTTTCCCCTCCTCCTGGCCCAGCGCCGCTCCCACTGTTAGGGAACATCTTATCTATCAACACTAAAGAACCTTGGTTGACTTACACCAGATGGCAAGCTGTGTATGGTACGTGAAAAGATACTAAAGTGCATATGTTGTGCAAATTATTATTGTTCTATCAGGAGACTTGCTCCTCGTGCGAATTCTAGACCAGAAAGTGGTCGTGATCAATTCTCAGCACGTTGCAGAAGCCCTACTGGACAAGCGTTCCCGGATTTACTCTGATCGACCATACATAGCCACACTTGAACCGTATGTTCTTCTTACATTCTTCCATTCGATCAATCTATGATGCAGACAGATTTGGCTGGTCGATAAACTTTGCATTCACAGGTTATGGTGATGAATGGCGTCGCTGCCGACGACTCTTCCACCAAACTTTCCGTCCTGACTCTGCACTCAAGTTTCGCCCGATGCAGATCAAGCGGGCTCGTGAGATGATCGTCAATCTAATTGATGACCCTCAACATTATCATTCCCACTTCGCCACGTCAGTCAACGTGTTTGTAAATGTTGAATAAGTATTAACACACTCACAGATTCTCGTCCTCTGTTGCGATGTCAGTTGTATATGGCTACCAGCCTAGTGCTCGTGATGATCCTATGATTCGAATCGTGGAAAACGCACTAGCTATTGGCCTTGACGTGTTGACCCTAGAGAGAGCATTTTTGGTTAAAACATTTCCCTTCTGTAAGCTTAGCTTTCTTTGATATGAAGGATCTGACATTATGTACTCTTACGCAGTATTGAAGCTACCTGACTGGTGCTGGGGATCCTGGATCAAACACGAAGCTCGAGTTTCGACTCACGGTGCGAATGAAATGAGGGACGTGCCGTTTCGATATGCGCAGCAGCATAAGGTGGGTTTTGTTTTGTATTAGTTATTGACATCAATTTCATACTTGCCAAGACCGAAGACTCTCGCCTCGGCCAACTTTCGATGGTGGCAGAAAATTTGCAACGGATGGAGAAGCGAGATGAGGTGTCCAAACCAATGCTCGAGGCTGCCTTGAAGAAAGCAGCTACTACTGCTATCATAGGTTCGTCACCTTTTACAAGGGAAGGTTATGCTCTTGACAAACACATGTTATGCAGGCTCATATGAGACGGTCAGCGCATGTCTGGACTATACTGTCTGCTGATTAATGTCTCCGCAGACTACTTCAACCTTAATGGCCTTTGCTCTCGCCATGGTGTCTTACCCAGATGTTCAAAGACGCGCACAAGAGGAGATCGACATAGTGACTGGAAGAGATCGTTTACCTACGTTCGAGGACAGAGCATCACTACCCTACGTTGAATCAGTCCTGCGGGAGACTTACAGATGGCACCCCATTTTACCCCTTGGTATTCTTTTTCACCGAGTGATCTGGTCTCTACTGAAGATGATCTTGTAGGTATGCCACACGCTGCCTCGTGCGATGACACATACAACGGTTTCTTCATTTCAAAAGGTCTGCCATTTTTGTCCAATGAACAAATCATTTGTCACATTGCACACCAGGAACGACCGCCATGTGGAACACCTGGTCAGACAGATTCTTCCCAGTTGTCGAGATGCTGACGTTATATTGCAGGGCGATTTCACGGGATGAAAAGCGGTACCCTGATGCATCTCGTTTTATGCCAGAGAGGTTTTTGGACGTCAACAACGTTTTGACGAACGATAACCCTGCGGAATACATTTTTGGCTTAGGGCGGCGTGGATGTCCAGGTCGGTTGATTTATTTCGTATAGCATGTGATGTGCCAATACATATTTCAACCAGGCCGATATGCTGCTGATGCTTCTGTGTGGTCTGCCATCGTGACCATGTTGGCCATGGTTGACTTTTCTTCTGCCAAAGATGACCAGGGCAAAGTGATCGATTTTACCCCTCAATTCACCACGGGACTCGTTCAGTACTGCATTTCCTTGTATCATCATATCCTTCCATCACTGACAGTTTCATCGCTTTAGCTCCGTTATTGTCTTCCCTTGCAGCATTTCACCGCGCTCCCATGTCCATCCAGGACTTGTGGACGTTATCAGAACTGGAGTGTAATATGTATATGGTAAAAGAACTTACTATATTACTTTTTCGATGGTCTTACTTGGGACACAAAACTATAGGGCGATAGGTCAAGGAATGCAAACCAATTGGGAGCGTCAAGCCAGCGCGTTTCTGAGAGCTCATTGGCCGCGGGAGTCCAGTCAGACAACTTTTAGGTCACATGCACGTGCCACATGGCATGTCTTTTGGTAGAGGAAAAATTTAAATGCACGAGAAAAGTTTCCGACGAAAGCGAATGGTGACTTGCAAATCTGCAAAGAGCGGTGACCGTAGCAGTCGCTGGAAGGCTCGTAGGTTCATGATTTAGTTACTTCTTCCAACTTTAACTTGGTTAGGGAAGAAAGCCCCATCATGGATGAGTGGCGCCTGTTGGGGATCACATGACGGCTCATCTTTACCAAAATGATCACCATGTAACAGGGTGCTCGATACTACAACCAAAAATGAACAACTGTTTTCCTTCTGGTTGGACTACCATTGCCAAAGGAAGTTCTACATAAGGTGGAGGGCGGACAGCGGCAACGGTTGAGGACCTCCCATTTACCCGGTCCTGCTGTGAATGAAGCAAACCCCGATCCAGTAGCGCCAGCACAAGCCTTCTATAATAAAGCACCGCGACTCGCATTCTTCACTAATGCTGTGCACAGTGAGTGAGATCCGGGCTCCCCCCTTGGGAAGATCTACACGAACGGCATCTTTCGGGTCCGACTTGAATTTACATTTTGCGCATGTAGCATTCATGCATACCTATGATTTTACAGGTTGGCCATAGCTTCGCAGGTTGGTCATGGCCTCATAGGCTGTTCAATAACAATAACTTCAATTGCCCAGGCCTACGACACCGGAGAAACTAACCTGGAGGCTCGAGCGCCCAGTGGACTCCGAGTTCGATCGGAGCGCGCGATATTGTTGAGGCCGGTGGCGCGATACGTAGGTATGTTTTGTCTAAATTTCAAAGGCAAAGAGCTGATATTATGACTATTTTTACTCAGCTACATTGTAACCTATCCCGTATGGACTCTTCAGTCTCTTCCACCACCTGCAAACACAAGGTTTGGGGCATCACGATGGTATCGATTGAGCGCTCATCAGGTCCCACACGTTCTTGTGATGTGTGGTCCGCTATCGTGATAATCTTGGCCACAGTGGTCATTTCTAGATGATCAGGGCGAAGTCAGTTTCACCCCCCAGTTCAGGACGGAACCTACTCATTGAGCTCACATATATTTGTGATGTAGAGTTGACATTGGCGGACGGTCAATATGTGGGTTTGTGTCCGTATTCTCCAAACTTACAGCTCTTTGCACATAGGATGGCAGTGGCGTGAAATTTTTCTAACCTCGTTTTCTCATCTACTCCACTGAATTTATCCTTCTCAACTCTTCAGCCTCATTTCAGCACTTCATAGACGCCAGGTACAGAGTCTGATAAGCAGCTCCCCCCGCAGCTATAAGGTCTGTTTCGTGCTTTGGATGCATATACACGAACTCTTCTAAACATGTTTCCTTCGGTTGATGGTCGCCTTGCTATCCTCGCCCTCTTACCTCTTTCCCTCGTTGTCATCACAGCCCTCGGGTGGTTCATCGAAAACAGACAGAGAAAGCCTCGCCTTCCTCCTGGCCCAGTGCAGCTCCCACTGTTGGGGAATGTCTTATCTATTGACACCAAGGAGCCTTGGTTGACTTATACGAAATGGCATGCTGCTTATGGTACGTGAGCAGATAGTATGGTGTATATATTATGCAAATCATTGTATTAGGGGACTTATTCCTCGTACGAATCCTGGACCAGGAAGCGGTGGTGATTAATTCTCAGCACGTTGCAGAAGCTTTAATGGACAAGCGTTCTCGGATCTACTCCGATCGACCGTACTTAGCCACAGTTGAGCCGTACGTTCTTTAAATATTCTTTCATTCAACCAGTCTGAGGTGCAGCCAGATTTGGCTGGTCCGCGGTCACCTTTGGGTTTACAGGTTATAATGACGAATGGCGTCTTTCTCGACGACTCTTCCACCAAACTTTTCGTCCTAGCTCTGCACTTAAGTTTCGCCCGATGCAGATCAGTCGGGCTCGTGACATGATCGTCAACCTAATTGATGACCCTCAACATTATCATTCCCACTTTGCAACGTCAGCCAATGTGTTTGCAAATATCAAGCGAATATTAACTTATCCACAGGTTCTCGTCATCTATTGGAATGTCTGTTATATATGACTACCAGCCCAGTGCTCGTGACGACCCTCTGGTTAAAATCGTGGAAAATGCTTTGACTGTTGGCCTTGACATAGCGACCCCAGAGAGAGCAATCTTGCTTAAACTCTTCCCCTTTTGTGAGCTCACTCTCGCTGATGACAAATACTTGACATTCCGCAACCCCATGCAGTACTGAAGTTACCTGACTGGTGCTGGGGATCCTCGATCAAACGCGATGCTCGAATTTCGACCGAGCATATGAATGAAATGAGGGACTTGCCGTTTCAATGCGCGCAGCAGCATATGGTGGGCATCTTTTTTTAATCTAGTTCAGTCCTAGACGTTGATTTCATCCTTGGTAAGGTTGCAAATTCGTTCCTCGGCCAGTCCTCAATGGTAGCAGAAAACTTACAACGGATGGAGAAGCAAGATGAGGCATCCAAACCAATGTTTGAGACTGCCTTAAAGCAAGCAGCTGCAGCTGCAGTTTTGGGTACGTCACCTTTTCATCAAGGGACGTTGTGCTCTTGACGAATACATATTATGCAGGTTCATATGAGACGGTCAGCGGATGTTTCAAACCATATTGCATTCCGCTTAATCTCTTCACAGACTTCTTCGACCTTGATGATTTTTGCTCTCGCCATGGTGTTGTATCCAGATGTCCAGAGACGCGCGCAAGCGGAAATTGACTTGGTGATCGGAAGAGATCGCTTACCTACATTTGAGGACAGAGCATCATTACCCTATGTTGAATCAATCCTACGGGAGACTTTCAGATGGCAGCCTATTTTACCCCTAGGTAATCTTCCTCGTTGTGTCATTTCGCCTTTGCTGAAGATAATATCATAGGCGTGCCACATGCCACCTCGAGTGATGATACATACGATGGTTATTTCATTCCGAAAGGTCTGCCATTTTCGTCCAGTGAACAAATGATTTGTAACATCGTACATCAGGAGCGACCATCATGTGCAACGTCTGGTAAGATAAATTCTCCTCGGCTTTCTAGATGCTGATGTCATATTGCAGGGCGATTTCACGGGATGAAAAGCGGTACCCTGACGCATCTCGTTTTGTGCCAGAGAGGTTCCTAGACGTTAATGGCGCGTTGACGGGCGATGACCCTGCGGGATACATTTTTGGCCTAGGCCGGCGTGCATGTCCAGGTGGGTTGATTTATTTCACTACCGTATAGCATGTGAGCCAATACGTTATTCAATCAGGCCGGTATTCCGGTGATGCCTCTGTGTGGTCTGCTATTGTGACTATGTTGGCTACGGTGGACTTTTCTTCCGCCAAGGATGGCCAGGGCAAAGTGATCGACTTCACCCCCCAATTTATAACAGGAATTATTCGGTACTTGTTTCGTCACTCCATCCTCCTGTCACTAACAGTTGCGTCGCTTTAGCTCCGCCATGATCTTCCCTTGCAATATTTCACCACGTTCTCATGTCCATTCAGGACTTAAGAATTTTCTCTGACCTGCATTGTAATATGTGTACAAAGAATCCATGGAGAGCGAGCCTCGCTCCCCCTTCTTTCACGAAATTGACCAGTGTTTTTTCAACTATATTGTACTATTAGCTCGCTGTACTACGTCATTCGTACTCTAGTTGAACGATGACGGACTTGCCGACTTGAATTATGTATGTTTGTCGTCTTGTACTTCCCAAATTTCTACCTTGCTCGTTCCGTGCCCCGAAGTCCTCATTCTAATCATGGAAGCATCGAATGCCAAGAGGGTACCCTGTACTCAGGTCTGTGGGACTGCTCTTGTGACACAGTAGTCGAGCACCTAGGGAGATTGTTTTTTGAGAGATTTAAGACGACTGTTGACATCGTGCCACAACTGTGGGTGGCCGCCTCCACACCCAACCCAATTGATGCAAGGGAGCTTGGAGAAAATGATGCGAGCAACAGCTTCAGCGTCCGGTTCCTCGAACGCGCCCACTCTCAAACTTTGCAGGGAAGTGTGTTGGAATGACTCGGTTTCAGGATCGATATCGATGTTCCGAGCGTCGATGAACATTAGTAGGTCTTGCAAGTGGGGACATCGGCTGAGCGCTGCGAATAATCCGCGAAATGTAACGGTAGGTGGACAAGGATGCCGGTCCGCAAATAACAAGGTGCGAATGTGCGGCCAACTTGACATGGCTTCCAAAAGAAGGTCGTTGTCAAGGTACATGGAGCAACAAGCAGATAATCTCAGCGTTCGCAGCTGCGTAAAGCACATAAAGTGTCTAATTGCCGTCATAGAGTTGCTCGAGTGCTCCTGAATTCGATCGTGGGAAGAAATGCTAATGTGCTCAATGGTCTGGCATGCTTTGCACTGCGACAGTGCACGAAAAAGCTGCTCGGCCTCTTCCCAAGGTAAAACACGGACATGCATCGCGAACTCTTTTAGCGAGGGGAATTCGGAATGTTGTATAATTGTGATAATAGCTGCCACTTTCCCTCCATGGAAAGACAGACTCGTAAGGTTGACGAAAGGTGCAAAATCGAGTTTGTTCTGGTCCAACGGGTAACGAAAAATGTGCGATGCGACAATCCTCACCGTAAGAAGGGTAGGGATGGTGGAGAGGTGCTTCCATACTCCCGAGTCGAGCGGTGGACATTGCAGATGTTTGAGCCGCTTGCATGAACGGACGGTTTCAGACAGCTGCGCTGTGTCGCTATCCTTCAAAACGGTTAACGCCTCCAGAGCAGCACAACTTGTCCCAATATATTCCATATCTGAATGGACTCGGAGGTCCGATACACAATAACGGCGAAGCGTAGGGGATAGGAAAAAGTGTAGGATTCTGGTATTCGTGCATTGAACGATCCAGGATAATGACAGCAGTCCCGGGAACAAACATGTCTCGATGGGGAGGGCCGTGAGAAGGTGAAAATAATTGTTGTTTGGCTCGGATATGGACATGTTGCGCACACGGGCAGAATGATGCAAAAATTGATGGAACTCATGCTCGGCTAATGGGCCAACGCGCTGAGACCAGGAGTACTGTGTTTAGATGCTCGGTCAGCGAACGAACAAAAAAAAAAATTGTTTTGGCAAGTCCGCACTGACCTTAATCCCAGTATCATATATCATTGGATGTAGCCTCGGTACGCATCCTAACAGTGGCCGTAACCCATGAATGTTAGCCCAAAGCAAATCCATTGCAGGCTCGTGAAAGGTTTTGCATGTCCTGGCAAGCGCTGCAAGGGATTTCCGCGTTAGTGATTCAGTGCACCCTACTAGTACTTTTGTGCTTGGGGATTGGCTCAAGTAGACGAATATTTCCAGTAAGACTTCCGAGACCAACAAAGCCCGATGCATCGAAGTTCTATGTTGATGACTCGATGGAGTAGGTACTTACCAAGTTAGGATTCAGAAGTGGGTGTGCAGTTGTAACTGAGTTTGAAAATAAAGCGGCCCGAGTCTGCAATGTTTCCTGACTCGCCAACGTCGAAGCACAATCCCCGCAGTCCCTTAGTACCCCTGACTTCTCACATGGTCTAACAACTGGTTGACGACACAGATATTCAGGCGGTTCCAAGCCTCGCAGCCCATTAATTTCGATTATAGGTTACATATCTTTACTATGCAAATACAACGTACATGATCAGCGACGGATTCCGCGTTATCAATCACTGGGAGCAAGTGATTGTTTGGAACGCTCAACAAGATCTTGCTTTCTGAATGGGGTCGACTGGCTAGCAGGGCCCTTCATCAAAGTTGAAACTTTGAAAGAGATACCTCGCTCTCGTGCGAGGTTGAATTCTGCAAATAACACCCTTTTGATACCGTGAACATCTACACATGAGCAGAGGAGAGAATGGTCCTGGGCTCTCAACCCTGTAAAGTAGTTTCTCTCGCCACAGTTATAAAATATTGTCGGATCCAAATGCACCTACGAGTTTCACGACGAGAAAATATGATCAATGGAACAGAGAAAGGGTTAGTAAAATAATAGAACCAGAAGTAAAGATGAAACAGTTGTTTACACGTGCAGTATCAATGATCATTGGCGTGTGGGGGAGATAAACAACAGAGGAACAGCACAAAACGAGCCCACAACGAAAAAGGTCGGTGCTGCGTGGTTGCTGCACCTGACGTGATGGTGCTATTACCTGGAGCAGATATCGCGGATGCCGAGGCAGCGGCAGGCTGAGTTTGCGATGAAAACGCCTGGACTTGCGATTGATTATGCTGCAGCTGTGTTTGTTTTACTGGCCGCGGCCTCGCAACAGCCAACGGCTGCAGAAAAAACATTGAACCCTGGCAATTTCAAGCGTACGCCAAGAAAGTCGTACCTTTCTGTCCTGTACCGCAGCAACTTCGACAGTAAGAGGGCCACAACGAGAGAAGATGCTTTGCCTTGGGCGTGGTTGGATTTCGGTTGATTTGCCGGTTTGGAGATGAGAGTGGCGAAAGAGCGACCGAAGGCGACCGAAGAGCGCAGTTGGACTCCCTATAGAGGGTGAGAGTGCGCGGCGGCGGCGGCGCGCAGAGGAACGGTTATGGATATTGTGCGTCGCAGACGACTGAGAGCACACATGCGAGTCAGAACGAGAAGTGATAAAAAACCCGTTGAAGACACACATGAACGTTGTCTTGCGCGTTATCGAAAAAGCCTGGCGATCCTCGGTGGGCACGCTTGAACTGGGTTGGGCGTCGCGTTGTATCACTCTAGGATATCGATCTTGAATGATTGAAAAGGTTAAAAGCATGTTACGTACATCCATTAATGAGCTTGCAGCTACGACCTATGAGTGGAGATTAGCGTGGTCTTTACTAAGAGCCGTGACATTTACACTCACATGAGGAAGGGACAGTAGGTCTTCAAGGCCCACTTGTTTTAAGATGCTACAGATGTCCCACACGTACATATTGTTGTCGCAACCGGTGACTAGCAGTTTTCCATCAGCAGAAAAGCTTGCACAGTTCACATTGCCTTTGTGCTGGAGAGGCGGATGGACCGGGATGCTCTTGTTAAGATTCCACAGGCGCACAGTTTGATCATCCGCTGCACTCGCAAGAAGTCGGCCATTCCGAGACAAGCATAAGGTCTGGACATCAAAAGTGTCACCCTGCAAGGTGGCGATCCGCCGCCAAGTGGCAGTGTCGAAAATCCTGATTGAGCCATATGATGCGGAGACAAGCCTCTGTCCATCCGATGTCCACGACACCACACTCCAGACTTCGTAATCGTGTTTGAGGGTAGCGAGCAATTCGCCTGTCTTGCTATCCCAGATTTTTACTCCACTCTGCTTGTGTACACCGGTCGCAATTTTTGCTGAGTTGGGCGAGTAGATCACCGTCAGCACCCACTGGCTCCCGGTCTTGATTTCCAGGACTGTTTCTCCGCTCTTGACATTCCACACTCTTGCCGTCCCGTCGTCGGATCCGCTTACCACTCGCTTACCATCTGCACTCCAGCATACTGACCGCACCCACTCAGTGTGCCCTGTCCATTTTGCAATGACCTTCCCCATCTCGACATCCCACAACCTCACTTTCCCATCATCACCTCCGCTCGCAACGGTGCTGCCGTTAGGAGACAACGCTATGGTAAACACCGCTGCCTGGTCACCCTCGTCTCGCCAGTCGTCACCAATCTGTGCGCCGCTCTCCAAGTCCCATAGTCGGAGTGAGCCGTCTTCCGAACATGTGATGATGCGCCGTCCTTCAGGCAGGTGCAGAACACCTCGTACCCGGTCGGTATGACCTAGCATCGCTTTTCGGGGTATGATTTCTGGCGAATTATCTGTCAGAGAATGCATGGTGGCGCTCGGTGTCTCAATCATGTGGACTATAAGAGAAGCCCGCCGGGATATACGAATGAGAACTTGGACGGGTTGTCTGGCAAGGACAAAGATGCTGTTAATAAAACCACGAGGCAAAACTGACGAGAACATGTGCTGACATGAATTCAGTCCCGACCCGCAGGGCGGCTTAGGGACTCGGACTACGTATGCAGGTCTTGCTGTTGTGCGATACGAGAATACGCAAGAAATATTCATGGTATCCAAGCCGCTAGTAAGCGAGTAGTCGCTTTACAGGCCAAAGTATCACTCACGACAAGATTTCAGACCAACTCACACAAATGGTATCACTTGAATTACAAATGCGAATGACGGACTGTAAATTGAGACAGTGGACGTTTGGTTTGGGGTCGAGGAAAGTTGGGCGTTCGTTCGTTTAAGTCGTTGTACTGCAGTGTGTATTCCACGTGTTATCCTCGTGTTTGCATCACAGCTCAAGTGCTGCGCTCAGGCCTTCGATTGGCACTATGTCCATCTTCCTATATGCAACGGATTATGTTGATTGCGGTGACAAAGTTCTACGGGGAGCCGCATTTTCTCTCCGACACTTCATGTGTTTCTTTCAGCAATGTCAAACTCGATGTCGTCGGCTCTTCGGTATGCTTGCAGGCCGTGCAGCACACTATCACCCGGTGCTGTATTTCGAAGCTGTGTCGCAAGGAGGCTGTCGTTCCGAGACGAGGAGATGAAACCATGGCAGGCTTGAGTGATCTGCTGCCAAGTGGCTGTGTCGAATATCCTAATCAAGCCATTGGAATGACGCGGAGATACTAAACTTCTTTATGTAAATTTCCATCCGATGTCCATGCCAGCTCATGTTCTTCGCATCTGGGATTTTCACTCCAGTCTCGACGCTGTATCCGATATCCTCCCGTCGTAAATTTTGTTGAGCCGGGCTAGTTTGATCACCGCCCACACAGACTCGTGCCCCGTTTCGAATGTTCCAAGGACTGTTTCGCCGGTCTTGAGTCTTGACATCACCACACTTTTGCCAAAATCCACTTATCACTCACCGTCAGCACTCAAACACAAATATGGATTACAACATTTTCCATTTGGCGATTATCTTGCCTGGCTACTCGACGTCCCACAACCTCACTCCCATCATGGGCCGCCCGCAAATTGCAATAGTAATAGTCTTACCGTTCGGAGACATCTTTCTTTCTGCTGCCCCATCTTGCCAGTTACCGCCAATATGTGCACCGCTCTCCAGGTCCCATAGTCGGAGTGAATCGTCTCACAAACCTGTAATGATGCGATATCCGTCCGGCAGGCGCACTACAATCGTATGCCTTTGGTATGACCTCGCATCGTCTGTCGGGACACGACCGTCGTATGGTACGAGAGAAGCCCGCCAGAATATTTTGAAATTGAACGGCTTGTCTGTCGATGGTAAAGATTGTTGGCCAGTCTTTTTTTTATTTTTACAAATAAGTAGGAACACACAACGCGTTGCTGACGAGACAACCTGCTCACAGGACTATTTCAGGACTATGTATTCAGGACTTGCTGCAGCGTTCCTCGAGAATTCGCAAGGGATATTTGTAGGATTTATCTCGCAGAAGGGAGAGTATACTCACGAGAAATATCGTTCACCCGAACCCAGTGCTCAAGCCACTGGCGATCGGTGGGCGTTTGGTTTGGAGTCAAGGAAGTTGGGCACCCGTTCGTTCAAATCGTCTTTTAATATGCGTGCCATGCATTATTTGTGTTCGCTTCGAATTATACGTGCTGTGTACACTGTAGACGAAGTGCCCAGATCAGCGATTGACTGTGACACATTCGCATTTCCTCTCCAATTTTCCAACCTATCTATTTTCGAACCCGATTTTCTTCTTCGCCTAGTCAGGATTACGAACTTTGTGTTGAGGTATGCATTTTTTGGTGTCCATTTCTGTTCAATTCAGAGAGAACTCTATGTAGGTCTAAAGGAACCCCTGTCGCTGATCTCGAGGTATGCATTTGATTATCGAGATCGCGGGTGCGTGCCTTACTGTCAATGGCGCTTATCAGAATCAGAAATGCTTACTGATGTGTAGATAATCTGATCTTCAATCAACACCCTACGCGCCGGACACGACTCAGCTTGTAGAGACCCGTCTTTGACATTGGAAGTCTCCTTGGGACTCTTCAGTGAGAAGGCATCAGCCAGCTAGCGTTTCTTGTGAGATCGTTCTACAGCACTACTGAGGTACATATATGCTCATGAGTGTCATACGTTCGACGTATTGGCAAGGACACAGTCCACCATCGGCATATCCTACTTCTCCTCCAGCTTACGCATCGGCGACATGAACAAACTGTCCCCTTCTATCCATACTTCTGCCCGATGGCAGTAAATTTTTCAATAGGGTTGCGGAATCGTGATGTGCGGTTCATAAAGGTCTCTGTCTGCCGTCCAATATATTAGCAACGAAGATGCACGTGTGACCAGCTATTTGGATCTGGTATCGTTCAAAGGTCCTTGATTTCTCTCCCACTAGTCCTCCATCCTCACCCTATTTCGAGAATCGTGAACAATGCAACCCTTCTCCCAGAAGAATTCGTGAACGTGCTGGTGACTTGCTCTGAAGCGCAGCCTGCTCGAACGTGGAACTGAAAATAGAAGCAAATCAACACTGCCTTATTTATCTAATTCGTTGATGAGCCGATGCGTTCTCGACAGACTCGAGGGACTCTTTGGTTGCCGCCTAGGGTTGCTCGAGTCCAAGGGTGTCGAAGATGTTATAAGACTCGTTGCCGAAGTTAATAATGGTGTTCTCTTTCTAGTACAGCGTGCAGCATTGACTCGCAATGCCAGGAGATACGTGTGCCACCTCCTGTTCCGCCATAGCTGAAAGTGAGTTTTTGCCTGCCCCCTTCCCCCCAAACAGCACGACGGTTTTATGTTTGTTGAAAAAAAACAGAACAAACAGCATCTGAAATTTCATACCTTGCAGCCACACAAGAGATGGCGCTTTGTAGAGTTTGGCCGACACCTCACGATGCAGTTCGTATGGGAGACAAACGAATGCAGACCATGCAGTAGACCATGTTTTCTTCTTCTTCTTGTGCCCAATGCCCATCCTTCATATGTAACCCCACTGGTCGCACGTCAGTGAAAAGAAGTCCAACTGCCAGACTCTCGAACGTCGCAAAAATTGACTCAGGGCAAATTCGTGTTGATGACCCGCGTGTTGAAAGACATTTCTTGGACCTGTCATCGACATGGGAAGGAGACATCCTGCTCATCCGAGGCAGGGTTTTTTTAAAGCAACTGGGTCACCTGAAAGATAAGTTCCTTCAGTTTTGTAGTTGTGAATGTCTAGTCTCTCCTAGGGAGACCTTGATAATGAATGTCTAAGCGGAGAGAATAATCCTGGGATTGGAACGTTAACTCTCGCAGCGGTTTGGAGTAGGATATCGATGTCTAGACCGCAGAGTCTCACGATGGGCTCACGACGTTTGTCGGAAAAAAACTGATGCAATCGAACAAAGTCCGTACCAAACATGGAAAGAGCTGAATGGAAGTGTTCACGCTCTTTTTTCTTTTTCAACCTTGATATCGCCTGGGCTCAGAGGTGGCACGGGGACGCAGTGGTTCTTCCCAAAATCCTTTAATCGATCTGACTCTGATTTTCGGGGATTGCGACGACGGTAATTTTGTTGCCTCCTCTATTATCATTGCTCGAAAATCGGGCTTCGCAGGCTTCATCAAGCTCGAATTCTGCATCTGTTATTTCCAACATGCGGCAGACACGCGCAAAAACTACATCGTCTGCTCCTCCTACCAGTGACACTGTATCGTCCTCTCCTGCACCGGCACCTGCGACTAATTCTTCGCCAGTCCGTGCTTCACCCCATACACGATCCAGGGGACCCGCAGCCACTCCAACAGAACCGATTAGCAGTACTAGCACTGCTCAACCCCGCGTTCGTACACCGTTGACGATTCGCTTGCCAAGAGCATCGCTTACGGGAAATGCGACATTCTCTATCACCAACAAAGCTTCTGCAGTGTCACTCACCGCTTCTGCACCTGCTGTTGGCCCTGGTCCTGATGCTCCTATCCCCACCTCATCCATACGCACGCCCATACTTGCACCTACTCCGCCAAAGCGTGAGCCACCCCCGACGTCATTCAATGTAACCCAACCTGCATCCACTACCCCTGCGCGACCTCCTCCGCCCGCGCATAAGCCAATTCCGCTAGCACCAAAACCCATGCCTGCATTACCCCCGCGCTTGGTGGCCCCACCTATTTATACTTTCCCACCACCCCCACCCCCTCCAAATCACGTTGATGACTCTACAGTTGCGCCCATACGACTCCCCGTACCTGCGACACCCAATGCCAATGCAGGAGCTCTATCAACCCTGTCCGCGCAATCTGCCGCATTAGCAAACACCACAGTTTCCACTTCTCCGCGCCGTCTTACACCTCCTCCTGCGTCATCGCATACTTCGCTTCCTACCTCTTCGTCGACCACTCTACGACCTATTCACCACATGCTAGCAATGGCTTCTGAATCGCAGCATGCTCATCGACAAGCTTCTCAGGCTCAATATCCCACTCCGTCTTCAGCAGGAGCGTTACCTTCCCCAGCTTCTGGTGCAGACCTTGAGTTCGATTATGCAATGGAGGTGGATACAGAAGGCATCTCAGCGATGACGAATAGTCGCAATAACTCGGTAAGTTACTCCTAGTCATTTTTGCTTGCTCGTTCGTTCAACTCTTTTGCAGACAGCTCCAAAAACATCAGACAAGCACCGCGAGGCCAATAAAAAATATCGTCAGAAGTTGAAGGAAAGAATAAAGAATGGCGAAATGTATATGTTTCCTCGCTTCAATCCAACTTGCTGACGTATTGATTCCCGTTAGTGATGAAATAGAAGCTGAGAGAATGAAAGAGAGGAAGCGTACTAATGCCCGCAATTCTCGGTGAGTCGAACATGACTGCTGCGTTGCTTCATCAATTCAATTGTGTCGGTAGTGCGCGAAGGAAGCTGGCGATGCGCGAAGCAGCTAAAGACAATGACCCCATGTCAAGTGTCGAGCCAGGCTCGTTTGTTGACCCTGGCATCCGACAATCTCTCCCTCCGCCCGCTGACCCGACCCCAGGTCCTGGCGATTTCTTGTTATGCCTCCCTGATACGAACCCACCGCCTGGGTCTTACTACTCCACGACTTTCCACGAAATCCTTACCAAAACTGACCGCAACAGCGGGAGCAGCGACGGTGCGAGCATCAACAACCCACATTTTGAGCCTGATAGCCATGCGAACTTCGAATTTGACTCCGTCATGACCCCCGCTCTCTTCCCACTCACCAAAGCCCGAGTTTTTAGCGACGCCTGTACGATGACAGACTCCACCCCAGAACTCCCAAAAGAAATTGATATGGGATCGTCCCTCGAACCCATCGCGCCCGCCCTCGCCCGCCGTCCACACAGACAACTCACCCCCGAACGTCTCCGAGATTTTGCCGCGAACCCACTAGAGCTCATCGACAAAGCGTTTCTCCTCATCGTCCCCGATCCAAGCAGCACCCTCGGAAAACTCGTGTTGTGTAAAGTACTCGAGCACCGCGTGTCTTCTGTTGGACATCGTTTTCTCGTGCAGTTTTGGGGGGATAAGAAGGCTACTGAGATGGGGGTTGATAGGATGATGGAGGTGCTTGGTGGTGGGTATGAGATCGATCCTCCGCCTGCGGGTCCTGAACCTGGACCACAGGGGGTGGGGTTAGCCGGGAGGGTGTTTGGCGCGTTGCGTTCGTTTACGGGATTCTAGATGCCTGAAGATGTTTTTATCTCGTTAGTTCATTTTCTTTGATCTTGTGATTTTTATTTATTTCTCAGTATTTCCCCCTAGGCCGTTGTGTTGTATTTACTTTGTTGTTGTGCTGCACTTTTCGCGATGCCTTGGCTGGTGTGGATATGCTTTTATCTGCATACTGTTATTCTTCTTTGTTATCTGTTATTTTTTCTGTTTTATGTGTTACTTACTTGTTACTTACTACGTTGTATCGCGCTGATATCTATAGTAATTGACGACGCGGTTTCCTTAAGTACAGCGATGTAGTCGGATTACTATAGTAAGAGAATAGCTCTGATCAGACATCTGATGTGATCGACACTGTATAGCATTGAAGATATCTCGACCACTAGTACTGATGATACATGGTGTTCCAGGTGGTCTGGCGCAGGTCCTCTGCGGGAGTGCCAGGGTCCTGGCGCAGTCTGGAGTCCAGGTTCGTAGTTGGTTATTGTGCGTGTTATATATATATACAAGCAATCCGCTCTCCTGCGGACGGTTCTGTCTTACACTGTCTACAGTAACAACATTGATGAATAAACCACATTTGCTGTCTCTCTCTCTTCATTGCTGGGTGACCACAACGTCCGAAATGCTGTAGTAGAGTGCCAAGCACGAACGACGAACGTGCATGAGTTACAGTGAAACATGAAAGGGGTCGGTGTGGAGCATGCACAGACAGGAGAATATGAAAGCGGTTGGATTGGAGCGCGAACACAGTCAGAGTGGAAAATGAAAGGAGGACACGTGGAGCGCGCACATGGCGACGACGCGAATTGATTCCGCGGGATCAAACGCCTGGTCCTTACTTATGTAGATATATATACGATCGATAGAGCCGTCGCCTCTCGCCATAAAGGTTTGGCCTGGAATTCTCCTAGAAGTCCGTGTCCGGTCCAGTGGCTGAGGTCAAGTCAGTCCACCAACGCCTGTGTGCAGTTTCGCAGCTCCGAGTCGGGCGTGGGGATTGGCGGCTGCGATGAAACTCGAATCGAGCACGCTGGTTTTTTGTCAGGTGTAATATATCACTGGTAGGGCTGCCAGGCTTGTTCATGATGGTTATTGTGTTCATAAAATACCACCTGTGGAATCTCGACACCTCCGAGTCGCACCGCTCCAGCACAAAAATAATGTGCAGCCTTTGCCGGCGCTGATGGAAACCTGTTAGTCATTGGTTGCGACAACAATAATGCGTGCTCGTGGTATATTCGTATTCCTCCGGCTTCTCTGCTTGAGCGACAGGTAAACTGGAAGGAGGTTCGATTTCTTAATTGATCATCATCTGAATTTCGTTAAATTTATAAAGAAATTGATACCACGATTCGTCCTGAACTCCCAGTGTCATGTACATGTTACAAATTGTCGTTCAAAGTGCTATAGGATGTCATTGAAAAACTGGCATGGATACGAGAACGTGGAACAAGGGGACATCATAACGGAGCTAAAGCTGATGAATAGTATACTGAGGAGCGGCAAGCAAGAAGGAAGATAAATGATTCTGTCACCATAAACATGTTATACTCCAGTTCGAAAACCATCTACAAGTTCTGAATGGGTACGAGAACGTGCCGAAATACTGCAAGGGAAGACCAAAGGAGTGCTAAAGATATAAATCTGTTAGTAATGGGAGCTTGGAATAACGAAACAAATTACCGAGTGAGCCCCGGCCTGAATTGAGGGGTGAAATCGATGACTTTGCCTATGTCATCTTTGGCGGAGGAAAATTCCACCGTGGCCAACATGGTAACAATAGCAGACCACACAGAGGCATCGGCGGTATATCGGCCTGATCAAAGAATGTCAAGGCATCCATGCTATACGACACTGAGATATCTCAACTCACCTGCACATCCACGCCGGCCTAAGCCAAAAACGTATCCCGCAGGGTCATCATCAGTCAAATCACCGTTGACGTCCAAGAACCTCTCTGGCATAAAGCGAGAAGCGTAGGGGTACCGTTTTTCATCTCGTGAAATGCCCCTGCGATATAATATCAGTACGTTAAAAGCTGAGGAGAGTCTATCTGACCATATGTTGCATATGACGGTTGCTCCTGATGTACAATATCAGAAGTGATTTGTTCGCTAGATGACAACAGCATACCTTTTGGAATGAAGTATCCATTATATATATCATCGCTCGAGGTAGCATGTGGTATGGCTAGACGATCATCGTCAGTGAAAACGAGATCACTGGCACTCGACGAGGAGAATACCAAGGGGTGTAACGGGGCTCCATCGGAACGTCTCTCGTAGGACTGATTCAACGTAGGGTAACGAGGCTCTGTCTTCAAATGTAGGCAAGCGATCCTCTCCAACTACTGAGTCGATCTCCGCTTGTGCGCGTCTCTGAACATCTGGATACAATACCATGGCGAGAGCAAAAGTCATCAAGGTCGATGTAGTCTGTGAGGAGGTTGAGCAGCAAAAAATATAATTCGGAAATCTGCTCACTGTGTCATATGAAGCTGCATAGATATTCATCAAAGAGCAGAACACCTCTTAGATCACATCGCCCCTTGTAAAGAGGTGACGAACCCGTCATAGCAGTAGTTGCTGCTTTCTTTAAGGCAGTCTCAAACCTAGTTTTTGATGCCTGATCTTGCTCCTCCATCCGTTGCAAATTGTCTCCCACCATTGAAAACCGGTCGAGCATCGAGTGTTCGGCCTTAGCAAATCATTAACATCTGGGACTGAACTAGATTTACAAGATGCCCACCATATGCTCCTGCGCATATTGAAATGGAAGGTTCATCATTTCAGTCATGCGACTAGTCGAAATTTTAGCGTCGCGTTTGATCGAGGATCCCCAGCACCAGTCAGGTAACCTAAGTACTGCATGAGAGTGTGGGATGTCAAGTCTTTCTCATCAATGAAAGCGAGCTCACAGAAGGGGAAGAATTTAAGCAAGATTGCTCTCTCTGGAGTCACTACCTCGAGGCCAATGGCCACTGCATTTTCCACGATTCGAATCAGGGGATCATCGCGAGCACTAGTATGGTAGCCATATGCAACTGACATCCCGACTGACGATGATAATCTATGAACTAGTTAATGATCATTGAATATTCACAAACATATTAACTGACGTTGCCAAGTGAGAATTATAGTGTTGAGGGTCATCGATTAGATTGACGATCAACTCACGAGCTCGTGTCATCTGCATGGGGCGGAACTTGATTGCAGAGTCGGGATGGAAAGTTTGGTGAAAGAGTCGTCGGCAAAGACGCCATTCGTCGCCGTAACCTGTGAATGCAAAGTTGACCGACCAACCAAATCTTGCTGAACTTCAGAATGATTAGATGATTGAATATTAGAAGAACGTACGGCTCGATCGTGGCTAAGTATGGTCGATCGGAATAAATACGAGAACGTTTGTCTAGTAAGGCTCGTGCAACATGCTCAGAATTGATCACTACGACTTCCTGGTCTAGAAGTCGCACGAAGACCAAGTCTCCTGATAGAATTATGTGCACCACATGCGCCCCATACTATTTGTTCACGTACCATAAGCAGCGCCCCATTCCGTATAGGTCAACCAAGGTTCCTTGGTGTCAACAGACAAGAGGTTCCCTAGCAATGGGAGCGGCACCGGGCCAGGAGGAAGGCGAGGCTTGTTCTGTCTGTTCTGTCTGAACCGAGCGAAGGCTATGACTATAGCAAGGGAAAGAGGTAAGGCGGCGAGGATAGCAAGGTGGCCATCAACTGAAGGCAACATGATTAAAGTAGTGCGCTGATAGACAGCCAAAGCAAGAAACAGATTATGATTATTATACGAAGTGCATGGGGAGCCGCTTATCGTTTCTTGTACCTGGCGTCTATGAAGTGATGGTGTCGGCAGATGCGTAACTGAGAAATTGAAATCATCATATCAGAATCCAGATTCATGCCATGTTTGGTAACTCACATATTTATATGTGCTCGATGAGCAGGTCTCATCATGACGTTGATTACTTCGTCCTGGTCGTCTTGGACGGAAGAAATGTCCACTGTCAGTCTGTGGCCAATATGATCATAGTATAGCTATGTGACTCAACCTCACCACGAACGTGTGGCCTTATAAACACTCAATGTGCGAAATAGACATGCCATCAGATACCATTGATTGTAGTGTAGACAACCCACGTATTGCACCACCAACCTCAACAATATCATGCGCGCCGCTTTGCGGTCTACGTTACTTCCTCCGGTGTCGCAAGCCATCCAATCAACCTATTGTCAGTACCTGGAGCAAGTCGTTACGATGAACGCGCCAACCGCCATGCCGAACACGACAAAGGTCGTTTCGTTAGTTCATCTTTCGAACTAGCATTTCCCGTGTTTTCACTTGTAATATATCAAACTGAAAATCGACAAATTAAAACAAAGCTGCTTGAACGAAGTGTCTGCCAGTGCAGCTCAGCCTTATGTTGTAGTCCTGAATGGACATGAGAACGTGGCAAAATACTGCAGGCTGCTAGTGTTGCCGCGGCGCCGGCTTCGAGCCCGGCTGCAGCCCAAATTGAAATGTGGCTGGCCGTGCATGCTTACAAAGCATAAGTACGGACTTAGTTTTTGAGTTTCGAAAAGAAACATATATAAAGTGTATCTAGGTGATTCCCGTGGAATATTAACATCTTGCGCTCCTAAACACATCGTCTGCTTCTATCAAGCCACGCTTCGCATCTCATCACTCGTAATCTTAATCTCAATAGAACTGCTCGATGATGATGAAGGGATTAACACTATGATGGCCAGGCGTGTCAGAAGAAGAGGGAAAAATTGATAGTAGGACCATAAGTTCCATAACAGATGCTGGCGAAGAAGGTTAGTACACGCGATGGTGAGGAGTATGTCAAAGCTGCGTCATCGGGCAACATTTAAACACCGCCCGAAGCCATAGACATCCCGCCGAAGCCCTAGACTGGTCCTAGACAAATATTGGCCCCAGAAGTCTACGTGGAATAGCCCCAGAGTGGCCAGATCCCTGACTTTCACTTGCTTTGATATCTTTGCGGCCAGCACGCCGCTGGCGAGCGGACGATTCCACCGCGCGGATATGGAGCTTAATACCATCAGAAAGAATTCTACCACGCTGGTTCTGCCAGTGCTTCCAGCAGAACTACCTCAATACAGTTCTCCGCACAATACTAAATCCGACAAAACCCTCTCCTACTGCTGTGGGAGTCAGTGATATCGTGATCATTTTGCAGGAACCGGGAAAACTATGATTTCTGTCTTCTATTGCAAATGGCGGAGTTGATTCAGTAAGATGAGGTATAAGAATCAATGTATTGTACGGTTTGCTCACGTACTGCTCGAATAATGGTCCCCTCAGTTGATGATCCCCTCGCTATCCTGGCCGGCATTCCTCTTTCCTTTGTCGCCATCTTTGCCCTAAGGCGGTTCATCAAGAGCCGACAGAACAAGCATACTCTTCCGCCTGGTCCGGTGCCGCTCCCGCTAATAGGGAATGTCTTATCTATTGACACTAAGGAACCTTGGTTGACTTATACCGACTGGCGTGCTGCCTATGGTACGTGGACAGATAGTATAGTGCATGTGTGTTGCAAATCATTCCATTAGGGGACTTGATCTTCGTACGGATTCTAGACCAGGAAGTGGTCGTGATCAATTCTCAGCACATTGCAGAAGACTTATTGGACAAGCGTTCCCGGATTTACTCCGATCGACCATACTTAGCCACACTCGAGCCGTGCGTTCTTCCAACATTTCTCTATTTAAGTAGTCTGAGGTGCATGCAGTTATGGCTGGTCGGTCAACTTTGCATTCATAGGTTATGGTGATGAATGGCGCCTTTGTCGCCGACTCTTTCATCAAACTTTCCGTCCCGAGTCTGCAGTAAAGTTTCACCCAATGCAGATCAGGCGGTCTCGCGAGTTGGTCGTCAATCTAATAGATGAACCTCAACACTATCATTCTCACTTCGCAACGTTAGCGAATGTAATTTTCGTATTAAACAATTATTAACCTGTTCACAGATTTTCGTCATCTGTTGCGATGTCGACTGTATACGACTACGAGGCCAGTGCTCGTGATGATCCTCTGGTGCAGATCGTGATAAATGCACTGATTCCGGGCTTGACCTTGTTGACCCCAGAGAGAGCAGCGCTGCTTAAAGCCTTCCCCTTCTGTGAGCTCGACTCTCTTTGGTGAGGCAAAGCTAACATTTTATCGCAACGTTATGGAATGCAGTACTGAAGCTACCTGACTGGTGCTGGGGTTCCTCTATCAAACGTGATGCTCGAGCTTCGACTGAGCGCATCAGCAAAATGGTCAATGTACCGTTTCAATATGTGCAGCAAAACATGGTGGGTATCTATCTTTCTCTTTGTTCCAGACATTGATTCAATGCTTGCCAAGGCCGACAGCTCTCAAATTTCAATGGTTGCAGAAAATTTGCAACGGATGGAGAAAAAAGATGAGGCATCCAAACCGATGTTCGAGATTGCTCTGAAGAAAGCAGCTACTACTGCTATTGTGGGTCAGTAACTTTCTTTTGCAAGCGATGTCTCTTGACATATACACGCCATATAGCCTCATATGAGACAGTAAGTAGATGTCACAACTACTTGTCCGCTTCTTGACCCCTTCGCAGACGGCTTCAACTTTGATGGTTTTTGCTCTCGCCATGGTGTTATATCCAGATGTTCAGAGACGCGCACAAGCGGAAATCGACTCAGTAATTGGAAGAGATCGGCTACCAACGTTCGCGGACAGACCATCACTACCCTACATTGATGCAGTTCTGCGGGAGACTTTCCGATGGCATCCCGTTGTACCTCTTGGTAGTCCTCCTTACTGAGTGATCTCACCTTTGCTGAACACTCATATAGGAGTGCCTCATTCTGCGTTGAGTGCAGACATATACGATGGTTACTTCATTCCACAAGGTCCGCTGTTTTTTTTTTCGATCAACACATCATTTCTAATTTTGTATATCAGGCGCAGTCATCGTGTACAACACATGGTCCGATATGTTCTCCCCAACTTTCGTGATACTGACTTTATTGCAGGTGTATCACACGGGATGAAACGCGGTACCCCCGAAGCATCTCATTTTATACCAGAGAGGTTCATTGACGTTGACGGCGTATTGACCAGTGATGACCCCGCACAATATATTTTTGGCCTTGGCCGGCGTATATGTCCAGGTGTGTTGAGTTTTTCTTAATCCCATATATGATTCGGTGACAAACAGACTTCAATCAGGCCGGTCTACTGCCGATGCCTCTCTGTGGTCTGCCATTGTGACCATGCTGGCTACAGTGGATATATCTTCTGCCAAAGATGACCAGGGCAAAATAATTGACTTCACCCCCAAGTTCATTCCGGGAGTGGTTCGGTGCTTGGCTTCCCCATGTCATTCTATGCTCCCATCGCTAACGGTTTCGTTGCTTCAGCTTTCCCGAGATCTTCCCTTGCAGTATCTCTGCCCGTTCTCATATTCATTCAAGACTTATGGATGAGTTACGTGCTGTTTTGTAATGTGTATGGTCAAGAAGACATGTCTGTATTCTCGGATGTGATGTAGAGTATGTGGCCAACAAGGAATGTGGAGTGGATCAGAATCGGCTTGTGCCTGAAGTTGAAGAGTGTGCAAGCTTGATGAACGCAACTTGAACAAGGCGACTCGTGCTAAGTCCACGGTTAGTCTGCCTCGAGGACCGTCATCAAAGTCAGGGATATAAATCAAAAATCCTCTCAGACATGGCACCTTCCTCTGAGCTGTCCACCATAGGCATCTCGAAGACTGTATTTTGCTAAATTCGTACTGCAATCAATGATTCCCCATCCCCCTTGTTTCTACACGTCACAGATTTATGGAGCTCTGTCAACACATGAGTGTTCTAGTATTAATTCTGATGTGACGAAGGATCCCGGTGACCTTTCGGAGGGCTTTCGAGCAATAACATATTGATCATTTTTACGTCGTATTCAGTCGTCCCAGCCGAAGTTTCGGCATCTTTATACTTGTGATGATTTCCAAACTCCGACACGCGCATACGCGTCGTTCTTGATTCTGTGCAAAGCAGTTTCATAGCATTAGTTATGTCGCTCGATCTCACTAGTACTAGTGGCCGAACCATCCTTGCCTTCAAGGCTGGTCGTGCTTTTCGACGCGCTGGAACCAACTTCGTGGATGCCTCCCCCACTAAAGGCGCGATTGTCTTGACCAATGAAGACGGCCTCATACACTTCATGTGGAAAGACCGAACGACAGGGGAACTCGGCGAGGATTTAATATTATTTCCTGGCGATGCTAAATTGGAAAAGGTCCCACAAAGTAGCTGGGGCAGGACCTATGTCCTTAAATTCGAGAGCTCGGACCAAAAGCATTTCGTATGTGTCTCACTTACTGCAAGCTTTTGGATTTTCATCAGTTAACTTCGGTCCCTCTACATCAGTTCTGGCTACAGGTGTGTTTGTATCCCCAAATTAATTTGAGTTGGATCTGATGGTCTCGCAGGACTCGTCAACACGCCGTGATGAGGAATTCGTGACGAATTTGAACAGAACCCTCGCTGATCCCAACATCGTCGCTATTTGGGACGCCCGCAACATTCACCCGGCGTCAGAAGCCTCTACATCCGCTGCTGGTTCATCCACCTCTCAACCGTCAACGGTGTAGGTCCTACTTTTGCCAGCAGGATAGTAGGTGATTCATTTCAAATCTAGACAGCAAGTCCCAGCGACCAGCGACACCACCCCAGCGGGTACCACCCCAGAACAACTCGAGCAACTGCGTGGGATTGTTAGTTCAATGACCGGCTTCGCAAGTGAAGATGGTGTCTACATTTCCCAATCAGGCTGCATCATCACTAACAATTTTCACAGAACTTTGGTTGACAGATGTCCTGTCCTCACAAAATTTGCTTCCGCTCTTTCAGTCACACTCTGAACTCCTCCCAGCGCTGTTCCCTCATCTCCCACCTGAACTTATCCCATCGTCCGACGCTACACCGCAACAAGCAGTAGAAATATTGCAGCGTACGACTAACTCTCCACCTTTCCGCTCGGCTGTGGCACAGCTTGATCGGGCACTTCGCACGGGCGCCCTTGGCGAATTTGTGAGGAGCCTTGGTCTTCCTGCGAGTGCTGCGACGGGTGTTGGTGCATTCCTAGCTGCTATCGCTGAGCAAGCAGGACAGGAGGGCCGTACTGAAGAGCGGATGGAAGAGGATTAGGGAGCGTAAGTGTTGATCGGACTAGTCTTAGTTACGATTGTCTCTCAAGTGTTCTGGGGTTCCTTGGTGTTGAGGTGCAAGCTTATACATGTGCCGTTTTGTTCATACCTTGTCACTTCTTTGCGGGAAACTCGCGGCGGGAACAATGTAGCGGATGCACATATGTCTTGCGAAAGTGAAACTGTTTCGAAATTGGGAGCTAAGGTGAGTGTTTTCTGTTACGTCGCATGATCACCGACAGTGACAGTTACCCTAGAGCAAGACGTCCACTCCCGTGGGATTTGTTCTAACTGCTTTGACGATACTGTTGGAATGGCTTGATGTACCAGTGGTGCCGGTGAAGCCTGAGTTTGCTTGCGAACCCCCGTGATGAGTGTTATAACTTCCATTTGCAGGGCAAAATTCATTGTAAAGTTCAAAACTGGCGGCTGGTGGTTGTGTGCGGACTATGCCGATGTCTCTGAGAGGCTAATAAGTGACTGCCTGGCCAGCACGTTCGCGCCAACGCGCGCCTTGTATAGCAACCTCGGACACGTGGTACTTCGTGTCGAAGTAAAATGGCGAACCGGAGAGTTCCAAGGTTCTCCAAAGAACACCTGCACACTACGGCGGGGCGACCTTCGCCCCTGCCTCTGCGTCTCCAAACCAGTGGTTCAACGCGCTCCTGACGCGTCGACGTGTGTATTGGTCACTTTCTGGCACGTCCGGAATCGGAATAGCGTGGCTTGATAAGCGCATCGGTGCTCGCGATGGATGATCCACACGCGTCTTTTGTTCAACAGTTCACTGCCATGTTCATGAACTGAGAAAGATAGAAAGTCTTACTTATTTTTCCTTTCTTTTCTGGCGCGTTGATTAACAGTCACATATTTTCCTCTTGTTCTGCAGGTTCGCTATGCAGACTTGGATTTTGCGTTTGCGTCGTGGCGTCTGAAGATAGACTTGTAGTCCGTCATCCGGTCGCATAGGTACACATATCATATATGCTTTCGGACAGACTCCACACATGGAGAATGGAACGAACTGATTTTAGAAAACACCGCAAGCTCACCCATACATGACGATTGTGCGTTGTAAGTGCAAGTCACAACATGAATGGCTGGTGAGGGTTTTCTGTGGATCAATGAAATGCCAGCGACTGATCATGTGTATACCTGCCAAGTAGAGGGGTATGGCAACAACATGACGAGGCTGCATAGCAATCACTGAATTGAGCGATGTAGCGCAGGGTTCGGGCGACGGCCAGGTGATGCATATATTCAATGTGTCTAGAAAAAAAAAAAAAACACGATGTAGTTGATCCCCCAACGATGCCTTCTCAAGTCTGGGTGATCTCATAAAAGAATGTCTGCATTAATGCGAGTATTGCACGATATATCGATGTGCTTCGATCCTACTAGATACCTAGAAAATGGGCGATGTTTACTGTAGTTCATAAACCATGCTGTGAGTCGGGATATGAGGCCTAATGACTACGATCTGAGAGCCAGCGGAGGACTATGTCCCTAAAACAGATGGTAGTACAATCAGTCAGGAATTCGAGGATCAACACGAGTTCATGACAAAGAAGCGGAACGCACAAATTATGTTGGCTTTTCATCGAACACTGGTAGAGAGTTAGCGCACACGGTAGCCAGGATGAGAAGGCTCACCGAGTAACACTAAAACGATATCTCATTAGTGCGTTGAAAGCATACAATAAGTCGGAGAGACGTACTGAGACTGGGCGGTCTTGTATCTTGTCCAGTTGACTTCCCACAAAGATGAGTGGGCATGCGGTGATAAAGACACTCTACTCACAGGTCGCGTATAAGATCCTTGACAGATGAGTGCGAAGGAATATCGTTCTTGTTTCCGAGCTGTATCAAAGTAAGCAACCCGTAGATACCCCAAGATAGTAAACTCACCACTAAAAGAGGGACGCCTGCTAGATTTGGCTGCGCCAATAGTTGATGCAATTCGAAGCGTGCCGTGTCAAACCTCTCTTGCTGCAAGCAGCATCGTCGTTAGAACTGGGTGCCACCAATTGCGTAGGAACAGCGTACATCAGCCGAATCAACCACGAATCTGTAGTGAGGGAGGTTTCTGAAAATGAAACACTATCAAACACAAAGAAGCGGATGACGTACACGACAGCATCAACTCCATTACAATAGCGTTCCCACATCGAGCGAAACTTGGGCTGTCCTGCGACATCCCATATCTTCAGGGTCACCGCGCCTTTGCGTACCTTGCGGTAGTTGAATGCGACGGTTGGAACGACGTCTTCTGACCACTAAGTGAGGGTAAGCCGCTTTGGCGAAGGAGAAGTGATAAATGAAACAGTCGTGCCTGCCCTGACCCGAGGACATTCACAAATGATGTCTTTCCAGAAGCCTTCGCGAAGGCGTGTCAGTAGGTATTCCTGAACTTGAAATCTACGGACCCACGGACCTGCAGCCCAACCACGGATATTTCAGCGGCTTTGGAGAAGAATATACTGCGGAATTCGATATGTGAAGCCTTGTCTATTGTGAGGAAAGGCTGGCTTACCTACTGAACCAGGAGAGTATTGAGGATATGAAGATCATGTTGGACAGCTTGGTGCTCGACTGTCGAGTCTTTGATGGTCAGGGCGATACTATTAATGACATTGAAATGGCCCGTGAGACTTCAAGGTGCGTGGGAATTTTATAAAGCTCCCGTGACCCCCGAACAGCATCGCTGGGGTAACGTTAAACCGTTCTACCGCGTAAACTGGAAGTTCAAATACTGGCGTGGACTCTACTAGTACACTTGTCGCCTATGCATCTTACAACCATGTCAACCTCTTGGAACTCTCGAATCGACAAACAATCGCCACATTCAAGCACTCTCACTGAGTGAAGTGCCTTACCTTTTCTACGGATTAGATGCAGCTACATTGACCAACTGCGGGGTCGTTTCCCCGCGTTCCACCTGAGCTCCGTGTAGCTGTTTCCACACTTCTGCTTTCCGCCGACAGTTAACAAGAGTTGACAAAAGGGCATCGAGGCCGTTCACATAGAGGCGGCAGAAGGAGATACGTGATGTATGATCCCCACGCAGGTTGTATGTAAATGAATTTATTCGCGCTTGTTGAAAACTAGCGAAAAACAGCGAAAATAAGATAACCACCCTAAAGAACTGGAAGTAACGATGATATAATCGTTCATATGCTGCATCTGCATTAACCTCTATCAGCTTGAGGGGGGTATGCGCAACAAAGAAAGAGCACGAGATGAGACAAGAACCGGAGGATGTTTGTTCGCACGGTTGCTGCACCTGGTATTGCAGTATTAGTATCGGGAGCAGGAGTGGGAGCGGCAGCGGCAGCAGGAGGTGTCGTGGAAGTCGAGGCGGCGGCAGGCTGAGATGGCGATGACGACGACTGAGTTTGGCCTTGTGGTCGGGCCTGTGTTTTTTTTTACCGGCCGCGGAGCAACATCGTGTTTGAGTGTGGTGATGAGCTTGCCCGTCTTGCTATCCTAGATTTTGACTGCATTCTGAATCTCCTTGCGTAGGCCTCCGCCCGTCGCGATTTTTTCGTTATCGGGCGAGTACATCACCGCGTTCACCTCCTCGTGTCCGGTTGTGATTGTCAGGACAGTTTCACCGCTCCTGACATCCCATACTCTTGCTGTCCCACCACCGGATCCACTCGCTACTCGATTACTATCTGCACTCCAGCACAATGCAGACACAACACTGCTGTGTCCCTTCAATTCGGTGATAACCTTCTTCGTCTCGGCGTTCCACAACTTCACTGTCCCGTCATTGCTTCCGCTTGCAACTGTCTTGTCGTTTGGAGACAGTGCCATGGACTGTATTCCTTCATGATTCTCAATTCGCCAGTATTCATCTATCTGTGCGCCGCTCTCTAGGTCCCATAGTCGGGGTGAGCTGTTCACCGAAGATGTGACTATGCGTCGTCCGCTGGCCAGATGGGCAACACCTGTTACCCAGTTGGTATGGCCTCGCATCGTCCGGAGTGGCGTGATTGCTGGCGCCTCGCTGGTGGATGATGAAATGGTCGGTGCTGGGGAGTTCATAATGCAGATTGGGGACTGTCGATGCAAGAGAAGTCTGCTGAGATCTTTGAACCAGACCGGGTTATGAGGCGGCAATTATTTCTGGTGAGTCTAGAGGCCTACTTCTTTCACGTTAACGCTGAAGCAGCCATTGCTCACGAGACAACCTACTTACAGGAATCAAGTCCTTACCTAGAAGACAGCTTCGACACTTTATATGCAGGACTCGCTGCACCGTGGTTCGAGAATGCGCAAGAGATCCTGGTGTGTATGAGTCGCAGTCGCTGTAGTAAACAAGTGATCAGCTTTAATCTGTAGAAGAGCCCACTGTATCACTCACGAGAGGCACCGTTTGGACGAACACAGTGCTCAAATCACCCCAGCGATCAATGGATATCTAGTTGAGATAAGAGGAAGTTGGGCGCCCGTTCGTCCCACGCGTCATCCTCGTGTTCGCTTAACAGCTTCATTGCTGTGTAGATGAAGCGCTAAGGTCTGACTGGCGCTATGTGCATCTTGTACGCAAGGGAACTAATGCTGGCGACGAAGTTCGGTGGGTGTTGCGTTTCCTCTCTACTTCCCTCAATGCTTCTGAAGCCCGCCTTCGGCGCTGCAGCCCAGTGGAGAATACAAGAGAATCACATCAGACTGTATTATCATAGTACAAGTCAAAGACGGCACGTCTGTTCACAGCACGATAGACGTCAGGACGTTAGATATTGTGAGATATGCGTTTTGACGAGACTATCAAGGGTTCCGTCCATACGCATTGGTGGTTGTTGCGCGTAGACAGTGATGCACATGCCTGAGCACTTATAGATGTGACAAGAATCGAGATCAGATGTGTGAAGGCATGCTTCAGTCATTTAATCTCTGCTAACCACCGAGAAACCTTTGAAACTAAACACAAAATATCACTCCGAAGTTCGACACAGAATGAGTCCAAGATCGCTTTATGACGACAGGGTCATCCACCAATCAATAGTTCGGCCCATCTACAATTCAACAACTTCAACGCCCTTCATTCTGCATTTTGCCTTCCAGAATATCATAAATTATGCCCTGCTGCCCAACATACCTGTCACACGTCAGGACCCTACGCTTGGGAAGCACGCTTATTGCTTCAAAAAATGGACGGGAATGAGCCGTGGCCATTGCTGAAAGAAATGTGTTCTATGTTGGGTGGGAGACATACGCAGGCGTAAGCATAGGTATCAGTTCTTCAAGTGCAATGTACAGCATATGTAGCAGCGCAGCAGAATGGATTGTAGACGGAGGGAATGAGGCCGTGGTCATCGTGATGAAGGGCAAGAAGAAAATCTCGCTCCGTGGTCTCTGCTATCCCATAAGTAAAGCACACTGAGGTCTGCAGCTATGTTCAGGCGAGCTCGCTGACGGAGGAGCCTGGACTGGTCCTGGAGATTTTCATTCTCTAATGTTTCTCTCGAAACTATTAGAATTATCGAGTTCGATGCATTGCATGAGTGTCACAACGATGAAATGAGCTTGATGGAGTAACAAAAGATATAAAGACAGAAACAAAGATAAAATAGTTACCCACATGCCGTATCAATGCCCATTAGCATGTGGGGGAGATGCACAACAAAGGAAAAGTACGAGACGAGCCCACCATGAGATAGGTGGTGACTGCGCAGCTGCTTCACCACCTGTGGTAGTATGAGTACCTGGAGCAGGAGGTGTCGCGGAGGTCGAGGCTGTTGTAGGCTGAGTTTGCGATGACGACGCCTGTGTTTGGCCGTGCATTTGGCTTTGCTGCTGCGGCCGCGGCCGTGGAGCGACAACCAATGACTGCACAATCATTGAACAAACGGCGATGGGAAACACACGCGAACAAGTACGTACCCTTCTGTCCTGTACTGTAGGAACATCGACGATACGAGGGCCACGATGAGAGAAGGTGGTCCGTCTTGGGCGTTGCTGGGGTTCGGTTGTTCCATCGGTCTTGGAGTGAGAGTGGCGGAACAGCGATGAAAAGCCGCTGAATAGCGCACGCGGATTCGAAGAAGTGGAACCGTGCGCTGCAGAGGACTGAGGGTACAAAGATCATAATGAGAACTAGTCGACTAAAGCAGATGACTCACCTGAGCGCCATCGAAAAAGCCCGGCGGTATTCGGCGGGCATGAATAGCTGGGCGTCGCGCAGCATCTCTCTAGACTCCCTTTAAAATGGTTGAAAAGCTTAAGAAATACGTCACATACGGTCATTAAGGATTTTCGAGCTGGGACCTGCAAATGGGAGATTAGTATAGCTTTAACGGAAGAGCAACCAGATTTACATGAGAAATAGGCAGGAGGAGGTCTTCAAGGCCAGCTTGTTTGATTATGGCGTGAATGTCCCATGTGTACACATTTCCGTTTTGGCAACCAGTGACTAGCGTTTTTCCATCAGCAGAAAGGGCTGCGGAGCGCACATCATCTTCATGCTGGAGGCCCAGTGAAAGTCGGACATGGCCATTTCCACGCGCAGCCACGCAAATCTACTGTGGCTATGGCACGTCGAATCGCGTAGTCATGCGTCGGTATCTGCGCTTTCCGTAGCTGCAAAAACGACGCGCATCGGCGCTGGTGTATGCTTTTCGACGCATTGACTACTAAATAGAATTCCGTAGATTTAAATATAACTGCATGTCCCTTTGATATCTTGCTGGCTTCGACGCAAATATACGGAAATCGATGCATTGCAACGTAGCATATGATACGAATCATGCCACTAAAAACCACCTGCGCTCGTACCCGGGCCCGCCCCCGCGCTCACGCTCATACCCGCCCCCGCGCTCGCGCTCGTACCTGGCCCTTCTGCCTGATGCTGCCGCCGTGCTAGAACAATGTACTGCTGGAGAACTTACTGATCACTTCGACAGTGCTGCCGGTCCAAATGCCATCAGATATCTGGAAAGGAGACACATCAGTACACTGGGAAAACATGGTAGCGCTCACCAGTTTTTTTGCGTCTGTTTCATATTTCTGAAGGAGAACACTACGAGTTAGTAATGCAAATGGCAGAACGAAGATAAACACACCTCCTGACGGTCTTTTCCCAGCGAGTCCCAGTATAATTTGAAATCCCGAGAGTAGCCATTGGGTGCGAGTTGTTTGAGCCAGCGATGTGCGCAAAGGTTTCTGTAGTGGGGCTACGTTAGCAACATAAAATGAGAATATTAGTATTAGCGAGACTCACCTCCCGTTCTTCGTAGTCGCAGGGCGGAAGTTTTTGCTGGTAGGGCCAGGCTTTCCTTGCGAGTCTGCATTAAGAGTATCTGCATGAGGTGCGATTGCGTCGTCTGCAGACAGCGTTGGTAGCGTAGTGTCGACGGGTGCTGCGGTTGGTAACATATTGGCGGGAGCAATCGAGGGCGTTGGCAAAGCATCACAAGGCTCGTCATTTTTCTTTTCCTTGAGGCGGATAATGGCATCTTTTCTGAAAGCCAAAGTTCGTCAATGTAGTAGGTATATCGAGCAGAAAATCACTTACAAAGGGTTTCGAAGTGGAGCAAATAGGGTTTTCGGCTGTCGCGAATAAAGTAGTTCAGATCGCATGAATGCAGATAACTACTGAACTTACTGGATTGTTTGTCTGAGGCCTTGGGCTCGGCGACAATGGCACCAAAAGAGATGATGAAGGTGGATCAGCAGACTCGGTATTTGAAGAAGAAATCTCGGGTGGCTCTGAGTCGCAAGCCTCTAAATTCGTGTCAGCTGTTTTCGCACGTTTCGAATCGTGTTGACATGTATCGGCAGACTCGACCATCTTCGCCTTTCGCTTTTGTGGTTTTACGCGTGGTTTCATCTCCTCAGGGTCAGTAGACGAAGAATCTCCTTCCTTGAGATGAGTGGATGCCCATGATGGGTAGCGGTCTCTAGCGATGTGCTCGATCTTCCAGTACCTGTCGCAAAGGGCTAATTCGGGGTGTAAGCGAGACACTTCTTTGTAGAGAGCGTTGCGAGCATCGGGGATTGCTCGACCCCATGAGATCGGCGCTATTCCACGTTGTCGGAGGCCAAACCAGACCGCGCGAAATGTCTTCATGATGGCACGTTGCTCGGATGCTGTGACAGGGTCCCCATTTGTATGCTCGAGGAAGGGTAATGATCCCCGCTGGTCGCCTTGTGCATCAGCAGCGCTGTCCCATTTCTTGAAGTCCTCGTGAGTCCAAAAATTGACGAGAGGGTAGTCCTCCTTTCGTAGACCAGTGACAGGGTTGCAATCAATAGCATCAGTCTTGACGGGGATTTTGAGTGGTTGAAGTAGTGTATCAGAGCCTGAATACAAAGAAATGTCGTCTGATAGTGAAAGTGAGTGCGATAAAGTTTCAAATGCAGCTCTAAGCTTGGGGTTTGTTAAGCTGCTGAAGATAACGGGAGAAAACAAACTGATAAGCATCTCGGGATGCAGTAAGGGTCAAAATTTGACGATTCAAATGTTCATTGACAAATCGCAGACGAATATTTTCGTCTTGGACTTGTGCGAATGTATGCTGTGAGTGATTATATGCGCTGTTTTGAACATAATACAACATATTCAATCTCACTGTATTGTTTGGAAAGCTTCCACCGTGATGCAAAAGGCCATTCCAGCCTTGATTCAGCTGACCCTGCGAAGGTACGAGAAAGGGTGATTGTGCACTAGCATGGCCCGGGAGCTGGTGGTTATTGTCGTATAGTTGATTCATGCGGCTGAAATCTTGAGCCTGAGGCTGGTAGTGTTCATCAGACATGACAGACATAGCAAAATAATTGAGAACCGAATGAGCGAAAATTGTGTGGAGGTATTAAGCAAAGGGGCATCAGTATCGTCCAAGGGTGGTTAGAATTCTGCCTCCGCTGGAATATCCCGTTATGGGTCCTCGAGTCGGTGGCTTTCATTTACAGTACCAAGTCCTTCGTGTAGCATTTTTATCAAATACCCCAATGCCTATTGAAAATTTCGGAACAGGTACTTCTATTCTTCTCGCTCATTATCGTTATCGTCCTCTTCAGCAAATACTCCGGTATATGATACATCGAGCCCGGTCTTTTCAACAACAAAGACTCGGTCCTCGGTAACTCCAGATGGTAAAGTAGGCCGATGAGGTATAACTGCGACGACGGCCTGGATATCGGTGACATCTACAACACGAAGGCCAACTTCACCTTGATTCGTGCAAGACCAAACTGTCTGGTGCGACAATTCAAGAAGCTGTTTGTCAGGTGCGGAATATAATGAAACAAGTGCGACAGTCCTGAATCGCCATGCTGCCTGTGGACCCTGTAATCGGCGGACAAAATCTTCAGGGTCCTCGTCATCACCAGGTTCAACATCATTTCGAATGGCGAGCTGCGTGAAATATTGGACCTCCCCATAGCAAGTTGTTCCATCAATCTCGAGCTGAGAATATCAATTAATTTGAGAACATGCAATAAATATATGAAGTACCTTGACGTTTCGCGACATTCGCGTTTTTTCTAGAGGTCGCAGTGCTTCCTTCCATGCTGAACGGGCCACTTGTCCATTTGGGAGCCGAAGGCGCGACCACCGATACATTTTAGGTGCATTGCGGCCCAGAAATTCAGATATGAGTCTTTTCTCCGTGTCTGTGTCTGGATACCTTGCCCGCTTCTCTCGTGCTCGCAGTAAAATGTAGCCATCTCCAACATCAAACGAATACCGCGGATGGAGATTAGAAGGTGGTTGGAGATGGGGGAACATCGCTTTCATGGCATTTATTTGACACCGGATGAGGCAAACTTGAGTTAGACACGCATAGGGAAGTTTGGGTTGGCGAAGATCAAATTCGATATCTGCAAACGTCCTCTCCATTGTCCATTGCGAAGAGCAAATAGGCGATCCGACACGAAGGCATTCAGGTGCGAGATGATTTGATAGGTGAGCACAAGGCCGGATGAAGTGAATACGGTCAGCTCTACGTTGATAGTACAAGTTTTCGAACTCGAGTTCCCATTCCGCAAACAGCGTGAAAGCTTCGGTGACTTGGGCAGGGGTGATGCTGTATTGACTCATAATTCGCAGTGCTTGTGTGAACTTGCAGAAATTCTGCCAGTATTTTTGAGGGAGAACACCGTGCAGCAGTGCCGGTGCGAGCCCAAAAAGCCACGTAATGAATTCACGGGCTTTGTAGTGAGTGTTGATCTTCTCTGCGGGGTTGCGAGGAGGGTTGTCGAACGAGCCTGGTAAGTATGGCTGACAAGCAGCGACGGCTCGACCATGTGCGTCCCAGGTATCATCGACAAGGACAGCCCAGTCCCAGGTCGAATCATCGTCTGTTGGGCTGCAAAGTATCAAGCCGCGCCATAGGTCTGTAAACAATGCTGCCATATTGGCACCAGAGAAGTGCATTATCTCCGTAGAGAAACACTCGGGGATACCGAGAATGTGTCTCGTCTCTAAACCAAGGAGGATACTCGGTCCTACGATACCCGTATTCAGCCTATTGGCCTCGTACTGCGACTGCCTGCTGGATCCCATCAAAATACGAAGCCTCTGAATGTAGTTCTCGGAGGTTCCTTGAGAAGTATCGGCTGGGTGTAGGTCACCATGGTTGCATCCGCGAACATCATAATTACGAGGCTGCAAGAGGACAGGATAATAATGATTGCCGCGAGGTTTACGACGCCCCTCAAGGCCACAAAGCATGCGACAGCCATTTTTGCCATTGTGGCCAACGAGATTGCTTATGCAGACCAGGCCTGGTCCATCTGCACAGGCGAGGATGAGAAACGGGTTCGAGATGAAGATGATATCACGCCACGCATCCCAAATAACGAGCCCTGCTTTCTGAATTGAAGCGAGGTGATGAAACCCGGGAAAGAAAAATGATTGCATATATTTGGGTTTGTTCGGACCAGGAACTACAGTGCCAGGAAGAACGTGCTGCTTCTTGTAGCGACGATCGGGAGGTATGTCAACAATGATCCAGATGTAGACCCAACAGTCTGACTGTTTGGTCTCGTACAATTGAGCTCCGTCAACCGATATAACAAGAACCATGTCCTCCGGTTTGATGCGGCCATGACGAACAGCATCAAGGTATGACGACCCAGTGATGATGTCGTCGTAGGCTATGGGAAGACCATCATTACGTTCCAACTGCTCAATTATCTCCTGCGTGCGGCGACGGCGGTAGTGCATCTGACGAGCACTATCAGGATGCTGCCAGAGAGCCTGAAGCTGTGGGCCAATAGGGAAGGTATGGAATACCTGCTGAGGCTGCTTGACTCGGCCTCCACTCAGCCGAAGCTTAATGGGGTCATATCGTGGCTTCTGACACATCGGACATTCGTCAAGCTCAGCGTACGGACCGACAAAGGCCACGCAGGAGTCGATGCACATATCCTTGATAATAGATGTCACTCCCGAGAGGTCGCTGATGATTTTTTTCACCCGGTGTAGACTTGGTATATCATCCTCGGGATGTCGCGCGAGAGTAGCAGCGCGAGTCTTATGAAAAGCATCTTCTGATGAGTGCTCGAGGGCGAGAAAAAGGGAGACACCATACTCGATGTCAGCACTACCAAACTCTGGTTGACGTCTTGGTGGGTTTCACAAACGTTCGAGTGCATCCCCTGTGAGTCCAATCCCATCATCTAGCGATGCCTCCCGAAGAGCAAGAATAAACTTCATATCACGTTGTAGATCTGGGAGACGAGCATTGCGAGCAAGTTCCTCAAAATCAAGGTCGGAGAAAGGATCTCGCCATTCTTCAAATTGCTGGGGGGGGTGATTTGGATTATCGGGAGGAGGGGGATTGTCATCGCCAGGAGGAGGGGGATTGTCATCGCGAGGAGGAGGGGGATTGTCATCGCCAGGAGGAGGGGGATTGTCATCGCGAGGAGGAGGGGGATTGTCATTGCCGGGAGGAGGGGGATTGTCATCGCCAGGAGGAGGGGGATTGTCATCGCCAGGAGGAGGGGCATCACGAAGGGGAGTGGCATCGCGAGGAGGAGGGGCATCACGAAGGGGAGTGGCATCGCGAGGAGGAGGGGCATCACGAAGGGGAGTGGCATCGCGAGGAGTACTAGTAGCGCCTCGAGGATCTTCATTCTGCAAAATACTATTAGAATCATTGTCCTATTGAATTTTAAACAATAAAGGACATACCATGCGTCTTCGTTTAGTGGATATATTTGAACCACCAACTTGCAAATCGGTTGGCCGTTTCAGACTGCGAAATTCATCTGATAGTCCTGCACACCATATGGCTGCCTTCTCGTCTTCACCGGCCTCCTTCAAATGATTTTGCCAAGTTCGCAGTGACCTGAGCGGTGTTCGGATTCCGAGGCAGTATTTCGTGCAAACGCACCAATGCACATCTGACATTGGCAAGATGATATGGGATATGCTAGACAAAATATAACTTAGTACTAGCACGCGCGAAAAGTACCCAAAGGCTTACCAGTATTTTGGTTGCTTCTTGTAACAAAAGTGCAGTGTGCCAGCTCCGCCTTGTTATGCTTTTCGCCCCCCGGCACACCAAAGGGAGTTACATGGCAAGGTGGGCAGAGCTCTGAGGACACAAAGTTGTGATGCGCAGCCAGCACCGTGAGGTGAGTTGATCAGTTCTACAGTGAGACTGAGGTGCACTGATGCGACGTTGTTGAACAGATGTTGAACGTTATAATGTTACGCTGCTGCGTCGCTGGCAGGCTGCACACTGCGCAGTGCATACGCATTCGATCAACACAACTGATCACATGATCAAGCTAAGTCTAATTCCGTCGAAGTAACGATAATTTACATTTATAAAATCTAATTCCATAGTTCTACGTGGAAATGGCCATGTCCGACTTTCACTGGGAGTGATGCATCGAATGAATGCATCATGCCAGTGGGTGCAATATAGGGTGATGCATGCACAGTTATGGGTGATGCATCAGTAATCGTGCATGCATCGCCCTATATTGCTGTGATGCATCAGTATTTGCGGCGCTACAGTTGCAGCACAAATGCATCACCACTACCGTTGCAATCACAGCAATTTATTGCATCACTACGACAAGGACGCCTGCAAGTGCGATTGGCACCGAGAGGGAACACTGCCATAGGTGGTGACAACGGTGGTACTAGTATGCATCTGGCGGCTGTACACAACGTTCCGGCTATGACATCAAATATATTGCCACTCTGACAAGAGGCAGGAGTCAATCATGTTGTATCGTCCAGCGCAAGGTCATATTGCTCGAACATTATTTTGGGTTGAATTAGAGTGTCGTAGCAGTATACCATGTTTGGTACTACACACCATACTAGTATACTTAAATTACTCAACAGCAGCTGCCAATTTCCTGCTTCTTCGCCTAGCTACATCCACGCCCGGTAGTGAACGCCACAGTATGAACAATTCCAACTCGATGACATATAGTATATGGCTCGTTATGAGTGCTGGATTATATGAATTATGCAGAAAGCGGTATATCTATATGATGACCCGTACATCATGAAGCCAGAATCATTAATGTTACTCTTTGTTAACGTTCACGCAAATTTTCGGCGGAAGTTGCCTACCGCTAATTAGCATCAGCTGTTATCCAACGTTGCTGCCGCTGTGCTATTAATTAACGTTAGAAAATTGCCCACGAGTACTCATCAGTGAGAAGTTTAAGGCCACGGAACCCCCGCGAGTTCCCGAATCTCCCATTGATGACCGCCATTGGGAATGTATGAGACGCTGCTGTGACACAGGCCATCCCAAATATCCGACACCTCTTTTGCGCCCGTGCGCAGTCAAAATGTTTACGAGTTGCCATTCGAAAATGCATGTCTGCACGGAAGATAAAACAGGGGCGAGCGACAAAGCATCGTAAGCTGGAAAATGGGCTCAGAAAATAAGGGGCAACTGCTCGCGTAGCATGTCTCATTGGGTAAAAAATATTATAGCTTACGAGTTTTGCAAATGGTATAAGTTGTTAGATGAGACCTTGTGAGCCAGGCGTTGGACGTGGTTTCCGCCTGCCAAGTTGGCTCAGTGACTAAACTTATGGGAGAAGCGCTCCGGTTACTGTGACGTCATGGCTGATTGTTGGTGAAGCTTGTGGCATAGTAAGAAGCCTGAAACAACTGAAATGGAAAACATGATTGGTTCCTTGGCTGGCAGGGGCTATACTATCTGGTCCTGTGCAACTAGATGTTTATTTTGCACTGCAAAGAGTGTGACTCAGAGGCGGGTCGGAATACCAAGTGCCAATAATTGATCACCGGAATGCCACGGGGCACTCGATGTTTAGTTCCGTTCTGAGAAAAGTTGGGCTCACTTACTGGTGCGATGCCCTTCTGCATGTATATTTTGGGTTACGTTGGCCTGCTGTGGGCTCACACCGAGATTCTAGATAGAACCTCTGATTATTCGGATTTACCTACGTTTAGGCAAAGCCAGGGGAGCCCGAACCTGTGACTGCCTTTGTGAGTTGTATATATAATGTACAACGAAGCTCCGGTCAATCAAACTCCCACACTTTCGAAGTGAAGCGAAGCACTTCCACTTCGACGGCCACACTACAAAGGCTAGAAAGTATTCATAAGGATTCGAACGACTTCTCATTACAACCGGTTCAGCGATCAAAATCTGCACGTGTTTGCCAAAGTAAGGTTACTTTGCGTTCGTAGGCTCGAGATAAACGCACGAGCTTACCGTGAATTTGCATTTACGGTCCAGATTGACACCAATAACCCCTCCGTCGATGTCGTCTTCGCAGTTAGGACATACCCCTGATCAAGATTCAACAAGATCAACGCTGCAATCATGCCTCGAGTGTCTTGATCGACACAATGACAGGTTAAACATTGTTTACAAGGAAATCATAGAGATTCGCACCCTCATTACAGAGCTTCTTGCCGGCGTCCAGTCAGAAGTCACCGTGACGGAGTCGGGCACGCTGGATGACAGCGCTTACCTCCGAGCAATCGTCGGTGATGACCCTAAGACCATCGCGCCATTTGCACTCGATGAGCTCGATGATATTTCACCGCTGTTGCCACTAGCGTTACATGGCCAGTTTTCGGACCAAGGGTACGGTCCTTTGGAATCTGTCGGGGATATGGGATCACTGCTAGAGGATGCAGATCCTCCCTTCAGTCAATGTTCCCAAGGTAAGTTCCCTATGTTCGTAGCATTTCTTCTAAATGCTTATCATGTGCGGCAAGACCGCGACACCGCTGGCTTCATTAGCCACAAACTCGGTGCAAAATCCTTCCTCCACCAACATGACATGTACCCTGAGGGGCAGACCTTGTCAGGGTCTTCATCCACACATGACCAACGATTCCCTCCCCCCATTGTGCAGATTAGCCACAAAGTAAAGTGCACCTGGCCCGGATGCACGAGGTTCCTCAAGAAGGATGGCCTCACCCGCCATGTGAACGAGACACATCGGCGGAAGGTTAAGGCTGTCTGCGCTGTCTGTGGAAAGAAATTCACGCGCCCGTATTTAAAGAGGAATCATATTTGCCTGGCGGAGATGTAGAAGAGCTTTCCACACCCCCAATGTGACTGCCTCCATTTTTAATTTTTTTTCGAAGTCATTCTTTGTGGAGTACTCTGTGGGATGCACAGAGTCAGATATAAGAGTCTCCGAAGGACCGAGAAAGAAAATATACACTAACGCGAATAAGATTCTAGATGGTTGCTTCTCGTGTGGTCATCTCGATGCTGATGGGAGAGGATGCCGCTCAGTTACTGATTTCAATTGTAATGCTCCCTAAGCACATCTTATGCAACTCATCTCAGAGTTGCAGCAAGAACGGGAGGAAGTGATGGAGCCTGCTCAACTGAGGCAACGGATCTGGCATGAGAGGTATGCCTGTACCCAGTGTTCGAGCGGGATGTCGACCCGAGGTGTCTTCATTCAAGGTAGGTGTTCTAAGGGATGATCATTATTTGTCTTTGTGATTGGCGGATATCATCTTGTTATGTGTCTCGGTTAGTGGGAGCATTTCGAGGATGGAAATACTTACGCGAGTTGTAGTGACAATTTGCGTCTCTATCAGCGTTCAATTCGAAGTTTTTTGCGATTGTGACTCTGATAAGTTACGACTATAATCATCTGAGGTTCTGCTGCACCGACTGAACTTGAATGATACTGCTGTTCGGTCAATAATCATCATCAAGGCCGCTAAACGCAACCTGACTGACCTTGAACAATGCACTATTAAGCACACGCAAATAGTAAGCATGCAGGCGAGCAGAATCTCCAGAAAAGGGGGCTATACATTCATGAAACACATCCAAAACGAAGAAACAAGCCCACTACTCACGATAGCGCGTGGGACCGTCAAGAGTGGTGACAGCATTTTCTGTGTTGGGGTGTCTTGACAGCGCAACTGGATCAGTTGTATTTACTGATAGATTTTTGGAGCCGATCGACCCTCTCATCGAGACAAGCGGGGCTGCCAACACGGTGTAGCAGGGTGGAGGTTCCATGGGAGTGCCGGGGGTCCTGGTGAGTCTGTGGCAGGAGTCCTGGTTCGTAGGTAGCTGTTGCTGCATGTTGTAGTCGGTCTCGATAGATAGAGCCGCCTCCTGCCTTAGATGTTTGGCCTGGGTTTCCCCTAGCAATCCGTGTCTGGTCCAATGGAATCCGCCAGTGTAAACGACATTGATGTAGAGCATGCAGCTTGACGATGAGGTACGCATCCGGAGAGGCAGACAACTTTATCAGCGCACAGCGGGTAATAGCATGCCTTACTAGTCGTCGTCCGAGACACGCGTATCCGATATAACATCTCATCGATACCGGGAGGTGTGAAGACATTGGCGCCTAGCGATTGTTTTAGGCCATTTCAATCCCATGGCGAAGCAGGGTGCATGACAAAGCTGAGTTGTGTAGAACAGATATCGGGTTGCAGAACTGAATACTATTGCATGGTCAGGTAGTACCAGACACAATTTCTGTCGATTTGGAGGTGCACTGCACTGTGCACAGAACGATGGGGCTATATAACCCCGTAACCGCGGCGTGGTAATAAGACACGCCACATGATGAGTCCGTCAGAAATCCTTTCCACGCGTCGTAATTAACGATATCCCCAGAGTTCGCTCCTCGTCTGCTTCGATCTTCCCACTGGCATACTGTGTGTGTGCCTCCGGAACCACTAAATCGCCAACAAAGTGCAGAACACGTTCACTCCATGATTACACATATAGTATGACATCTCGTACAAAGAATATATCAACTTGAAGACTATCTAAGTAAGTTGAACCTGTTTTTCTTAGAGAGTCGCAACCACGAGGCAGTAACGAAACCACAAATTGTACTGTGTGCGTTATTATTGTCATCTGATTTCAAGTTTCAAAGGGCACTGACAACGAGGCGCACTAGACCCTGGTAAGATTTTGTTCAATATATTTAAAGATGACGGGTGCGCATTCTCTCAAGATATTAAGGCTGACTCAAAACCTCAATGCGACATTGTCACCTACCCCAGCACCGATACCACCAAGATCTGGAGCTCGAATATAAATTCATGGCAAGCTCATCTATTCGTCCCAAGTCTATGACACGTAAATTGACCTTACATTCGAAAATAAACGCTCGTTCTGAACGCTGAATCGAATTCTCACAAATCCTGGATGGCACGGGACGTCGTGTGAGTGCAAGAGCATACTTTCTGGCCTTTAAATATTCCTGCCCTCAAAGTTATGTTTGCCCCCCCCTAGCTTTCTCCTGCAAACTGAGTCTGGATTCTCAATCCTTATGGCCGTGGCGGGCAGACGTGACATCGCACTGCACATCTTCAGGATTTAGATTGCGGTATAATACGGCTAGGTCTTCATAGGATCATCAAAACGCCGTGCGGCGAATATCAACATATCACATGCATGGTCCATAAGCCACCAAGCCAGAATCACTACTGCGGTGCGGGTGGAATTTTCCCGTGTACTAGGACACTACACGATGGATTACCTATGACTCGCGACCATATATGGGTTCAATGTGCACGGGGAAATTTCTTGCTGTATACTCGCTGGATATCACACAAGGCACCCCAGAGGAATTCCAGGACTGCTGTAGAGCAATGCTGGTTTGGGCGACGGGCTTCCCCGAGGCTCCCGTGCTGGCTGTTCTATGTAGAAATTTCGATTTGAAGATCCGAGGCACAAACTCAGGACATATGTTTATCGGAGCCGCGTTTCTCATGCCCCGCCTTCAGCATCCAAGCACGATGAGATATCTGATGTCCAATAGATGGTCGATATCGAGTACCGAATGCTATGTATATGTTTCAAACGACTGCCTTTTTTATCAGTGTGGGTGCCGATGTCAACTCTACTGGGGGGACTGCCGCAAACGTCCAAATGACATGTCCAAATAAAGTACACTATCTTAACCCGCCACATTCGCCGGTGCCTTGCCCAAACCACTCAGTAGAAGCCAGTACAACCACTCATGGCAGTTCGCACAACCATTGATCATACTAGTAATGTTGGCAATGTTGGCGTGTTCTAAAACTAACGAGAAACAGGACATGTCTTTCGATACAATAAAGCTCTGGGCTGTCGTTAGAAGCGTCCTTTTCAGAGAGGAGCCAATTCTATTGGCAGGATTGACCAACAACGTAATACTACTATGCATACAATGTTTGGTACATTTTGATCATATGTGCTACATAACCACTCATTTTCCACTTTACTTCGCTTCTTCAGCGGCTCGTCTCGTTCATTCTCGGTGCCATTTACCGTTGATATGGGGTTGTCTCAACGCCCAGTGGCATCCGAGTACGTAGGAACAGCTTAAGTTCCCACACAGGATAGCAGCGCTTCTGGCTTGATGACCATTGCCATACATGCCATTATGAACTGATACACGCAGCGCACCAATTCAAATAAGAGAACGAAGAATTCTCACTTGACGGTCATTGACGTACGGGTCAATGATCTGACATGTACAGGCCGCAGGGGAAGCGCGTGATCGGGAGTGATGAAGATAGCCGTGGCGGCATGATACCGAGAAACTCGGAAACTAATTGCTAAAATCAGTAGGAAAGCCCATTCTGGGATGACATGCACAGCGATAACAAACTAAAACGGTGCTGCACAACGAGAGCGTTAAGGGGATCAAATGTGAATATAAAAGAAAGGATCTCCCAAAGGCTTGTAAGTATTGTTATTTTGCATTTGTGCAACTTCTTGTGCCATCCAGAATCTGCAATTCGGCGTTCGGAACGAGCATGTATTTGCAACAGTAAGATTATTTTACTCATTGTGGACTCGGATGAGTACATGAGCTTACCATAATTTATATTAAAGGTCTAGATCGACGCTGATGATCCCCTCGTCGGCATCGTCTTCGCAATTAGGGCATACCCCTGATCAAGATTCAATAAGATCAAGCCTGAAATCGTGTCTTGAGTGCCTTGACCGGCATAATGACAAGATAATCCGCGTTTACAGGGAAATAATAGATATACGCACCCGCATTACAGCACTTCTTGCCAGCATTCAGTCAGAAGTCACTATGATGGATTCGGGCACAAGTGATAGCAGCGCTTACCTCCGAGAAATTGTGGTTGATGAGCCTCAGGCCATCGTGGCAGTTGTGCTCGATCGGTTCAACGCTATGTTACCGCTATTGTCAACTCCGCTAGACCTCTTGCCCTTGCCACAGCCACCAGCGCTCCATGGCAGGCTTTCGGACGAAGAGTGCGGTCCTTCAGAATCTGCTGGTGGTATCGGATTGCTTCCAGAGGCTACATATCCTCCTGCCCACTATAATTGTTCCCCAGGTAAATTCGCTATATTGGCAGCATTTCCTTTAAACGCTTACCATGTGCAACAGACCTATTGCTCTGTGGCACCTCCGGTTTCGTCAGCCAAGAGCTTGGTGCACAGCCCTTCCTACCTCATCATGGCACGTACTCCGAGGGGCAAACCCTGTCGGGCCCTTCATCCAGACGTGACCAACTATTCCCTCTCCCCATCGCGCAGGGCAGTCAAGACCAAGTGAAGTGCACCTGGCCCGGATGCTTGAGATTCGTCAAGAAGGATAGCCGCACTCGCCATGTGAACGAGACGCATCTGCGGAAGGTTAAGGCTGTGTGCGCCAGCTGTGGAAAAGGATTCGCGCGCTTGTATATGAAGAAGGATCACATATGCCCTGCAGCAATGTAAATATTCAAGTTTCTTTCACCTTTTCACCTACCCATTCCCCAATTCCACGCTTCGTTTTCATAAAATACCTATTCGAAGCCGTTAAAATATTCTCTGGATTTTTTCTTGCTACAAAGGCACCAGTGAACGTACCCTCTTGGACTGACTATCAATAACTTGCTACGAGACCCATAAATAAATAAAGGCACGGGACCGATCCAAACCGCGCCGAGTTCAACAATGGTGATCACTGATCACAGGTTCACCCTTGACGCGGCTGTCACAGTCTGTGTGATGAAGGCTGGGTCTATTCGAGTTGTAGCTCAATTTCCTATTTTTGCTTTCAAAGCGTTGCTTCAAATCTAGGCCCTGGACTGGGTCAAAGTTGAAGCACGGAGTTTGAAATTCTTAGTGCAGCACGCACGTAGTTATGAAAATCGTCAATGATTAAGATCGCTCGCCACTTTTGGTGCGTTCTGGGCCCAGGCTGGCACATCATATACATATCTCTCTATTTTAAGAACCAGGGCACTTCTATGGTTTATATGACCATTCCCGGATCGTTAACTGTGGTCGCCAATGAGTCATGCAATGCTACCGCGGTCACCATCTCAGGCCACCCTGGCCAAGCTCATGCAGTGGTTCTGATAGATGACCTGCCATGGCATGGCTGAAAATCCACATTGAGTCTACGGGCGACAGTCAGGCGCCTCACTCTCATTATAGACCTTCTTGCTAGCTGTCAGTCAAACGTCACCACGGGCGATTCGGGTGGATGCGATGTCACCGCTGACATTCAAGCAATGGGTGATGTTGAATCTCATACCATCACGCCAGTTGCACTCGATGAACTCAATGCCATGACACCGTTCATGACACTACCCAACTATTCTTCTTGCCACAGCCACTAGCACTCCACGGCCAGCTCTCGGACCAAGAGAATGGTCGATCAGTCGGGGTCACTGGACCACGGCCAGAGCTCGGTTGTCGACTTTCGCATGGTAAGTTCGCCACACTCGCAGCCTTTTGATAAAACGCTTACCATGTGTAACCAGACCTATTACTCTACGGCACCTCCAGTCTCGTCAGCCATGAGCTCGACGCACAACCCTTCCTATCTCAGCACGGCACGTACTCTGATGGGCAGATCGTGTCAGGCTGTTCAGCAAGACGTGACCAACAACTCCCTCTCCCGGTTGTGCAGGGCAAAGTAAAGTGTACCTGGCCCGGATGCTTGAGATATGTAAAGAAGGATAACCTCACTCGTCATGTGAACGAGACACACCGGCGGAAGGTTAAGGTCATCTGCGACAGCTGTGGAAAGGGGTTTGCGCGCCCATATACGAAGAAGTACTATGTCTGCCCGGCCGAAAGAAGAATTCCGAGTCAAGTTTTCAACCCCCCCAATTTGACTGCCTTTATTTTGACTTTGGGCGATAATAGTCTCTATCAAACGTGCCATTTAAATGTTTATTCTTGTCTTGAAATACTATCGTGGGACACAAACTGCGTAGTAAACGCAGTATACAGAACAAGCTTCAAAGCCAGATAGGGTACATGAAGGCAGGCACAACGCATCTAGGTGCGCTTCCACCTACCGACCAAGCGCGATATCCAACTATGACTGGTGAAATTGGACGCATTTCGATATGGATGGCAAACGCTCGTATTGACACACTGATGGTAGCAATTGCGGGTACAACTTGCAGGATGGTGGTTATTTGTGGCAAGAGCGTGCGCTTGATGCAAAGTTGAACGCGAATGATGGGCGAGAACTGCATGAACTGGGCAATATGAAGATCTTGAAGTTAGCTTATAGTGTGGCGATAACGTGCGCACAGGAGAAACGTCACGGTGTCTCTGGACGAAAAAAATCTGGTTAGCAGGGAAAGAAAGGTGCAGTGGGGATGTGGGATGCCGACAGAGGAAAAGTGATCACCATAATGATGTCTATCTGTCGAATTCGGAGTTGATATGGACGACAAACGGTGAGTGAATCGAATGATGCAAATGCAAAGTTACATGGAGTGGAAATCAGAACGGCCACCCTCAGACCATTCGAAACAGCACACGCCTACGCGGGCACAACAGTTGACCAGCCAAACGCAGGCCGGTGGAAGGACAGTAATTCAGGAGATCTCATTATTATCTGGGATGTACAGACAGGCGAGCTGCCCGCCACTCTCAAAGGACGCTGGAATGAAGTGTGCCCGACGGTGCACCGATTTCGTGTGGGAGGTTATATATCTGCCAAGCGGACAGCGGGTGATGAATTCTGGACAGTGGGGAACGGACAAGAGAGGGCTGACGGGGTGAATGGATTGAACGATGCAATTGCAAGGGCGCGCAAAGTGTAAATTGGAAAGACCATTCGAGACAGGACGAACTTATGCGGTTGACTCGCTAAACGCAGAACAAGTCGTGGTGGAAGGACGGTGATTCAGAGAAGCCAAATGCATGCGAATTAGAAGTTAAAACGTGGCGGCCCGAGCTGAGCGGCTCGAGCTGTGCTGCTGTATACTTGCTAGGTTCCGATCAAGTCACGATTGCCAAATATAATAGACTTGTTCCGCCGGCATGTCCATTTTGGTGACTGCGCCAACTTTGTGCAAACAACGCGCCTTCAAGTTGTTGTATACTTAGTACTGCATCAATGTTAACTTTGAGCTGGTCTCACTCTAATCCTGGCTCGACAACGAATATCAAAATCAAAGCGGTGGAATTTGGGGACCCATAGGTCAAAAACGATCTAGGAAATTTTACGTCTGACCCGACAAATATGGCCCTGCTTCATATACAGCCGCGCGAAACCTTTTCCACAGCTGGAGCAAGCAGCCTTAACCCTCTGTCTGTGTTTTTCATTCACATGGCGAGCGATGTTAGCCTTCATGACAACACTCGAGCATCCGCACCAGGTGCACTTTATTTTGTGTTGGCTGACCTGCGCAACAGGGAGAGGCAGTTGTTGATTGCATCCGGCTGAAGAGCCAGACATGGTCTGCCCCTCAAAGTACGTGCCATGTTGAGGTATGAAGTCTTGTACCAATGACTCATCGTTGGCGGAACTAGAGGTGCCGCAGAGCGGTAGGCCTACTAACACACGGTAAGCGTGATGAGGAGACTGAGAACATCGAGAACTTACTCTGGGAAAGTTGACAGATGAGAGGATCTGCACCCTCCTGCAGGCTACGAGCGTCCCCGACAGATTGTGAAGGACTGTACTCTAGATCCGAAAGGCGGCCATGGAATGCTGGAGGCTCTGCCAAGAGGGAGAGCAGTGGTGAAATAACATTGGGTTCATGGAGCGCAACTGGCGTGATGGTCTGAGGCTCATCATCGACGATTGATTGAATATCAATGCTGTTATCCCATGCGCCCGAATCCCCTGCAGAAATTTCTAGCTGACACCAGCCAAGAATCTCCGTAATGCGGGTGCGGACCTCCAGGATCTCCCTGTAACTGCCGATCATATGTTCATTGTGTCGGTCAAGGCACTCTAGACATGATTGTAGCGTCGATCTCATTGATTCTTGATCAGGGGCCCGCCTTAACTGCGACAACGACAACGAAGACGGGGGCTTTGTTGGCGCTGACCTGGGTAAATGTATGGTAAGCTCATGTTTTCATCCCGAATTCACGAACTGCAGATTTACTTTTTTGAATGGATGCTCATTCTGAACTCTGAATCTGATGGCAGAGAAGTTGTGTGAGGGTGAGATGCTTGTTTGCCTTGGCGACGTTCCTGCGTTTATATTCACGTTTGAGGTTCTTGAACGATGTCGCCTGCAAACTAGATCTGGATTCGCAGCTCATGCTCGTGGCAGGTTTAGTGAGTCAACGTGCTCTTGGACGGTATATGCCCCGCATCCTTTAACGATTTGTGAGTCCGAGCGGTGGAAGACTCGTGTTTCCAGCTCTTTTACGAGAGCAAGCCTGCACTAGCCGACGCCGTGGCAGGTGACCGATCATAAGCACCGAGTCTAGCCCCTTCGTTCTCTTCCATTGAATGCGTCCTTTAGAGCCAATGATCCATCACCGTATGACTTGGCTCAATGGCAGCGAGTACCAACGCCTTCGATCAAGCAATCACATTATATTCCACTGGTACCAGACCCATTGCTTACGTCCTTATCGCAACCCTACCCTTGCTCCCTTGCCGCTTCAATAACTTATATGGGCGTTCCATCCTGTTTTACACGCCAACAATTCGATCCGTTTGGTTTGTAAGATGTGCCTTGAATGAAACGTGATTCAAATTCCCCGCCCTCGCACGAAACATGTATCCAATTTCCCGTTGAGATTATCGCTAGGACTTCCCTTATGCTCGCCTATGATCACTTGATCATCCTACCTCGTAACAGCGATTACAAGGGCATTCAAGTTCTGATTTATGTTTACGGGAACTCGTGTCCCTATTTGGACACATGTACGTTGATTGAAACCGGTACAGTGATCAACTGGCAATCTGGATGAGGGGTCACGGCCCCGTGATTACTCTCAAGAAGTTGATTTGCCAAACTCGTGGCACGCTTTCGTTTCACTCATTAGCAGACAACGAATTGAACGCATGTAAGCTTGCCGGCACAGTCAGGGTAAAGTTGACGGTTGCACCTTGAAATGTGGTAAACAATTCCCAATTCCCCGGGTTGGGCTTTAATGTGCAGGAAACTTTCCACTATCGATGACAAAAAAGATAGGGATCTTTAGATGTCATTTTTGAGTTTGACGATGACCAGTGATCGCCGCGAATGTCACAGCATAGCCGCTGGCCCCAAAATACCTTGCACAGATCCACCAGTCCCTGTAGCTATGATGCATCAAGTCTGCTAACTACCAGTCAGAGGTGATGCATCAACTATGCTAATTAGCCTTCTTGTGATGCATTAAAACATGCTAGTTAGCAGTCCTATAGTATATATAGCTCGGTCAATTACTTTGCAGCTCGGTCATTTGTATTTCGGTCAATTTTCCAGTCGAGTCTTCGGCAACTTAATTCACTTCGAATGTCAAATAACAGCCGGTGATGGATTGAATATCAGGTACACTACTAGCTAGGAACATCGATCAGGTACAGCGCAGAAGTAGGTTAGAGAATGTCGGGAATCATGAGGTCTGGTAACGAATGTTCGGCCAACTGAGGTGGCGGGTCAATGGGACCTTCCAGCGAAAGAAAGGGTGCCCACAGCACCCGAAAATGGTCTGCAAGCCTGCGACGGATGTTAGCCTGTCGGGCAGCATAAGCTCGCAAACCTTCAATGTCAGCGGCACACTCCCCAACGCATGCCTTTCCCTGTTCTTCCCACCGCGTTTGCTGCCAGGTAAAAAATTCCAGCACCCTGCGCATCTCTTCCGTGAGTAATTCGACCTCTTCCGACCACCGCAGTGCCCTCGCACGGGTTTTGCACCACTCAATTCGTACACCTTATAGTATGTTAGTTCGCAAAATATAGACCACGACGAGTGCTTACCATCGTTGTCACCTTCATTGCCATGGTCAACGCCATCCATCATCCAGATCCACGATACATGACGTCTCCCTTCGCCAGTAGCATATGGGTCCACGAGGGGCTTGACATGAGTGTCGGCCAATTCCTGCAACCTGCCCTGCCAACTGGTCTTCTTCATGATTGTAGCTAGGCTCTTGAGCGCCATCCATGCTGACCGATAACATTTCACGCAGGCCGTACGCCTTCGGTGGATGCAGGCAAGGGCATTCTGAGCACGGGTATTTGCGCCTTGACCACGCACCCATTCCCTTTTGAGTGTCAGTAAGGAGCAGTGAATGCGTAGACACTGCCGCAATTCTTCTAGCGCATCGTGAGCCTGCGCGTAGCGCAATTCCCATTCGTCCTCTTGTAGGCGTGGATCGCACGGCTTGGTTTTCAGTTCTGAAGGTAACCAGAGGTGTATACATTCGGCGTTCTCGTGGCCTTCACGCGTGGCTGCCTGATCAATAAGGCCTTGAACGGCCGGGAGGTAAAGGACCTGTGTGCGTCGCCACATATCGATCCTACGATGAAGCGAGTTCCGCATCTGCGTGAGACTGCCTTTCTGCGTGTCGGTAGCATGTTGACCCATCGACTCGGCGATATTGGCCAGACAATGCCTTCGAAAGTATGTCAGCTTGTTTGTGGCCGTCAAAGGGCAAATGCTCACTGTTCCTACTCCAGGTCTATGCCTGAAGCAATAAGCACACTAGGTGAGATTTGTGGGTGCAACGAGCAGTCTATACCTCGCTGAAGGTCCTCGGCCTCCAGCTCCGCGAGCTTTAGCCTTACTCCTGCTTGCGTTATAGCTAGACAAAATCATTAGTCCAAGGTCACTTTGGTGGCGGAAAATACTCACCCATGGCTTTGGCCTCGAGCGGATTAGAGATCGATGTGTCATTCGGATTATCTTCCCAAGCTTGCATTTCTTCTAACCATGCAGAACGATGCTCGGGAGTGATGACAGCGTCAAATTCCTCAAATGCGAGTGCATGCGCAGCCTTCTCAGCTAGAGCATCCTTCATCTTGTACAGGAGAGACGCGCCCAACCCGACGGTCTTTTTCCAATTCCAATCGCCAAAATGGTCGTCCAGCGTGTCACGACGACAACCAGGACCCATCGCTTTCGTACTTGATGCCACAGGGTTGATATTCGACCAGCCCCTCTCCGGGGCTTCACCATCCGTCCGGCCGACATAACGCATGAAATTGAACAAGAAGACGGTCTGACATTTTGCAACATGTGCGGGGAGGTGGAACTTTGGCACGAAGAAGCGTATATACTTGGTGAGATGGTCCAAGGCATGGGATCGAGGAAAGGACTTCATGCGGGCCCAGAGGTTTTTGTGCCATTGGCACGCAATATCGTACGACACGTTGAGCATTTCGAGCTGCATAGCAGCAAGCCCTTGTGCCTGCTTTGTATCTGCCATGTTGACAGCGCTGTGGCTCGAACATGTACTTTTCTGTAAGATAGTGTGAGTACACGTCAATTGATTAAACCAAACGGTCACATACCTCCTGCGCCTCAGTGAGATGTTCGGCCAGGAAGGCCTTGTACTCTTTCTCCTCGACAAAATATGACCAGCCACTCGAAAGACTTGGGTCTGCGTGATCGCTCGATACGTTCCGCCTTTTCAATCGAAAGTTTGCGTCAATAGCTAAAAATACTGCATACAACCACCTAAAGACATCAGCCTAGTGAATCAATATCTGTGGTACAACACACCATTTTGCTTTCGAAGCATTTTGCCAACCCTCAGGTAAATTCTTCCCTGGCTGCGAGCATGCTGGACATAGCACCGCGCTGTCATGCATGGTATGCAGTTCATACCATGACATGTGTGCTATACAAAAGATAAGGAAGGTATAATGAACTGTACTCTACCATATCACCAAGTGATTCTATCATTTTCCATTGATTCATCAGTCTGTTTTCTGAAGCCTCGTTTCTCGTGTTTCATTTCTCGTATCATACACGGGGATTTCTATGTATTTCTATTTTGTTCTATGACCTTCCATTTCTTTCTATTTTTCTTGGCTTATTCATCAGACTTTCTCACTAGCTGACTGATCATGTTTTTAATCAGGTCATGTGACTGGGAAATAAGGTGATTTGTAAGGATTCAGCCTGACTCATCATGTTTTGTCATTGATTCGTCATGGTTTGTAAGACTTGCAACTGTATTTATAATCTTCTTAGTAACCAGGATGACTCAGCTCACCAAAAGGCTTGGTTTGTAAGCACAATCTTACCAATCCATGAGATGACTCATACCTTTGATTTATCATGCTTTGTAAGATAGCACTGTGTTTATAATGTATTTAGTAAACAAGCTGACTCAGCACACCAAATGGTATGGTTTGTAAGCACATTCTTACCAATCCATGTGATGAATCATGCTTAGTAATCTGGCCTCCAAAAAGGTATAAAAGGAGCCCATTTTACACCCTGTGAATATAGCTTCCCACTTTACACATAAGTGCAGGCCATTGGTGCCTAGAAGACATTGAAACTTCCCACTTTAAACCTATCCCACTATTTGAGAGTGATATTAAGGCAAGACATAGTCAAAGTGCCGGTGAAGTACGATTTAAGTTAAACTTCCACTCTAAACCTATCCCACTATTTGAGAGTGAGATTAAGGCAAGACATAGTGAGGGTGCAAGTATCATTTCAACAAAGTAACTTCCAGTTATACGATTAACTAGGTTGCTCGCTATTACTATTTTATTGAGCTAAGCTCCACGTATACTTAACGAATACCTCTCTCTTTTACGGTTAGAGAGACACGAAACAGGAGAACACGACAAAGTTGAAACAGACTTTCATAGGTTGAAACACGACCTACTAGGGTGAAACATACCTATCATATTTGTATCCACGACAAATCCACAGTTGCATTTCTATATAGTTTCTTCAAACAAATAGAGGTAACTTGTTTACTCTTTGACCACCCACGAACGACACGTTATCAACCGAGAAGTAACAAAAATCCGTTGACCGTGGACTTGAGGAGCTGGCAACTTTTAGTCTTATGAAAGTGTAGTTGTGATTGTCACTGCATTTTTACACGCTTCTATATAAGACCCTCAAGTAACAAGACAGCGCATTCGCCCTGCGATGTACCATCTACGCCACTGGGATCGTGGCCACGTCCGAAATGTTTCAACATTGTGAGATGCCGCCACTTATGCACCATCCACATGAATCCTTCATAGCGGTCCTAAGGTAGACAGTAAGAGACTGAAGGAACAAATGTAGATATTAGCGTACCGGCATGCGTTTCATCATCCCTGTATTATCCGTGAGTCGAACAAGAGAATGGTAGAATTCATAGGCTGATGCCTTCGACTCGAAGGATAAGATTTGGTAGTAATGCAGAAGTCGAAATGTTGCCACTGTCCTAGGTTTAGTTGGCGTGGAAGGGAACCATCCGTGACGAAGGAGTTGTTTAACATGTGTCTCGGATGTCTCGCAACCACAAAAGTCCAGTCCTAGTTCGTGTATTCCGTTCGTGTCTATAAGCACAAAGTCGTCGTTAAACGCCGGCTGCGGGAGGATGCATGATTGACCGATGGGATGCCCGAGTTGCACTCGAAGGCCTAGCGTCTTCAAGGAAGAGCTCTCGAAGAATATACCATTCCATTGCTGCAAAACAATCAATATATTTCATGTTTCTCATAAGAGATCACATACCTGTATGCGATGGGTTGGAGACCGGGCATGATTTGCCAGTGAGCATGTACCACAGTACAGTTGCATGTCATCGCAATCCTGACATCGGAATTCTGCAGGATTGGCGCAACAGCCTGCACACGAGTCCCTTGCATTTTCACCGCGTCCGTCCAACCGAATAATCTCCGAGAGATATGTATCATGTTCGTCTTTCCAAACAAGCAGAGGATTGTCCTGACGAAGACAGTGAGTAAGGAATGATGTGACAGAAATAAAATAACTCACACCAGCTGGGCGCTTGCTTTTCTGACTTTGAGTCATTGTCCTGTCTTCGCCAGCATCCATTGAAGGTTCATCAAACATCGCAAAATCAAACTCGGTGCTTCCATCCTCAGGCCCTGCAAATTTGGAAGACTGGTGTGTGGAAGAAGGTGACGGGCGACAAATCAGATGGGCAGCAGACACCTGCATATTCCCATCTCGACGTCCTGAAAACCTGAAGGTGGTATGGACCGTCTCTTGCAACTGTGAGGTAGGCGGTACATAGTGATTGAGCTTGGGTCGTTTTCGATTGTTGACTTGTCGAAAAGTGAAATGTGAAGGGGCACATTGGATAGTTTGATGACTGGTTGGGGCGACACGCTCGGTGACACCATCAATTCGGGTGGAGCCTGCATTTGAAGAATTTCTAGCAGGTAACATCGCTCAGGCAATGGGCTCAGGCAATGGGCTTGTGCATGAGAAGGTGTGACACAATGTGACAGGTTAGCGTGACAGAAGCTTGCAACTCATCGAAGTCGAACTCATCGAACTACTCACTTACTCACTGCCAGTGCAATGCAAAAACTACGACTGCAGCGGCCAAGGCTACTGCATCACCCAATATGGATGGCTTTCCCTGTACAAAAAGCCCGAGGTCAGTTCCCTTTTCAACATCAATTCTCCTCCCATACTTACTACACCCAATGATGATCTCCCCCAGCACGATAATAGCTGCTGTGCCTGCGGCGCTCGTCGTTGATGGTAATGATGGTAATGGCACTGGTAAGCAGCGATATCTCCGAGCGCGCTCTGGTACTTACTAGCAGGATAGATGACCTGCCTGCGGCGCCCATCGCTGACGATACTGGTGACAATGGCACTGGTAAGCAACGATATTCCTAAGCACGCTCTGCTTCTTACTAATGTTCCACAGATAGTCTCATTGCGCTGTTGGCCCAGATGAATATCACTGGGCAGGAGGTGTCTGATGTGACGTCCAAGATCCATGATGCGGTCCAGAACGTGCTGGTCGCCGCCATTTCTGCTATCAGTGCTGTTTCGACCACTTCGGCATCAACTCCACTCGTCCCAGCGTTGACTCCTTCGACCACTTCGACATCAGCTCCACTCATCCCAGCGTTGCCAGCGTTGACTCCTGTTGTGAACTATGATGTGCCAGCGGCTGACGCTACGGGTCCCTTCTACTGGGTGACCCGTGGCCGCCGTATTGGTGTATTCTCTACTTGGTAAGTGATTCGTGTTATTTAGATTAACGGCAGCTGATTTGTGATCCGCCAACAGGCAGCAGACCTCGTCCCATGTCATTGGCGTGAGCAGGGCGTCTTTTTCGAAGGTCCGCTCAGTTGCCGAAGGAATTCAGCTGATGAAAGAGGCCATTGGCCGCGGCGAAACGGAGGTGTTGACGTAACGTATACCTGAAGCTTTTACATAGTAGCACAGCGTGAATCTCAATAAGAAATATGCAATTCAAAGTGACATTAGTGCGCAAGCCTCACGAGCCTATTCAAAATTTGTTGTAGTTCTGGTACAAGAATCCCTTGAGTAAATGAACTACGGCTAACTCAGCATCTCCATCGCTGAGCGCATGACAATAAATATCTTCCACCATAGCAATGGTGTCCCTCATGCTCCTGCACACTTGTTCTGCGGCACGCCACTCGTCACAAACCCCACACAATTGGAGGATACCGTCTTGTCCTCGACTAGCCCTGTCAAGGAAGTCTTCGATGCTCGACATCGCGCGCTTGAGAATCTCTCTATCCCCGTGAGTTCCGGGAGCATCTGGGATAGACTTTGTGTATTCGGCAAGGACGCCCAAGGTGAATATTTGCGGAGATTTGATGTGCGCCATGAAGTCGTCTTTAGCATACTTCACCACAGCAATACATTCATCTAATGTCCCTCTGATATTTATATTAAAAACACAGCGACAATAATAATATTCAGCACGTACATTGATTCATCGTCATCGCTCGCACACTCATCACTGCCATCGTTGCCCTTATCCAAGTTGTCACCCGCACCCTTGTTGTCGCTGCTGTCATCGTCCTTTCGACGGTTTTTGTTGAGGTGGTATTTCTCTCTTCTTTTTGCAAGGATCTCCTCACGGCACCTGCATCTGTAATCAGGGCATCATAGGCTGAACGAAATAGACGATACTTACTTAGCGTAGTACCGGGAACGCTTGGCTCTCATAGCCTGAAGCTTAGCCACATCGGTTTTATATTTAGTTGGGGGGGCCATAGCGAGCAACGGTGTCATTTGCGGTGTCGTTTTGTGTGGTGGAGAGAAAAAAGAGGATGAGCTTCGGATGCTTCGATTTGTGGTTGGACTGTATTGAGTTAAGAGCCTCCATTGGTTCGTCGGACCGTATAGATTACGAGCCTCCGTTCAAATGTCGATGGCCCATGCATGTGCTGAGAACACGCTGTAGATAAAAGGAACTGTAAGTGCAGTGCATGGCATGGATGATAATCAGCACATCTACTCATTGTGAGACAATGTGCACACACCTGCTAAAGCATCACTGCCAGTGCAGCGCAAGTGGAGCGTTATCGGATGGACCTTAATCCGCAATTCCATATTGAAGTTTCAAGTGGAGTGAACTGACCTTGCCGAGTCGTTATTCAGTGACTTACTATTGTGATACGAGTAGTCGTTAATCATCACCGGAGTAGGTTGGACATGTAGGTCGGACCTTAATAGCTTTACCTGTAAAGTAGTACTACTGAATCCTGATCTAATCATGGTAGGACCGCAATGAGTTTCAAGTTAAGTTGTCCGGTTCAGAATGAACTATGCTCACTCACAATTTGATGCTGAACATGCAGCAGACATGACTGAGCTACTAGGACACATCATACCTCAACCGATTTCTTGGGCGATGATACGTCTGGAGGAGATATCACTGCATACTAGTAGCATGGTAGGACCATATTGACTGCAATTCAATGTACCGATCGCTAACTTTAACTCCTCACATAAGCAAGCGCTCTCACAAGCCGACTCATCCGTAAGTGAATGATATTGTTCAAATGTTCAAAAATGGCGCTCACAGAATATTTACAGGTAAATATCATACGGACTAACTACTGGTATGCACCGACACTCACTAGGTTGAAGCACTGTTACCTTCCGGTCCAGGCCCTGCTTTGATGATCAAGTGCTTCCGAGTCTGCTTCGGTGGCGCTTCCTACAGCGTCTATGTAGGTCTATGTCCCTCAGGTCCGCCTTGTGGCTATTTGTTGCTATGGGTTGGGCTGATCTTTTTCAGAACATTACATGTGAAGGTACGGACCGTGCATTTTTTCACCCAGGAGTTTTATATATTTCACGACGAGACACAGATCAAAGCCTTTATTTTTACAAACACTATGTACAGAGAGATTGTAGATATCAAGGTTGAAAATATCATTGTACTAAATAGCATCGTTTTGTGGGTCTGCCGGAGATGGTAATGTGGATGTCGCATCTGAGAAACGAGGATCCTCTGAATTAAATTAGATTCAAAACGTCAAAAAAGAGTGACTGGTAGTGAAGGCGGTGATTCGGTCTAGCGATTCGGTCCTGCGATTCGGTCCATCGAAAATGGGCTCTATGATATTCAAAGGACGAAGACGAAGAAAAACATCCCTCCTCCCTCCCTAACTCACTATGTACTGACCCTCAGGTCTGACCGCTGTATGTGCCAGGATGCTGCCCTCTGCTCCTACTGATCTCAGTAATAGATGCCTCAAAAATGGATGAGCAACGAGCAAGAGGAATTTCTCACCTCTATGTTGGAAGAATTTCGCACGCGCGCCGCAGGCAAGAAATACGAGGAGTTCTGGAAAAAAGTCAACAAATCATTTTTTGAGAAATGGCCAGAGCGAAGGGCCCTCTTTGGTGACTTGCCTGCTGACCACGTCCTTACGCCAGATCAAGTAAAAGATTTGGCAAACACTGTGGAAAGTCGTGAACAGGTAAGCACTACCATCTGCGAGCATGCGAAACACACGTACCAACTCATTTTGATTAGCAAATAACTACATGGTACCGTTGGCGGAAAAACCCTGCTTGCCTGGGCCGCACGAGTGGTGTTAAAGGAGCTTTGAAGTTCGACACTGTGTTAGCTGGTGGTGTGGAACTTAAGGGGACCCGCGCACCGCAAAAACTGGACATTTACTCCTACAAATACTATGAAGAAAAAGTCAAGGACACCGCAGATGCCGAAATCAGAGTACAGAATGTTACTCACCGCGGGCCAAAGCTGAATAAGCGCTGTGAGGTCACGCGCCGTTTGTACTCTGAAGAATGCGAGGACATCAAGAATAAGGTTGAAAGGCGTTACCAGAAGGCAAAGGCAAAGCATGCAAAAGCACGTTTACGCCAGAAGTCGGGGAAGATGCAAAAAATTGACGACGCAACCAAGATTAAGTACGTACTTCTGTCGTTGATTACATGGTCGTATCTGAAGCGCATTTAAAAACTGCAGGGCCATCCGTGAGGCTCGGTCCTATGCTTGATCGGATCCTTAAATACCTTGCACATGCCACGGGTGGGTGGAAGTTCACGATCCTTATGGGAGGGAAGGATCCTAGCACTGGAGAGGTGTCTGTGTTCAAGTGAGTGATGCGTGATAGTTGATGAGGAAGTGCGCTTACCTAATATTATGAAGCTATCATGTTGGCGAACTTGAGAGTGGGGCACAATTTGATCAGACTTACGCCAAATTTGATGTGGTGCAGGCTGCATTCCTAGCCTTCGTCAAAGACGCTCTCGGTACGTCCATATAAGTGTCAGTTCGAAAGCATGCACTGACCTTTTCACTAGCATTTGAGTCGACACTGCCCCAAGACTCAGATGCTGAGGATGCAGAAGATTCATCATCAGACTCGCATGAATGGTTCAGATGAGGAGTGGGCGACAACGAGCGGCAGTGAGCATAGTGAGGAGGGGGCGACAACGAGTGGCAGTGAGCATGGTGATCGTCGTGTGGAAGAAGAGGACTTGGATGATCTCCTACCAAACAGCGCCCATCGAATCAACACTGCGGGCATGTACAGTCTGAGTGATCCATCGACGATTTTGGCGCCGCCATAGCATCAACTGATGCATTACTTCCATGTGCGCAAATCTTGGGTGATGCATCATCTGGTTCTCAGCTCCCGAGTGATTCCCACTTGGCTTCGTTCAACAACCCTCCCAACCTACCCGTGTTTGACCACGAAGTGTTTACTGCTCTCATCAATGACCCAGATTTCAACATCAGCATTCTGGAAGCTCTCCCCAAAGCCCCCCCCCCCCCTTCAATCCAACCCATATCCTGAAGTCTTTATCCCTCCAGCTCCTCACACTGATGACATATCATCTACACAATATCCTGAAGTCTTTATCCCTCCGGCTCCTCGCGCTGATGATACATCATCTAACCAATATTCCCAAGTCATTATCCCTCCGGCTCCTCACGCCCATGATGCATCATCTACTCGATATCCTGAAGTTGTTATCCCTCCGGCTCCTCCCGCTGATGATGCATCATCTGCCCAATATTCGCAAGTCGTTATCCCTCTGGCTCCTGATACATCATCTGCCCAATATTCGCAAGTCATTATCCCTCCGGCTCCTCCCGCTGATGATGCATCATCTGCCCAATATTCTCAAGTCGTAATCCCTCCGGCTCCTCGTGCCGATGTTGAAAATATGGGAACACCCAATGAATCTGATGGTGCTGGCGCTGCACCAACTTCATCAGTCCAAGCTGGAGCTGAGCGTCGTCGTGGAAGGCGCACACAACAACGTTCACAACTGACCGTGCCCACTTCCTCGGCAGATGAAATCCAACCACTCCCAGATGGGCATCGCCAAGTGCGCAAACCCTTCAATGCAAGAGAACATGACAACGATATTGGCGGGCCAATGAAGTAAGTCGGTCTTTTATGTGCTTCAAGTTGCATCGCACTGATGACTACATCCTAGGCGCGCTCGGCATACATAATCAGTAAAATAGTGTCTCATCTACATATCTTGTTGCAAGTATCCATGTCAGTAATAGTGATTAAATTGAATGTTTCTTGTTGTACAATGAACAAGAACGAAATGTAAATATGCGCTATCATATTGTTCAGAATTTGTTCTGCATGCCCGGTGCAAGCAGACGTACAGGAAGACGCTCAGTTCGAAGTTCATACATTCAAGGCGCAGCGGTGTTTCAGTTCTGCGGGATAAATTCATCCTTACATACATATTTTAGAAAGGGAGCTGGACTTGTGATAAAATTTTGAAAAATGACGTCATGGACGTATTTGACTTGAGCGCAAGCTTCAGTGAAGACTGTGGAAAGGTAAGAGGTCTCCCAAAAACGAGTTAGATAGCCGGATGGCCAGACGGATGCCTGGATCTAGTGTAGGTAAGCAAGGTACAGCATAGGTAAGCAAGGTACAGACAACGGAAGCAAGGTACAGACAACGGAAGCAAGGTACCGGGTATAATGCCAGCGAACGGATGCTGGGTGCAGCCCAATTTGGTGCGGGATGGTGATGCATCACATTCCCAATAGGGTTGAGGTTGATGCATTGGGATCCACCATGATCCACCACTGCTCACTATCATAGTTGATGCATCATCAAAATCTGCTAGTTAGCCTGTTTTGATGCATCATTATGACAGTATAGCCTGGCAGATCAGAATAGGAGGCCCAAAATATATGCCATTGACAGACCCGGTGCAAAAATCAATTCTAGTCCAGATGAGCCAGGCGTATCTTCGGTGGCAGAAATTCCGAAAAGCTCTAGTGCAGGCCATCGCAGTATGGAAAGCTGTGTACTTGTAGTATGCATACACATTCACCTGTGTGAGATCCGCATGTCACTTCGTTGAGGCAAGAAAGACAGTCATCATCTCATGATGCTTACCGAGACATGCACTCAAAGATCTGTTGTGCATTCACGGAGAAACGACATGTAGGTAATCCCGCACGGGGGAAGAATTGTTATCGTACTGGCAGTCACCTGCGATGTTTTCCACTTGTGAAACATATCCATCAACCTCCGTAAAAGTTGTTGCATCGTGGTGTGCGGGAGGCAGAATCGATCTAATAAAACATCCAGATGAAAAAAGTGAGATCCAAACTCAAATCAGGCCAAGGGAGAGCATCTACATGCAAGAAGCAGACCAGAAGATGGGCCGTGAAGTTTTCTTTTCCCATTCACTTTGGACCAATCACCTAGCGATATTCCATTCGAATTCTCGGCTCTCGAATAGGACTGCCCTTTACTAGTAATGCGTGTTTTTGATGGCGGTACTCGGCTGCCAGCCAAACTCCCGGTATTATTCCAGGTAACGCTCCACTCCGTACACGTTGGGACTCCGCGCAGTCTCTCAATGACCTCCTGAGTAATTCTTCCTTCGGTCATTAAACGGGTGACTCATCTTTGACTCAATAGCTTCCCTGGGGAAGCCATCAGTATGTAGCGACTGAACCTCCCCTCCCCTCACCACTAGGGCCTCACTACCCTTTTTTTTTGTTGCTCACTGATTCACAACCATGTTTCTGTGCCAACGCTAACGTCACCTCCGCATGAACGGCACTTTGGATCGACGATCACGCTGCCTCTACACTTTCGGTGAATTTCGAGTCCTAAAATACATGAAACATAACATCCGAAACGAGGAAACCAGGCCAATACTTACGATAGCGCATAGGACCGCTCACCGTCGAGAGCGGCGACAACGTTTTCTATGTATCATTTGAGATATCGTGAAGGTGCATCTAGATCGAACGTGTTCGCTGATGAAGTTCGGGAGAGGAGGAAAATACCGAATCTAGCGCCAGCGCTGACGAGATTGACTCGGATGTAGGTCATGGGAGTTTGCCCACAAGTTACGGATCGTTATCATGCAGACAAACAGGCAAACCAGCGCACCATGACAGCGGTAACATGCTTTGGTCGTCGCCCAAGAAACGCTCGCCCGTAATACATCGATACTGGAAGTGTGAAGACATTGGCGCCCGTGATTGTTGAATGTTCTAGGCTTTTAAATCTCGTGGCGAAGCAGGGTGCATGTCATAATAATGGATGATGAAAGATGAGTCAAGTGGAGCTGATATCGGGTTTCAGGGTTGTTTGTGGTTTGCAAAGGCGAGCAGTACCCAGACGTACCAGGGAAGAAACGACCTGCCTTCCAATAGTCTCAGTCAAGGAAGTGCAACTTCTGAATATAGATACCGCCGGCATGTTGTGACGTCTACCGTTTAGCGTGTGAAGGCTCGAGGTAGGCGGCACAATAGAAGAACGTTCCCACAGATAGACGGTGTTAAAGTCTGGTATTTCTGGGTACAAGAACGCTACCCTAAGTCTATGACAGTAGCCCGTATTTAAGTGTATGAGATGACAAGCTAATCTACTGCTCGGAGAATGTAGGAATGTAAGGTACAGTAGATAGGGAACAAGACATAGGGAGCGAAGGATAAAACATAACGCGAATGATTCAGAATAATTGCTAGGCAGGGGAGTGTCAAAAGTAAGGGGCGTTTCTAATTGAGGCAAGACAGCAACCGTTACATCTCCCCCTCCAGAGAGAGGTCACTCTCTCGTCTAAAGAGTAGAAAGGTGCGTCACCCCACCGTGTTCATTTCTTCTTCGTCAGGGGGCGGCGCGCTACCAGAAGCGCTGGCCCCTCCCGGGAAGATGACGCCCTGCGCGGTCTTCCTGTTGTTCCCAAACCCCTTCTTGAACATCTTCACCTGCTGCTTCTTGAAGTAGTTCTTCCCCTTCTTATTCATCATGCGGCGCTCCTCAATCTTGTCACGCTGGTGAGCGGCAGAGAGGGCAGTGTGCCACACCATACGATCGACTTGGTCCATGCGTGTTGCGGATAGGGTGACATCTTCGTCCTCCTCGTCCATGAGGTCGCCAACCTCGATGGACGCGCCCTCGCTCTTGACGATACCTTGGTCATCAAGGTAGGAGGCGGTAGTAGCAAGTCCCTCATGGTTGTAGGCGACGGCGAAGTACTCATACCCTAACGGGCAGATAGGTCGAGCCGATGCGGCCTTGTTACGAAGGGCGAAGGAATAGTGGATGAAGGACTTCAACTGGTCACGAGTGACGGAACGCGTCTCGTCGACGTTGTTGGGGTTGGTAATGATGAAGTCGCGGCCGTGTTCGACGAAATTGACGAGGGGTGCGGAGTGCATGGTTGTAAGGGGATTGATGGAGTTGGGAGATGGGGTAGTGGAAGGAACGGACTGGGCTTTTAAGCCGACGCCAACCCCAATTGAGACCGCACTCAAGGATATTGGCTGGTCGTCATCGGGGTGCGTTCCTTGTCCCTCTGTCAGATCAGAGATAGCTGATATACCAAGCAGTTCGAAATATTCCGATAAGGCGTTCAGGTGCGTCACCTGGTCATATGGTAACCAGGTGATGTCGCCAGCCCTCCACTGCACCTCGAACGACGCGTTCTCGCGGGCACCCGTGTGTGACAGGATACGATCGACTGCCCACTCCGTGTCGGGTTCCCCGAAATCCGCGACTTGAGTCTCCAAACGGCCGGGAAACAGGCGGTCGTCGTTTGGTAGGTGAATTCGTAGTAAGGAAGAGTGGAATACAGGGTGGACCCCCCGTTGCTTCAACCGATCGGGCAGTTCCACGAGGAAGGAGTTGTTCCCGTAGTCCTTAGTTAGCTTGTAAGGTCCTACGTACTTGGGGAGGAGCTTCCGGGCCAACCCCTTAGGGAATGATATGTTCTTCGTGGAGACGTACGCCAGGTCGCCCGCCTTGAAAGGGCAGAGTTGGCGTTTACGGTTGGCGTTCCGTGTCTGCTTGACACGGGCTTCCAGCATTGAGTCATGAGCCCGGATGAGCGACTCCTTCATCTTCTGGGCGTACGCACGCACGCCAGGGTACTCATCCTGTCGGGGGTCGTTCCACACCATAGTGCGAGGCATTCTCCCGTTGTTGGCGAAGAATGGTGATAAGGCGGTGGATTCGGACTGAGCTAAGTTGATCGCGAACTCGATGGCCGGTAAGCGAGCTGCCCAGTCCTTCTGGTGAGTGGAGATGCATGATCTCAGCATCTGGGTGACGGTACGGTTAGCCCGCTCAGTCGCACCGTCAGATTCGGGGTGGTAGGCGCTGGACATACGCTGCTCGATACCTAGAAGGCGGTTAAGGTGCGTCCAGAACGTACTGGTAAAAAGGACATCTCGATCGCTTACAATCGACCTAGGTAACCCGTGTAACTTGTACACCTCAGCGAACACGAGTTCGGCTATGTCCCGAGCGTTATAGTTAACGCGGCTAGGGACAAGGTGAACCATTGACGTAAATCGGTCAATTATAACCGTGATTGAATCGTACTCACCGTCCCGGTCCTTTGACAGGGGAAGTGGACCCACAAAGTCCATGCCTATGGATTCCCAGGGCCTAGAAGGTATAGTAAGCGGGTGTAACATTCCGTATGGCTTCTGATTCGAAGGTTTGCTCCTTTTGCACGTGTTACACGTGTTGCAGTACATTGTGACGTCACTAACTAAACTCTTCCACCAGACGTGGTCTCTAAGATACGTCAACGTCTTAGAAGCTCCCAGGTGAGCTAGTATTGAATGCGCTTGTGAGATAATTATCTCCCTTACAGCGCGACCACTAATCTTTACGTCCGGTATACACAATAGAGTCTTATCTCGTGTGCGTAGTCGGATCAATCCATCCGAGACCTCGAAGTTTCGATAGTCGTCAGGTGAGTCCAAAATCCGTTTAAAAAACGGGTCTCTAGCATACTGATTTTTTATGCCCTGAATCAGCTCACTCTCGTCTGGGTATCCCAGTGGAACCAGCTGCTCGTCTGGGCAGGTCTTGCTGCCTGCCACCTCCCCCTCCTTTCGTCCCTTAGGTCCTCTGAGGACGAAATGAGGTGCCACGCGCCGTGCGAATTCCACGGCTGTCTCAGGCCTCCCCGTTTCGGCGGGTTCCACCATGCGAGCACGCCGTCCGGTATGGCCACCCGTGTCTGGGCCAGTGGCGGGACCCTCACGTCCCCGCTCAGACCCAGCCGACACAACCAGCGGTATGGGGAGTTCCCCCAACGTGGTATGTTTCGCCGCGTCTGACCCAGTGCCAGTGGGCCACTGCCTCAGGGCAGACGCTGCTGAACCTCTCAATTGTGCAGGTCGCGCAGCCGGGCTCACCAACTTGGCACGCTCAGCCGCGTCTGGCCCAGGTCCAGTGGATTCCTGGCCCGGGGCAGACGCTGCTGACGCCGTCGAACCCATCAGCCTGGGCGTCGATCCCAGTAGGGTAGGTAAGCTCTCAGTCACCTCAGCGGTGCGCCGTCGTCTGGGCCTTACCACTGACTGCACAGCAGGCTTAGCTGCCAATCTGGCACTGCGCCTAGTCGAGGCTGCAAGTGCCTCAGGTCCCACGGATACGGGCATAGAGATGAGGCCCGGCAATTTGTCCCTAGGACCCACCCAGGACGAGTCGTCATGCGCCGTGAACTCCCCAGGTGCACGAACAGTCCCAGGGGCGTCGTAGGAGTACAGACGCGACAGCGCGTCTGGGAGGATATTCTCCTCCCCCGGCAAGTATTGGATGTCGAAGTCGAACTCACCCAACTTCTCCATCCAACGAGCCTGTCGTCCCGTGAGGTCCCGCTGGTTTAGTAAGTGGATCAACCCTTTGTGATCCGTCAGCCAAATGAACTTGGCCCCCTGCAGGATGTCCCGATGCCGGAGCATTCCCTCAACCCCTGCCAGCATCTCCTGTTCATGAACAGCGTAATTTTGCTGCGCGGGGTTGAGTTTTGCGCTGTAAAGCGCCGCCACCTGGGCAGAGCGCCAGTCTGCGCCCTGTGCCACCACCGCGGCTATCCCGCGCCCACTGGCATCAGTCATCAGCCAAATGGGCGGGGCCCCAGCGCTATAATCCAAGGGGACCCTGTGGTGCCCCTTACAGTTATCAACATAGCGTTTGACCTCGTCAAACGCTCGTTGATGGGTAAACTCCCAATGAAAAGGTACGGTGTCCCCAGTGATTTCTGACAATACTCCCATGGGGACTCTGACTTTATGTATATCGTCCGCCAGAAATCCCACCGCGCCTAGGAAACTCCGCAAGGCGTCTCGATTCGTTGGCGTCTTCCAGTTCGCGATGCGGTCCACCTTATCGGGATCCATTCGTATCCCCCGCTCGTCGATCACGCGGCCCAGAATTTTAAGTTCGTTACACAGGAACTGAAGCTTACCCTCGCTCAGGTAAAGTTTTTCCCTTTCGAGTATGCGAATCACAATTCTAACGTGCTCCATGTGATCGGCCAGGGTATTGGAATAAATGATGATGTCATCAAGATACACATCCATCCAATTCCCGATGAACTCACCGAACAGGTGGTTCATCAAGGCTTGGTAAGTCGCGGGGGCATTACAATCCCCCTGCTGTAATACTGTACTTACCATATTTCCATCAGGTGTAGTGACCGTCGTGCGCTCCACGTGTTCCGGGATGATACGAATCTGTTCGTATGCATCCTGTCCATCAATAATGGACTTATACTTACGCCTGGCGACACGTCGCAGTATCCCGTCGATATCGGGCAAAGGTGACGACAGTTTCTTAGTATTATTATTACGCTCACGTAGATCAACCACAGTGCGCAATTTATCCGATCCCGGCTTTCGTATGAACAGCATCGGGACCGTGTTGCCCGCACTAGTGACTTTCCAACGTCCAGTCGCGAGGTACGCCTTTCGTTTCTCTCCCCACTGTGGTCGCAGGGGTTCTGGACACTTAGAAGGTCTCCACCTATAGACCTTGTTCAAGTCTATCAAAGGTATGGTGTGATTGATCGCCCTCAAAGGGGGCAGTCCAGTCTCACTGGCCTTAGCGCATAGCGGCTTTGCTAGTAAGTGCAATTTCTTACGAGCTTCGTCGAGTTGTTCCTCAATCGTTCCCGCCGCTCGAGACTCGAGTACTGACACGTGTTCGCCCTTCACAGGTAACGCTTTATCACTCCCCACTACCACTCTAGAGGGGTTCAATCCCACCATTATCTGGTGTTGGAACAGGAAGGGTGTCCCCAAGATAAGATCATAATTTTGTAAGTTTATTATATCAAAGAAACGCTCTTCGCTAATGTTCTGGTATGAGAACTGGGCCTTAGCCCCAAAATTTACCTTGGAACGTGAGCCCTGCACCGCAAGCTGGATAGTGAGTGGTTTTTCTAGCTGAATGCGTTTCACTCGTAACTGTTCCGCCAGGGTGGAGGACATGAAGTCCGCTAGTGACCCGGTGTCTATCAGTGCACGCGCGGGTCATCCGTTCACATGAACCACCACGACCACTGGCTTGGGAATCAGTCGTCTTAGGTCGCGGGTTATCGCCGCGTTCCTCTGTATTGCCGGATAGCGGCCAGGTGCCACCTGTTGCCCGTTGAGCTCCAGCAGGTGGTATTGGTGAGGTGTTTCCCCGAATCTTATCTCAGGTATGGCAAATAACTGATGTGCAACTTCTTCCAGGGCAACATCCATTGGTTCACGCAACCCTGCCTCCAATATCCGGAGGTGGTCATCCTCCCATCTCAGCTCCGCCTCCAACATAAGCTGGTCCATCTCGTGGTAAGCTTTTAACAAGCGCTTAGCGTACCAGTGGCTAATGCTGAGTTTCTCATTATCCAGGAACTCTTCGTCTGTCCAGACGTGGAAGCCCAACTCCCGGTCGACTATCTCATATACCACGTCGTCAGCGTATTTCACGCGCTGACAGTCGAAGCGATTCGCGCTGGTTCTGCCGGGGTAGTTAGTCTCCCCATTCAGCACAGCCGAGACTCGTTTAGAGGTGGCGTTTCCCATGCGGGAGTAGTGGTTTGTTTTCCACTTCAGTGAGCTGGGTGAGTTGAGAGGGATTATCAGTCTCTTCGCGTACCACCCGCTCACACAGAACCTGGGGTTCTTCAACAGGTTAGATAGTATAACCAGGTCATCCCCGAGGTGTGAGCCCCGGTCCATGATGACGTGGTGCGTCTCGGACGTTCGATACACTAAGAACCGTTCTTCCGAAAACGTGTTCTCACTTTCTAGATCATCCCCTGGGTATGGAACGTGCAACCTTAGCAGGTGCTCCGCTCTTCTCGCCAGCGGGTCTCCCATAGGTACGTCCTTTACTCCCCATGGGCGGTTCAACTTCTTCTGGGCCTGGCCCCCCACTGCTGACCCCAACGACTTAGGCTCCAGGCGTTCGAAGCCTACGAATCCTAGGGGGATCTCAGTCAGGACTTCTGTGCTGTAGTCCAAGGCCTGAAGGGTATCCTCCCTGCCAGTGTCTACATGCATGGCGTAGTTTGGTACCCCCGGAGGCCGGTTACTACCGCCTGAGGGTACGTTAGTTTTGCTGGGGCAGCTCCGGGATATGTGTCCCGTCTGCTTGCAGACGAAGCACCTGCCCTCTGAGGCGAGTCGGTCGTGTTCTTCCCGGCTCATCCTGTCAGGCTGATCTCTAGCAGGTTTAAGGTTGCCCCCCATTCTACCAGCGTAGTTCGAGGGTGGTCTATTTCCTCTGGGGCGGTTCCTATCCCTACCTCTGGAGGTATTGGCACTTGGTCGCCCCCCATTGGCTGGTCCCGCGGTTGCTGGGTTGGGACGATCCGTGTTGGGTAAGCTTCGGCTTGCTTTAACAGGGTGACTCCCCTTCTTGGAGGCACGCTGTCCGTCATCTCGACTGCGGGATTCCGTGGTCGAGTTGGCCAGCTCTATTATTTCCGCGGTCCGTTGGACCTTCTTCAGGGATGTGACCTCAGGATTGAGGCGCATCTTATAGAGTTCACTCTGTATGCTGGGGTTCAGTCCGAACCAAAATTTAACCACTTTCTCTCTCTCAGGTATGTTGCCGATCATCATCCAGAGCTCGTTTAGTTCTGACAGGTAGTCTCTAACGCGTTTCTCACCCTGGAAACAGCGGTACAGCTTCTTTCGCTGCCTGGTTCGATAATCAAGCGGGAAGCAGTAGTTAAACAATTCGGTGAAGAATTCCTTTAACCTCCATTCGTCTGGTCGGTCTGACACCTGTCTTGCATAGAAATCATGGGCTTTCCCCTTCAAGAAGTGCGATAGCACGAACACTCGTCGATCCCGCGCGACGTTCCCGTCTTCTACGTAAGCCGTCCCCTCCGTTATGAATCTGTGAAACGCGCGGGAGTCTACAGCCCCATCGTATTCAGCAGGTGGGATTGGCTTTAAGGTTACCTTCCTCCTATTAGCCGTTTTCCTGGACTTACGTTTCTTAGAACGGTTTCGCTTTTTCGGGGATCTCTTCTTTCGCGCCGGTTGATTACTGTCCGCCGACGACGACGACTCAGTGGACGATTCATCCGACTCTGAAGAGTCGCTGGATGAAGATGACGAGCTGGACTCGCTGCTCGATTCCGAACTCGACGAGGGCTCACTGTCCAAGGTGCGTGCCTTCCTCGACTTCATTTGGTCGAATGCGCGACCTAGGTAACTCTTAGGGGCTATCTGACCCATTGCGTCCAGAGCCGCTGGAGATGCTCTTAATCCCCGTTTCTTGGGGTCTTTGCCCACTGCCCGCTGCACCAGTTCCTCAATCGGGTTGATAGCCCCCTTGGGGCGCGGATGGGCTGTCTTCTGGGTCGCTGCTTTCAGGAGTGAGTCTTTTCTCACTATCTCCCTGTGAAGCAGCTGAATTTCTTTCTGGAACGCCTTGGCCATTCGTTGCTCGGCGTTTCTCACTGCCTGTTCCAAGGGAGTGGCTTCCGACGGCTCGATGCCCTCGACCGGGGCCTCTTCGTGGACCTCACGGTTCCTTAAGGTTTCCTCGCGCACGCTGGCCCAGGATCGTATGGCACCCAGCTGCGCCTCGACGTCCACTTCCGAATCGTGGAGGTCGATCCCTCCCCAGTTTCGGGGATCTATCCCTTTACCCTTGGATGGTCCTTCACCCCGGGTAGGGTTGGCTTCTTCTGAGCGAGCCAATTTCTCAGCGTTCCTCCTGTTAAGGATGCGCTCTCGTTCTTCAGAGGTGAGGTTTCTTACCGCCTCCTTTAGCAGGTTTGTATCCTGCTGATCTTTATGCTTGGTTTTGACCCTGGCAGATCTCGAGTGGTCCTTATTGTCCTTCCGGGACTTCTTGGATTTCTTATGGCGATGCTCTACCTCTTTCCAAGGTTCGTCGCTCTCATCACTCGTTGTATCGAACGGAGAATTTAATATATTAACAGGTGTCTTAAAAATTGGGGTCGTCCCCTCGTCCGAGCTATCAAGATTGCTCAGGACGCTGTCAGATTCCTTCTCAGCACCAGGCTGAGAGGTTTCTGACCTCGTTCGTACCACGTCGCTATAAGAGCGGACGGGTCTGAGAACGGACCCGATAGGAGAGTCGCGAGACAACTCCTTGATGGGTATCGTAGGGGTCTGGTTAGCTTCGGAGGAGGTTAGAGACGACGCACTATGGGTATCAGGAAGGGCGGCAGGACCCACAGATGTGGATCTGCCAGAACGGAGATTGTAGTGGGTAGACATATCGTTTTCGAGTGGTATTGTCCGGTGGGCCTAACCGTAGATGCCGACTCGGGGGATATTGTAATCGTTTAGATAGTAAAATGCAAACTTTGGTACGTCAAAAAAGATGTGACGTCTACCGTTTAGCGTGTGAAGGCTCGAGGTAGGCGGCACAATAGAAGAACGTTCCCACAGATAGACGGTGTTAAAGTCTGGTATTTCTGGGTACAAGAACGCTACCCTAAGTCTATGACAGTAGCCCGTATTTAAGTGTATGAGATGACAAGCTAATCTACTGCTCGGAGAATGTAGGAATGTAAGGTACAGTAGATAGGGAACAAGACATAGGGAGCGAAGGATAAAACATAACGCGAATGATTCAGAATAATTGCTAGGCAGGGGAGTGTCAAAAGTAAGGGGCGTTTCTAATTGAGGCAAGACAGCAACCGTTACACATGTCCATATGGGGGGCGTGAACCCGTGTGCTATGCATTAAGCCCCTTGCACATGCATATGTACCCGTGAAGGACGCACCTTCACGTCACGGTAAAGTATCGTCTCACCGCGTGTTATCCATTCACAAAAAAAACAGATTAGAGCCCTCTTTTCCTTTTTTCGACAAATTGTGGGACAGACGCATTGTCTTCGCCGACTCTTCGGACAGAATGGCATTGGTTACGCAATGATTTAGGAGAGTCCAATTTATTCTTTTTTTCGCATGGAGTCAGGGTGGAATCAAGTATACCTGACATGTACATTGAAATGGGTGAGATCGGAACAACACACTCGAGTCATGTCGTGTTCAGTTATATGACCGTCCTATCTACGGTCCTATCTATAGGCGAAACATAAGCATGTGGTGACCTATCCATTTTCGCAATCGCAGATCATTGAATGATATTACGTGTCTCGAGGGCAGATGCTAATTATGACCTTCAACTATTGCATGCCCATCCGCTATGATACATGCGTTGGGCGCGTGGAGTTCAAGTCAGTCCGTTAGAGCCGAGATACATCAAATTCACTCAATTTCATCCAGTCAACGAGCAGTATGATCTGGTTCAACTTGAAGAGCTGCCCACCTTCAAGACATGACATATGATTCGGATGTAGAGTCTGTGCGAAGTTATCAAAACCGTCATCAACTCGTCTATAGTGACTCAGCCGAAAGTCGAGGACTAGTACTCATCTCTGAAAGTTTCGGCCGGTGTGACAAGGAACGAAACGAAGCGGATGATGGCAGCTGCAGGAACCATGGCGGACGATGAATGTAGACTTGGGGCGGAGCAGTATTCTAGTCCCAAGCAGGCTGCATCGAGTTTGCCGTCGCTGCCGTGACTCAGAAACTTGAATCCTAGACATATAGGCAGGTCACTGTCTGTTTCGCCAGAGGAGTTGTCGGAGCTTGAACGTGAGGTGGGTGCTTAGCGGAGATAGTCAGGCGTCAAAAGTTGACAAGGACCGTAAGGTGAATCAGCGTGTCTGGTATCGGCTGGGTACTGGAAGCATGATTGCGCTGTTGGGATTCTCCGTCATTGAGAAAAGTCGGGCGGTGATTGGCTCATGCAGTAGATTCGGAGGAAGTGAACATTTGAACCAGTGCTGTTTAATTCGGAAACTGACCATCAGACTCTGGCGACCGACGTCCGCCGATTTGGAATGGGCGATACCAATAAATCAACTGAAAGCTCTGATCGTTTCTTTGGCATATCTTGCAGGGCTGCACTTGTCGGCATTATGAAGTATGAGTTTAAATTTCGGTTGATGAAAGTCGGGAGGACGTCACTGGCGTGATCGGGATCGAAAACCTCGCAGGTGACAATTCCCTTGCATCTGATATTCATTTCCGTGCATGGAACCCATGAGCTTTGCAACACGAGATAAAGTTTGCGGCACTGGCACTCACCCATCCAGTGATCCTAATTTGCAACACGAGGTAAGGCTGTAGCAAAGTAATTCCATTCAGTATACACCAAGATTGCGCCCGCCACATGCACCATTATAACCCCTTCAGGATTCAGCCCGTAGGCGACAGTCAGAGAAAATAAAAGACCCACTCTCGGAAGGGATACCATATTCTATCGCATTCGTACTTCACCTGTCGTCTACACGCTACAAATGAATAGGTTATTTGCGCATCGCAGACGAAGACATGAACTTACCGTGGATTTATACAGATCACCACTACCAACCTACCCGCCTTCGCGGTTAGGTGAGACCCCTGATGGAGGTCCGATGAGACCTGCCTTGCAGCCTTATGTGGAGTACCATGACAGGACAAATGTTCGCGAGGAAATCCAGGAGAACTTCTTCTTCGTGCCACAGCCGGAACCCTACGGTCCATCTTTGGACCAGGAGGACGGACTTTTAACATCTTTCGGGGTCACGGAATCAATGTCAGAGGGTACAGATCCTCGCCTAGGTCAACCCCAAGGTAAGTTCGAATTACTTGCAGCTATTACTTCCAACACTCACCGTGTACGGCCAGACCTATCCTATAGCACCTCTGGGCCTCCTAGCTATGAGCCCGGGGCGCAAGACTTCCCACCTCAGCATAGCACATACTCTGAGTGGCAGACTTTGTCGGGCTCTTCAGCCAGACATGACCAACCACCGCCTCCCCTCACAGTGCAGGATCGCCAAAACAAAGTACAGTGCTCACGGCCCGGGTGCATCGCAGTGGTCAATAAAACCAACCTTACTCGACATGTGAAGGAGGTACATGAGCGGAAGGTTAAGGCTCGTTGCCATCGTTGTGGAAAGGGTTTCGCGCGCCCGTACATGAGGGATGAGCATATTCGTCGGGTCAGATGTGGAAGTATCTAGTAGATTGCGTTCATATAGATTAGATTGTATCCATGTGCATAACTACTCACAATCTTTATCAAAGCCATTCCTTAAGGAAAAGATGCAATCCTCAAGATGCTACAGGACGAGCGGACTATTAAACATCCTTGTTGCGGAGTCTCATATACCAGGCGATCAACATTGCGTAAAAGAACGTATGAAACGCCGCGGAGCCGAACGGTGTACCAAAGAGCACTTCGAACACGAGTTTCACGGCAGACCCGATGGATATGCCTGAAAGCAGTACTACTTCGAATTGCATTGAGGCACCTGGGTCGGGAATGCTTCTTTTCATCTTTTAACCCTTTATCTATGAAGGGCGCCAGCGGACAAAATTCACAGCGATTTCAATCAAGGGTTTCGAACTTTCGTTTCGCTTTCAAACGCAAGTGATTTATTTTCAGGTGCTAATTTTTGCTTTTCCGAGACAGATTTTGACGTACGATTTCGCATCAAGGTGTTTTCGTTTTCATGAATTTGATTTCGCATTTGATTTTGATTTCACTTATTGATTTCACGTTTCGGTTTCGATTTCGAGAAATTGAAGGCAGACAGCCTTTTGAGCATCCAAGCGACCAATATCACCGAGCTGTGTTCTGAGCGTGACGTGGACTCTCTCGCCCAGTTGCATGAAAGAATCATAGATGTTCGTTAGTTGAATAGCCTCGGGCATGGCCCTCAGCAGCTTATGGCAGGGTTGGCGGGTTGGTCGTGATGATGTTAAGAGACAGCCCGGAACTTCCCAATCCGGCGCTGGGAAAAGTCGAAAGCCAAAGTTGAAAGCCAAAGTCCAAAGTCGAAAGCCAAAGTCGAGGGCATCCAGGAAATGGACACTCTGGGGCTAAAGTCCGGGGCGGACTCTGGGGCCAGAGTCTGGGGCGCATGGTTGTTTCAGTCGGAGCTTGGATATCTTGCGGTTGACATACCAATAAGAAATGTATGGCGGAGCGTTGCACTCAGATGGGATGATGCGCCCATTGACATCATGGTTCACACATACTTCAAGGTGGCAAGCACGGGAATCAATGAATATTGCTACATAGGGCAAGTATGTAGGTGGCTCAGCACTGACAGATCAAGGTTTGTGCCCACTCAAATGGCCGAAGGTCAACGTTCAACAGCGGTACAGCCGATGCCAGGAGAAATTGTTTGTAGGGTTTGTGCTATTAGTTGCAAGGCAGCTTCATTGGCCTGAACCTGCGCATAGATTTGCGTGAAATACTGCTGTAGTAGCGAGAGACGACAAAATCTCCCCAAGGAGGCTGCTGTAGATTGGAGTGACGGCAATGCCGATCGTGACTTCATGACGAGTCTATAGACATACGTTTAGCGGCCGTGTGGCATGCGTGGGTTGACGCTACACACAGTAGCATATTGGACAATGAGCTGCCAGTTTGCCTCGCGGCAGCCAGTTTATCAGTACTGTTCGTCTCAACTAGGAATATGAATATATGAATGCCCAAAGATGCAACACACACAGAGGGGTGACTTACCGACAAGAGCCAACAAAACTCGTTCATCGATGACCGCCTGCATCACGTCCTTGTCATTCGCAAATATGGTAGGGTCGACTTGGCTCCAGCCCAACCGAGGTCCTGGCGTAGTATTGAATATTGTTGTTGATGGCTACCCATAGTGCAAGTCCAATGGTGTTGTTATCGCGATCGATGAACCAAGCGGCAAGAATGCTTGTTAGTCAGAATATGCTAGTTAGTGCAGCCCTAGCCAGTACCTGCAAATAGTACTTGTCATGATGCAAGGCTTCGTGAGCGATGAAATTTAACCTCAGCTGGTCTCTGCCGGACTTGCCGACGAGCCCCAGACTCTGGCCCCAGAGTCCGCCCCAGACTTTGACCCCAGAGTGTCCAATTCCCTGACTTTCTGCCAAAGTCGAAGTCGAAAGCCGAAACCGAAAGCCGAAAGCCGAAAGCCGAAACCGAAAGTCGAAGTCAAAACTGGAAATGAAAGGGTTCCAGCGAAACCACGAAAACATTTTGTCCGCCCATGTCCGTTATATTTATCGAGTGATTTGAACCTTCTGCATTACACCTTAATCGTCTAGAATTGTCCAGAGTTGATGATTAAACGTGTCTGCTGCCTGCTTTAGCCTTTCATCATGCCGTATGTTGTGCCGAACCACGTATCTTACATTTCAAACCACTCACTCGTTGCTAGTTACTCAAAGGTCCCCTACACAACCGCCTTCTATGAAGATGACTTGCCCAGTTACATGTCCCGAGACCACTGAAGAAGACAGAACCGCTATTTGGTTTGCAACATCGAGAGGCGTTCCTAATTTCTTCAGGGGAGTGCTGTAATAGGAGATAAGCCATACTACATATTGGGTATCTCTCCCAGTGAAGAGAATGACTCACGCAGCTAATACAGGACCGCTGACAGCCGGATCATCCAGTGCCTCTTGTACCATCGGCGTCGAGACCCATCCAGGTGCAATAGAATTCACACGTCCCTTTGGTGCAATCTTCACAATCTCGCTCTTGAGCGTCATCGTCAAGCCATACATCATCGCTGCCCATCTCGCTCAGCAAGTACCTGATTCAGGAGAAGCACAAAAACCTACCACTTTTGCTGATAGCATAATCGCCATGATTCGCCTCGCCGTATTTGCCTGCTGTGCTCCCGATGAGCACTATTGCAGCCTTGTCTTTCACGCTTTCTGTTGCTGCACGCAAGTGGCGCAAGTATTCACGACAGACCAGGAAGCTTGAGGTGAGGTTTGCGCTGATGGTATGGTCCCACTGTTCGATGGCCATATCGACGATGGGTACGTCCTCGGGTGGCCAAATGCCATGATTGACCACGACTACTGCCACAGGACCGAACGGCGTTCCCGAGAGCGCGTCGAACATGCTCTTCACGGCAGACTCAGAGGAGAGGTCTGCTTGTGCGCATTGCAGTGCAGGGAAGCTGACTTGGAGAGTCTGGATGGGTTTGGAGTTAGAGTTATAATGTGCAGTCACATTTGCGCCGAGGGCTGAAGAGAAAAGCTGGATGTCAGTCACATCTTTGGAGACACGGAAACGATGGAATTACACAGATAAAGCTTGACGGTCTCGAGGCCGATGCCTCCGCTCGCGCCTGGGATGTGGGTGAGGAAATCATGAGCAGTCTGATGAGGGAATGACTGCACCTGTTACGAGGACATGCGTGTTTTTCAGCCCTAGATTCATTGTCTGGCTCTGATTCTCGGGGGGGAGCACGGTCAGGCTATGTTGAATCATACTATATAGTCCCACGAATCCCTATTTCCCAAGCGAAGGTGATTCTAAGCGCTGAGAGCGAAGCCAATAGGTTGTACATATCTCTGAGCACTGGTACCCATCGACGCATGTGTTCTTCAGCTCTGCCGTGTTATCATTCAACTCCCTCCCACATATTCAGGAAGCGTGCACCTTGGCAGGCTGGTCGTCGTGTTTTGTCACCTATTTGCTGGTGATCCACTCCGTCATCAGAAACATTATCTCGAGGATAGTCACGTTCCTGCTGCTGTCTTGACAAAACTGGAAGGAGAGATAAGACAGGTGACACACTTGTACATGTGGATTTTGGAACGCAAAGCAGAAATTGCTTCCGCAAGGGACACCTGCCACGCCGCCGGAACAGCCGTCACCATAAATGGTAATGCCGGCGGTTACTCGTATTTAGGAATCGTGCCTTTGTTTTTGGTGGTACGATGCTTGCAGGCACGGTTGCCACTTCTCCACAGTTCTGTTACCCCCACCAGTACGACCACTACGCTTGGAACGACAGCGAGATTGCTGAAAAATAAGGACTTCAGATTTAATAAAATTTCTGCCGTCGCAACCATGCCTCGTGTGCCATCTGGAGACGCCTCATTTATCCATACGCTCGATGGTAATTTTGTCGATAACGCTGGTCGTACCCTTCTGCTACGCGGCGTGAACCTATCTGGTTCCTCCAAAGCACCCGTGAACCAACCTTCTCAGGTCCTTGATGGATTTTGGGAAGAAGCAAAGATTGGCAGTGAGAGCTTTATAGGCCGACCACTAAAGCTGGATGACGCGGACGAGCACCTCGCCCGCTTGCGGGGTTGGGGTTTCAATATGTTGCGCTTTCCTGTAACCTGGGAATCCCTGGAACACGAAGGACCGTGAGTACTTATTCAATGTCGTCTCCAGCCCTTGATAACAGTGATTTGACCAGAGGGAAATATGATTATGATTTTATGGATTACACAATAGAGATACTGCGGAAATGCAAGGCGCATGGATTCAAAGTTTATTTGAATCCTCACCAAGACATCGTAAGCTTTCTCGCAAACGTATTGCTACTGTTTTTAATTTGCCATTCAGTGGTCTCGTTTTTCAGGCGGTTCAGGAGCACCTTATTGGACACTCGTTGCATGTGGTTTAAATCCAGGTGCATTCAGTGCCACCCAAGCAGCTATAATTCATTGCGAGTACCCCACTCCCGCGTCCCGCGAACCCGCGGAAATGCCTGCCATGATATGGTCAACAAACTATGGCAGACTTGTCTCGCAAACCATGTTCACTCTCTTTTTCGGCGGTTCCACGTTCGCGCCAAAATGCATCATTGACGGGGTCAACATTCAGGAATACCTCCAGACGCACTTCGCAAACGCCTTTGCAAAGTTGGCGGAGCGAGTGGCGGAGGCTGGGGATCTTCTTGATGAAGTTGTCATTGGTTGGGACAGCATGAACGAGCCAGCAGAAGGGCTCATCTCATGGGATGACCTCAATGCTTATCCGCAACAACAGGGTTCCACGCTCAAGAAGGGCACCGTTCCATCCCCAGCGCAGAGCTTCCGTCTCGGTATGGGTCAGGTGCAGACGCTTGACAACTTCTCTTTTGGCTCCATGGGTCCAAAGCGCGATGGTACTGTCACCATAGACCCCAACGGCGTCAAGGCATGGTCAGATCCCTCTACGGAGCCTGGAGGCATTCACCCACGCTGGGGCTGGAGGCGTGACCCTGGTTGGACGCTCGGCGAATGCATATGGGCTTTGCACAATGTATGGGATGTGCAGAGTGGATACGTTCTGGAGCCCGACTATTTCGCACATGTTCCAGGAACAGAAGATCCCGTACATTTTCTACACGCCTTCTTCCTTCCCCACTACGCTCTTTACCTGAAAGCAATTAGAGCGCACCATCCACAAGCCATCGCGTTCGTGCAGCCCCCCGTCTTTGCTCAACCTCCTCCGATACCTGAGGAGCTGTTGCAGGGCAGGGCATGCTATTCGACGCATTATTACGATGGCCTAACGCTCGTTACACGCCACTGGAACTGGTTCAACGCTGATGCCCTTGGTCTCCTGCGGGGAAAATATTCAACGCAGATACAAGCTCTACGCGTAGGCGAACGCGCCATACGGAACAGCCTTCAAAGCCAACTCGGGTATCTGAAGGCGGACGCGACACAACTAGGTGCGCTTCCACCTACCGGCCCAGCGCGATACCCAACTATCATTGGAGAGATTGGAACACCTTTCGATATGGATGCCAAACGCTCGTATGGATACACTGATGGTGGCAAGTACAAGGGTGACTACTCGCGGCAAGAGCGTGCACTAGATGCAAGTTTGAATGCGGCGGATGGCGAGAACTGCTTGAACTGGACAGTATGGACGTACTGTCCCGATAGCTCGCACCCGTGGGGGGATGGGTGGAATATGGAGGATCTCAGCTTATGGTGTGGCGATGACCTGCGCGCAGGAGAAGCGGAAAGGGTTCCAGCCCTCCAGATATCATCCAAAATGTCAATGGGTTCATTAGCGCCGGCACGAGCGTCAACCCTCACAATATCAACACTCCCGGCTTATTCGTCGCCTTACGCCAGTTCTAGTGTTGAAGAAGGCGAACCTGTGCAGTGCGAAGCCGCCTCTCTCCTATCGTTCCTTACAAACGGCGCTCGTGCCGTGCGCGCTTTTTGTCGCCCATGGCCAATAGCGGTCGTTGGTACCCCTTCGAACATCCAGTTCGACATCTCCAAAGCCGCCTTCCACCTTACTCTCAAGGTCAACGCAGAAGACATACCCGTCGACGATGACGATGTTCTAGCGACAGGAATGAAAGGATTGTGCAAGGATAGTTCCTTGCCCACTGAAATTTTCTTGCCTCTCGTTCATTTCGCCTCGGATGCTTGCTTGGGCAAAACCCTCGGTTCTAACGCCCGGGGCCAAGTCGATGATTCCATGGATATCGGGCAAGAAGGGAGTAGCCGCGGTGCATCAGGAACGACAACACCTCGCGCGTACACGTCATCCACGCTCACTCTTCCTGTGAGTTCTCAACCGGCGCTCTCGCCAGTCATATTCAAGGATGACTGGTACGACATCACTGTCACTCCATCCGAGGGTCGCGTAGAGCTTCTTGCATCGGAGCAGAAGCTTCTCTGGTTTTACACTATACCAACGGATGAGAAGGAAGACAAGGAGTTAACGATAGAGGTGCGCCGTTCATCGGGCGCCATCAAAGCCAGTGCACTTGGGCTTGGGTATACCAGTGAGACCAGAGCGAGAGACGGGTGCGCCGGATGGCTGGATGAGGCAGGGTTACTTGGCGAAGGGTGGTGCCCTGATGGATGTTCGATTATGTGAAGTGACAGTTACCTTACCTTATGCTTTCCTTTCTTCCTCGGGACAACACATTCTTTGTAGGAAAAAAACATTATATGTAGTATAACTCTTGACCGCCTCTTAAGCTTGTAAGATCGAATTCATACTATATTGGCAGAGATTAAATTTGCTCTTGTCAAGTCGTTCATCGACCCTATCCAATCCTATCAGACTGTTGAGCAGCAGTGCCACCAAAAGTACAAGCAGCGAATGAAGAGAATTCAAGATTGGCGGAACGAATGTACTATGAATCACTCATAGTCAACCCCTATTCGGACTTGTCCAGCCAGATCAAGTTCTGACTGGGCATGAACGGTTGGTCCAAGATTCACTCCTCCAGACATTGATTCTGGTGTAGATTCTTGTGAAGATGGACTGATTTGTTGAACATTAGCCATGTGCTGGTGTGATGAACGTTTGTAGCGCGAAAAAACACTCCCCGATATAATCTCCTTAATGGGCTCATTGAGGCGATCTCGGAGCAGGCCGGATACAAGGTAGGATGTAGTATGATCTCGGCTAGATCAAGCTCTCTCCATCACGATCATGTCCACTGCAAAATATGGAGACATAAGAGAAGTAATCGCCCCTGCTGATTTTCATGTTCACCTCCGGGATGGTGAACTATCGAAGCTCGTTACCCCCCACGTCCACAAGGGTGGTTTCTATCTTGCCTATGTCATGGTATGTGCTAATCATCTCAGTTTATAGGACAACGATCGATTGACGGTCACAGCCAAATCTCGTGCCCCCAATCACCACTACAGAAATGGCAATTGAATACAAGAAAAAGTTGAAAGAGTACTCGGGATCATCCAAAATGGAGTTCCTCATGACCCTCTATCTTTCCGACGCCCTCCATCCCAGCGATGTCAAAAACTGGAAGGCTGCGGGTATCGTAGGCGTCAAATCATATCCTCGTGGTGTAACCACCAACTCGGACGAGGGAATTGAGAGTTATGACAAATATGACGAACTATTCAAAGCTATGGAGGTGCACGGCATCGTGCTCAATCTTCATGGAGAAATCCCATCCGACCACTCTAAAAACATCTGCGTCCTCAACGCTGAAGAACGTTTCCTTCCTGTTCTCGCAAACCTAGCCAACAAATATCCTAAACTACGTATCGTCCTCGAGCACGCAACGACCGCAGCTGCCGTCAATGCTGTCAAAGCCTGCGGTGATAACGTCGCATGCACAATCACAGCACACCACCTCGCCCTCACAGTCGATGATTGGGCCGGCCAATCTTTCCACTTTTGCAAACCTGTCGCCAAGTTTCCAGAAGATCGTCGCGCGCTTCAAGAAGTTGTTAAATCTGGCAACAAGAAATTCTTCCTCGGATCTGATTCTGCACCGCACCCGAGCCTTTCAAAATCGACAGCAACAGCGGCAAGCGGGTGTGCAGCGGGGGTTTATACCTCTCCTATCCTTCTCCCCCTCGTCGCGCACCTCCTCGATTCGTTTGGAGCAATTGATAAGTTGGCTGATTTTACCAGCAATTTTGGGCGCAAATTTTATCAGATCCCGGCGGACTCAGATGCTCCGAAGGTTGTGGTGGAGAAGGTGCAAGGGGTGAGCGTGCAGGCTGAATATAGTAGTGGGGACAAGACAGTCGTACCTTTCTGGGCTAGCAGAGAGATCGAGTGGCGGATTGTTGATGTTGAGGAATGATTGTTGGGTGAGAGGTATTATCAAAGGAACGACTCAGACTGTCTTAGTTCTTTGCATGGTCTGACTATGGGAGACTGGTTCTCGCCCACGCTTGGCTTCGACCTTGTACTTGTATAGCTTGTAGGAACCCATACCATCCCCTTACTTGCAAACTTAGCCTGCAGCCGCAGAAGGAGCTGATCTTTGCTTCCAACTTAGATTAGCCAGAGTACTCTGCTCTGCACGGCGCAAAGTGTCAATTGAATGTTGGAGCCAACACGTCATCATGATTACCGCCGCGGTCACTGAAGTGGACTCCATCGCTCGTAAGCCATTATGCAGGCGAGACTTAATCTGTGACATTTTGATCGCACACAGATTCACCTGTTTATCGTCAGCCCTTTTACACCATCAAGTTGATTACAAGAAATGTAATTCCGATACATAAGTACGAGTCTCCGGTAAACGGAGGCATAAAATGCACAAACCAGTGCAAAATGGGGGGGAAACAAAACTGATCCTTGTTTCAGCGGCTCGCTGCCACCAATAAACGGATCGAGAGCAGAGCATCATGATTTGATCAACCACGGCTTATTGGTGATTGTCCAGTCATCAATGAGCTGCCAAAAGTGCGCCACCACAGACTTGTCAATGTGTCGTCTGTGAGGATCGATCTAACACGATGTTATATCAGCCTGAACATAGAGGGGAAGGTTTAAGGCACACCTTCAATTCGGTGACATTCCAGTCTTTGATCTTTGTGTTGGGCGGGTCATTCGCCCATGAGACGTATACGCCTTTCACTAGCGGCCCATGATCATCAGCGATCGAGGTCAGCCAAATGAGAACTACGCACCGTGATGGAATAGAGCCCGGGGCTCACTCCACCTGTACGGGCGGAACTGCCAGGCTTGGCCGGTGGTCATCACGCAGACAACACGTTCCCACGCATCCGCACCAAATTTCTGCAACGCGTCAGTACTATCAACAACAAAGTACCGTTGAATGTCTCCGCGAGGCGTAGATGTAGGCTGTGAGGATGAGGAAGGCGGTACACGCCGCCTGTCAATGTGAATGACATCCTCAGCACGGGAGTTTCCAGCAGATGCAGCACGTTCGCGTGCCGCCGAGGAAGACTCAAAACTATAAGAACAAGATATCAACTGAAAAAGCATTTGACTGACAGAGCAAAACGTACAATGATTCTTGCAAGAAACGCTTGACGTTGTGCATAGTTATAAGGGCAGTCGGAGAGGAGGAAATCATGATGATAGGGTACAGATTTTCTGCAGCCAATTTAGAGTTTTGAGTAAGATTTTTGGGATGAGGACATACTAGCTTTGCGGGCCAGCATGGGAGCGCCAGCAGACGGCGCAGGAATTAGGGCAGCCCCAGGTTTTGTCTCCTTGAGCTTCTTCAATTTTTCAGTGTATGTAGCTCGTAGGGCAGAGAAGTTCTGAATTGCGGTTGGTGAGACAAATACGTGATGGGATTCAGACTTACATTTGGTTTTATTCCTCGTAGAACAGTATTCCTGTCCCGCAGCTCGACCTCGTTCTGCTTGATCCGTTTTACAACTTCGACATCTTGCTGATCGGCAACGTAGCGTCGCTTAGAGGGAGTGGTGGTAGTATCTGCAACATGTGCTGTGCGCTTTGGGGTAATGAGGGGTATGGTGGATGCACCAACGTGAGTAGGTGTGCCTGGAGGTGTCGTTGATTCTGCTGCTGCAGAAAGCTCGGTTACAGGTCCAGGTCCAGGTTACATGTCTACGCACCTGCAAGTGACACTATTCTTTTCAAGTCATGCACCTTGCCCTCCAACCATTCCACAATGCTTTTCCTCTCCGTAACGCTCACAAAACCCACTGCAAGGCCGTTGTCTCGAGCCTGTTTCATGTATTCTGCAACAGGCGCATCGCGGAGGAGCCATGCTAAATACACAGCTTCAAGGGTGAAGAAGTCAGACGGTGAGGATCCCGAGGTCCCAGGCTTCGAATAGCGTGTTGAAGTTGATTTTGGAAGCGAAAGAGTCGGAGACAGAACGATGTGGGATGCAGCAAGAAGGGAAGTCGTTGGCTCTGAACTCGCGACATATGTTATTGGAGATTTAGCTTTGATCGCATGCCGGAGAGCCAAAAGCGGGTCTGAAGTCGAGTCCATCGTTGAGCTCATCGTGGTTAGTGAAGAAGCGCTGTCAATAACAAGTCAATAAGTAAAGTACTAAAACCCAGAAGACCAGAGTCCACAGCGCTAAAGTGGCTTACATAATGAACCCCTCTATGGGCGGTTGATTACATAATGGACCCCTCTATGGGCGGTTGCCCACTTTGACGGAGAGAACATTTGGTTCAGTAATCCGCTGCTATAAGTCTTTGAAGTTTGGAAAGCGTGTAAGCGGCGCTGTCGTGCTCTCCGAAGGCCTTTCGTTCTGCTTGTTTCCCGTTTTTGCTGGTAGTCCAGTTCTCGTTGTTAGTCCAGGTCCGACGGCTCTGGGCTGACGCGCGTATTCGGCATCGTGCTCTAGACTAGGATCTTTGACATTTCTCTTTGCTTTTCTCTGACCATCAAGACTCCGGAACGTGCTATACAACACAATGGCTACAGTCAAACTCGCTACCCTTGTGATCCGAGTGAGTCGAGCTACACTCTCTCCTGCATTGGCTCGAGGTCTCAGATGTGACAGACACTTGCGAAGCCCATCTCTTCGCAACTGAAGAACCAAGCGAAGCAGTACGTGCGGGGGTTTGAATCCTGTTGATATTAATACTGGAGTTTTTACAGGCATGAAACCTTCCGTTCAATATGTATTTCCCTTGCTCAGAAGATGCATTCGGCTGAAATTCAGCTGAGAACGAATATCCTCGGTGAACCAGCCAGGCTACACGTCAAGCCGTTAGCAGAAACGAGGTGCGCATTGTATCATCCTATGAAAACACCTCATGTCTTATTTCATCTGTGTCTCAGAGCAATAGAAAACGGTGCCAACGCATTAGCAGAAGGCTTCTTATTTTCAGTAGCCGCACTATTGATAATAGGCGAAACATGGCGGTCGTCTCGGAGTCAGTCCAAACAGAGAGATGACGTCAATGAACGAATTGAGGAGCTCTCTGCGAATGTCGCATCACTCACAGAGCGTCTGGAGAGAATCCAAGAAAGTTTGGGGGATGTCGAGTCAGAACGGGCACGGAACAATGAACTGGCGAGAATTGTTGAGCGGGTGGTGGAGATTGGGCTGAGAGGTGGATGGGCAGAGTTTGAAGATACGCCAATGAAGCTCCCCAGGGTAGAGCTTGCGCCGACCTCGTCGAGGGTACTACCCTGACATGGGCCGTCCATGTGTCAACTCCTCGGCCGGATTTACTGTATCCCCTCAATCTATACAGAGGTCGTTCTTACTTGAGCTCTAACTTCAACTGATTATGCTTCCAACTCCAGGGGAATTTTATCCGCATAGTCTTCGCCATATCCTTTTGCTATCTACACCCTACACCCGAACAATTAGCGTTATACAGCTCTTCTCTCAAAACAATGTGACGCAGGATAAGGACTTGATGTGGTATATGAAAGGCACATCAATCATCCTTGAACCATGCGTGCTTAAAAGAATGATCGCGCATGATTTTACCCAAGTGGCCCAGCAGCGTCGGATACGCATGTTACATCCAGATGCCCACCCGAAAGTTTGTGTGTTCGTCCCTGGACTGCCAGCAGCCACTCTGATTGGCAGAATTCTTCATGATACTAGTGCTAGGCTCCTTGTGCCTGTAATACAGTCAATACCTCGGTGGGCGGGCCTAGATCCGGATGTTGGTGGCAAATGGGAGGTTGCTAAACGCAGGCAATAATTCAATCCAAAATAACCGCTATTTCAAAGCCTCAAGGCTGCTGTACCCACCAGTATTAACGTCGATGCAAGTGGGCATACCAACGCAAGTGAAACGCATCATGGCTACGATAACAAAAACGATATAGTGAGAGGCTGTGTTACACTAATATTCTGCAGTCTCGTGGTTTGGGTCTGTGATGGCATCAGCGACGGGGGGGGGGAAGTGGAACGTTCGTTTCCGTACATGTACGCAACAGCTCGAGCGCTCGACGCTCATTCATTGAGCACCGTTGGCAGACCGGCCAACTTCATTTTAACTCCTATTTCCAACAAGTAATCGAGGCACTGATTATGATTAATCTTCAGCCTGAATTCAAAATGTGTTGCGACTGACTTCTGTTTGAGTTTTCGCTTTCTGCCAATCGTCGCCTGATGGAGGAAGTTAGCACAGAAAACGAGATGATGGCCAATGACGGACCCCAGACATAGATACCGTGACGCAACACGAGAATACCAGCTGCCCTGGGATACTTCTCCATGGCCTCTTTCATGCTGTCCTTTAGGTCTTCTTCGTTAGGAGTATTGTCGATGATCGGGACCTCAAGTGTGTCAAGGTATGAAAGGGTCGAACCATTTCCGCCAATTCGGACGCCCTTGATCATCTTTCCGGGGATCAATGAAGGGAGAATAAAAGGCAAAAGCTCAATACCTCCTGCAAACACGATCAGTACGAAATGTTCGCAGCATACTCTCCCAACCCACTTGATGAGAAATTCTGAACATCTTCTCTTTCTCCCAGAGCAGTGTCGCCATCACCGCATTCTGAGAATGGGTGTGTATGCAGGAGCCAGCATTACGAATCGTGAAAGCATTCCAGAAGAGCGGGGTGCAGGCAGACTCTTTCAAGTTCAACTTTGGGCGACGAAGGAAAATCCTGTCGGTATGAGGAGAAGGCTCTGCCTGGGGATAAGGGAGAACGAATATGTGCGACGGCTCGATGCGCTCTTTCTGTACGCCTGAGGGGGCGATGTATACTTTATCGCTACCGAGGACTGATCAGCACGCGCAAGTCACAGCCGACAAGAAACAAACTGAGTGCGAATACAGATACCTCCACCAGTGCCCGTCACCCATCCCAATCTGTAGAAGGATGCGCATAGTTCTGATATAAGATTTGCAGGCTGACCATCGGTGATGCGATTCGTGATCAGTATCGCAGGTCGAATCAATGTTTAAGTGATGGCTCACATGCAGAGGATCGGTTGACGTTACAAGAGCATCTTCCTGTTCTGCGCTCGTAGACATTGTATTCGATGACTGGACAATTGGATCAACCCGGTCAAGCTTAAGTCGATAAGCTGGATCTGGAACCCTAACCCTACATAGTTCAATCAAGCCAAACAATTTCACCTCCTCTACAGCACGACACGATCTCGACATGTCCACAGCTCTCGGGCTGCTTCAGGCACATAACTGCCATACCTTGTTACTAATTTCGGGAGAGCTAGTCTACAACCTCTTCGACAAAATATAGAGGGCAGGATGGCATATTTTGACCCGGTCAAGGACATGGGGTATGAACCTGCTTCCTCCCCTTGGTCAGGAAAGCTAGTGCACACCGTTCAAACCAGTGAGTCTTGGCGCGCACCGCGAGTCCTTACACTCACTGTATTCATACCAAAGCATGCTATTTCGCACGTCGAGAATTCCAGGCTCAATTTAAGGTCCATGCACTTGATCACTTACATCACGATCGTTGATGCTACATGACCTTAATACACATCGAAAGACGACAGAGAGCTCGCGGGTGGACAGAACCGGATGCTCCAACGACTCTTGAAGCCGCAGGAAGCTTTGTATATTCTGCTCAGGAGTCAGTATTCAAGGATTCCTGGAGCGGCCCAGGATGCTGTCGGAATCCAGCAAGACGCACGCCAACCTCCAGATGTAAGTGTATAGTGGCCGGTTCGTCTTCCTCAATTCCTGACAATATCATATATTTACGCACGATTTCTGCACTATGATATCCTACAAGTTAATACGGCCAAAATCAGCCTTTCCCTCAGCACCGACGAGCGTGGCCAACGTCCGAGGTCAGACCACACGCGCAATACCTACTGCTCCGTCACCCCTTAGTTCGTACCCAGAGCCATGAAAAAGAAACACTACTTACAGCTGATAATCTTCATATCAATAGACCAGAATCGAGCGTTTTCACATAAGCGCGGCAAACAAATCTCTGTGCAACAATAGCTATTCAACGTTGCAACTCCAGAACAAGTACGTGTGGTAATAGATATGCCAGACTTGCAACGTGTATTGACGTATGGTATCGTCGCTGAGCTCCACGCTGAGTGAGTCTGAGTCCTGGCAGGAAATCGCGATGAAACTAAGCCAGATAATTTGAAGGCGGTGACTAGAATGAGTCATGTGTGTTGGGAACAAGGTACACTACAGAATTCAAACGCGCTATAATTGAGCACTGCCATGCAGGCCCGCACCATCCACCACTCTTCGTCCACTTGCAGATTGACGTCTGACCTAATGTTCGTCCTCAGCTCCTGAATTTCTTCAGGCTTGATGGAATGACCCTTAATCAATCCAACAATCCCTTCCAGCGAGTCGTCTCCTCCGCTACGCGTGAGAGACACGTGTGATTGGACCGCTGAGTGGACATCGCCTTTCCCCGCCTGATCATAGGCTTCGACAGCAATTTTGATGACGCGACGGGAGATGGACCCTGTCGGTGCAAGCAGGGACACTATCTCCATATAATGGTGGGTCTATTCGAAGTGTGGCAGTGCCGCGTCACACAAGGTGTGTCAATTCGCTGAATTCGAACCGCAAGCACATCAATTGATCTTTCTGAACTCTGCTCTATTTAGTCATGACAATCTGCGAGCTCAGATATAAGGGTGCGCACACCTGCTGAGGTATCTACACATGTTCAAGTCCGCATTCGAGGAACATAACTCACCAGTAAGCACCAAATGCTGTTTCAACGACGACACACAGTTTTGCATGTACCCACCTGCCCTGCGTGCCATGCTACTAATCTGGCATCAGTGAATCAATTGTGCATTCATTTCGACCAACACCCGGATCATTTGTATGTGAAGTTTGTCTAGATATTGCCCTCACTGTTCCTTCGGCAATTCCATGGTCCGTAATTATGATCAGCGCTAGAATCAAGTCAACGTGTTGGCCATGCTTCAAAGGTTGCGGTACGGGACAAAAAGGTACGTATTTCTTCGCGTGCGTTTCCCATCGCCGAGCTCAGTGATATCTTGTCAGCCACTGTTTGTTGCTCGCCGGCCAGAACGTGACAAGGTGAAACGAACACAGCAGCAGCAAACTCAATCGCACGGTCACACCCAGGCGTCATCATCACAAACTCAGCCTGCCACCAACTTGACCTCCGCGATACTACCTTCTGATTCAGGTACTAATACTACCACAGCAGTTGCAGCACCTACGCAGTCACGACCCCTCCCATTGTGGGCTCGTCTCGTATTTTTCCATTGTTGTGCATATCCCCCACATGCCAATGGGCGTTAATACTGCGACATGCGGACAACAATTATATCGTCGCTTCTAAGTAGTTCTCTTGCAGTCTCATCTCTCTTTTTCATTTATTTTACCACTCCATCAATCTTATTCCCTCGTCTGTGAGACTCATGTACTGCACCGATGCTAACCGTTGTGAGAGAAATTTTATACTCAGGAGGATGAAAGTTCGGGATCACTCTGAGCATAGACTGGGCCCTGACTCAAGCTACCAGTCTTTCAGGTGATTTTACAGAATTCACTATCGGACGAGCAAGATTTATGTCTCTATCCAATGTTCATGACCCCGCGATCAAGGATTCGTTGAGGGTCCCGTTAGTTGGAATGCGTGTTTAGATGTACTCCGAGGGTAGACGCTTATCACTGTTTTTTTGGCGTTGCAGTCGTCAATACATGTTGCTACTACTCTCCCCAAGTCTGATGCAGTATTAGAGCGAAAAAGTTGAACTCATCGCGATATAGGATTTCTGTTGAACCATGGAGAGGTAAGAAGGAAGCGGCAAGACGTGACTGTAATCCAGAAGACTGTCAACTTTCACGCGAAGCGAAGCGACTTCGTCCTGAGGCGGTCGACAACCCTACCCCTCGTACTAATGATACGGGTATGCTGCACAACCTGCACACATCCAGAAATGTTGACGGCATCGAGTTCAAACACAGGCCGGAAGAAACATGTAGAGTGGAGAGGGAGTACGGCTCCCGTCGAACTTTGTCGCCAGCATAAAGTCCCTTACGTATAAGAAGATGCATATTCTTAGCACTGGTCACAGGCCCATGAGCGCTTTGTCCACACAGCCCTTAAGCTGTACAACAAACACAGGATGACAGATGCGGACGTAACTTAACAGACGCTTAAACGAAGGGATGCCCAACTTCCTCGACTCCAACCCAAACACCCATTGATCACTAGGGATTTGAGCACTGAATTTGTATAAACGGTGCGCCTCGTAAGTGATCTTGAGGCTCTTCTGCAGGTTAAGAATAACCGCTTGCTTACTACAGCAGCATCGGCCCATACCCACCAGGATATCTTGCACAAACAGCGCCGCAAGTCCTGTATATACAGTCCCGAAGTTGTCTTCTAGGTGAGGACTAGATTCCTGTAAGTAGGCTGTCTCGTGAGCAATGGCTTATGTGCTTCTGACAAGCGTTAACAAGAAGTAGGCCCCTGGACTCACCAATCACCATTGCCGTCTGATAACCCGATTTGGTTCAGAGATCTCGACAGACATCTCTCGCATAGATACTAGTCCCCAATCTGCAGTACATGGAACCCCCAGCGCCGACCATGTCATCCTCCACCAGAAAGACGCCAGCGACCACGCCACGTCAGACCATGCAAGGTCATACCAGCTGGGTAACAGGTGTCGTCCATCTGCCCAGCGGACGACGCATAATCACATGTTCATTGGACGGCTCACTCCGATTATGGGACCTAGAGAGCGGCGCACAGATAGGTGAGGACTGGAAAGATGAGAATGAACTAGGAATATCGTCCATGGCATTGTCTCCGAACCACAAGATAGTTGCAAGTGGAAGCACTGACAGGACAGTGAGGTTGTGGGATATCGAGACGAGGAAGGTGATATCCAAATGGACGGGACACACCCATGTTGTGTGTGCATTGTGCTGGAGTGCGGATGGTGAGCGAGTAGCGAGTGGATCCTGGGATGGGACGACAAGAGTCTGGGATGTCAAGAGCGGCAAAACTGTCCTGGAAATCAAAACCGGACACGAGTGGGCGAGGGCAGTGATGTACTCCCCTGATAACGAATACATTGCAACGGGCGGACACAACGAGGATGCAGTCAAAATCTGGGATGCGAAGACGGGCAAACTGACCACCACACTCAAACATGATAACTATGTTTGGAGCTTGACCTGGACGTCGGACGGAAAGAAGCTTATCTTCGGTTCATATGGCCCGATTAGGATATTCGACACAGCCACTTGGCAGCAGATTGCCATTCTTGAGGGTCATACAAACCGTGTCGGCGTCTTCTCCTTGTCTCCCCACAATCGCTTCCTTACAAGTGCATTAAATGATAAAACAGTGCGTCTATGGAATCTCGACACGAATCTCCCGATCGGACCACCCCTCCTGCATGAAGATTATGTGGAGTCCGCGACCCTTTCTGCTGATGGAAAAGTGCTAGTCACTGGTTGCCGAAACGGAAATGCGTACACATGGGACATTCATGCCATTCTCAAAGAAGCTGACCTTGAAGACCTCCTCCTGCCTATTTCTCATGTAAATCCCATGGTTTTTCGGTAAAACTATACTGATCTCCCACTTGCAGGTCCCAGCTCCAAAATCGTTAACGACCGTGTGTGACGAGTTTCTCAAAGCTTTTAAACCATTTTAAAGATATTCTAGAGAGATGCTATGCGACGTCCAACTGTTCATGCCCGCCGAATACCGCCAGGATTTTTCGATAGCGCCCAGGTGAGTCGTCTGCGTTTGTCGACCAGTTCTCATTCTGATCTTTGTACTCTCAGTCCTCCGCAGCACATGGTTCCCATCACCATTCCTCTTCTTCGAATCCGCGTGCGCTATTCAGCGGCTTTTCATCGCTATTTCGTCACTCTCACTCCAAGACTGACGGAGCAACCGAACTCCAGCATCGTTCAAGACCGTCCATCTTCTCTCATCGTGGCCCTCCTATCGTCGATGTTCCTACAGTACAAGACAGAAAGGTACGTATTTATTTGCGTATGTTTCCCATTGCCGTTGTTCAATTATTTATCTGCAGTCATTGGTTGTTGCTCCACGGCCGCGGCCGCGGCAGCAAGGCCAATTGCATGGCCAAACCCAGGCGTCATCATCACAAACTCAGCCTGCCACAGCCTCGACCTCCACGACACCTCCTGCTCCAGGTACTCATACTCCCACATCTGGTGCAGCAGCTGCGCAGTCACCACCTATCCCGTGGTGGGGTCGTCTCGTACTTTTCCTCTGTTGCGCATCTCCTCCACATGCTAATGGGCATTAATACTGCAGTATGTGGTCAACTATCTTATCTTTGTTGCAGTCTTTAGATCTTTTGCTGCTCCATCAAGCTTGTTTCCTTGTTGTTATACTCATGCAATGCATCGCACTCGATAATGCTAACCGTTGCGAGTGAAACATTATATTCGAAGAGAATGAAAGCCCAGGACAAGCCCAGGCTCCTCCGTTCATCTATGGACATCCGCAGTACTGCATATTTAGGCGTCGGCGAGCTCGCTTGAACATAGCCGCATACCTCTGTGCTTATCATACCCCGACCCATTCAGAGTGAAAGCAACAGATGTGACGCAAAGTCTGATTGTATGACCTCGCGTAGTCAGTGTGGCCAAGGCCAGATTTCGGTGCGACCGAGAGGACGATGGGCTCGAGTGGTCTTAACGTCGGGCCGATTCTGCAGAAGATCCCTTCTCCGTCCATTATAGAAGAGGAGAGTATTAGTTAGTGCTGAGACCTCCGCGAATTTAAAGTAGGCCGAGGGTTACGTGTCGCCCAGGCCTACATATTCAAGTTAGTACTTTGTACACACTCGAGCATCTTCCCCTGGTAACATGGCGTGTGCCCGTGCGTTCCTTGCGTGACTTAGTCAGTGTGCCGAAACCAGCTTGCTGATTCTGCCACCACCTGGAGATAAGGAACAAGCAATGAAATGAAGTGTGAAAGATATATGTAAACAAAAAAGGGCACTAAGGTGTATAGACCAAAGTATATTTCGAGAGTATTTTGCCGTGGCGAGAGAAAAGAGGTGTAGTACGCCTAGGCTTCCAATCCAAGTGCCGAGACTGCCAGGAAGATATGGGACGCCAAATATCTTCTGTTTGAGTCTGCCCATCCCACAAGATTGATAATGTGTGCGGCCGTTCTTCGCGGCGCAGAGCTGCAGTGGATTTTAAGTACGATGTTCGCAGACAAATCAAATGAAACCTACCACGAGAACACGCATCGTCGAATTCTGGCCTGCCATTTTTCACAAAACTCTTGTGGTTCCTAACGTCCCAGAACCCATACCGTGACACGGGACAAGGTTCGATCAGCTATCACGGTTTAGATAAGTGATAGTGTTGCAAAATGAACAATCCGAAGCTTACCCCTTCAACCAAATCAACGATCAATGGATGAAGGTCTTTAAATGCAGGGAACAAATTGTGAGAGTAGCAGCGAAAGAAAGCATAATCAAATATGTCCTCTTCCGTATAAAAGAGCGGCTGAGAAGATGGTATCAGTAAGATAGCAGCGAAGCAAGACAGGAAACGTGCCTTATGGTGCGACGAAACAAGTTCGTACACCAGACATCCAAATGCCCACCAGTCCACGGGTGGCCCGTTGGAAGCTTACTAGTCCAGAAGCAAATTATCATCCGATTCAAACAACCATCGCTAGCCTGATCATCCGTGAAATTAATTTACTCAACTGTCATCCAGATTGCTTCTGTGGTCCAGAAGTCCCGCAACTCCGTTCCAGTTCTTCTTCTTCGTTCCTAAGGCGCGCTGTGGCAGCATCCAGCATCCAGCATCCAGCACCCTTTTCCGCCGTTCTTCCATGGTATCATTGCCTCGAAGGCCTGTGCCACGTAGGACATGAATGAGAGCCTCCACTTCTTTGTCCGACGACGGCTGATAGATATCGCTTGAATCAGAAAGATGATGCGTTCCTGCTCCTGCTGCAGCCTCAAAATCTGCAACCTCGCGATTAAGCTGAGAATTCGGCTCTTTAAACTAACAGCATGGACCGTCATGTGAATAGGACATTAGAAGGTAGCTGTGACTCACGTCATTATCATGGTCGCCCCATACATTGTGCGCCAGTTCATGGCATAACACGCGTCTGACCTCCAAGTACGGGCGAAACCCATCATATGTGTCAAGCCGAATTCGCAGCTTGATGGTACCTCCACTCCCGACATTAAGACCTAGAAGCCCAGGATGCTCATGTGGAGCAAGCTCGGTAAGCAAGCCAACGGAGAAACGATGCTTCTGCATGATATGTAAGACTGCAGGATCTTTGGAAAGCGTCGTGAGACACTCCGTCGCTGTTTCAGGTCGCGGGAGATGAGTGAGCGGCTCTATGCGATGATTCATAGTGATGTGCAAAGCCCGGCTTCAGGCCGTGGGCCGAGCCAAGCCGAGCCCATTTAGGCCGGGCCAAGCCGAGCCTTGAGGACGGCCCATAAGGGCTCAAGGCCCGGCTTGAGGTATCTGTAAGCCTGAGCCTGGCCCTCGAGCCACGGCTTTCAATGGGAGTAACACTGGCAGATCATAGATGAGTATTTGAGTACTTCTGCTCGTTTGCGTGCATCTGCATTTGTTCGTATGTAATTCTGCGTGTTCTCACTTACACATACTCATTTATAAATCGTTGCACGTGACACTTTGTTTGTTCGGAACGGGTCATTCATGCTTGTATCCTGTTCATTCACCACTCGTATCTTCACACTCGTGCTCATATTGCACTCATTCCAGCTTGTGTACACCTGTTCTGACTTGTCCCTCGTCGTTCTCATTCATCTGGGCTTGCCTGGCCTCATTTTGGTTCATTATGGCTTGTCCCTCGGCATTCTCATCCATCTAGACTTACCTGCACTCGTCTGGACTCTTCTGCATTCGTCTGCATTCGTCTGGACTTGCCTGAACTCGTTTTGACTTGCCTCTATTCATCTGGGCCTGCCTGCACTTGTTTGGACTCGTCTGCATTCGCTTGTACTTGCCTGCACTCATTCTGCATTCGTTTGGACTCATCTGCATTCGCTTGGACTTGCCTGAACTCATTTGGACTTGACTTGGCTTGTCTGTATTCGTCTGGGCTTGTCTGCAAACGTTTGGACTTGACTTGGCTTGTCTGCATTCATCTGGACTCGCCTGCAATCGTTTGGACTTGCCTGCATTCATTTGCGCTTGCCTGCACTCGTTTGGACTCGTCTGCATTCATCTGCATTCGTCTGGACTTGTCTGCGTTCGTTTGGACTTGCCCTGGCTTGTCTGTATTCGTCTGGGCTTGTCTGCACTCGTTTGCACTTGCATGCATTCATCTGGACTTGCATGCACTCGTTTGGACTCATTTTCATGTACGTTGGTGCCCATGCATTTTCGACAGCCGTTAATGATATCACACAATTTTTCGCATAGCAAGCCGCGGCCTAAGCCTAGGCCGAGCCGAGCCTAGCCTGAGCCGTCAAGGAAGGCTCGGCCTGCAATCTCAGTGAGCCTGAGCCCCATCAAGCCGAGCCGTGGCCCCGGCTTTTGAGCCGGGCCGGGCCGTGCACATCACTAGCGATGAAAGCGGTACTGGTGAGACGAGGTAGATGATGACCCTGTCGAACGAAGCTAACTGCCTCTCATCATGATTGACAGTCTTGACGATAAGAACGTATGCCAGGACATACCTTTACCTGCGGCTTCAGTGCCCTGTCCCCAAGAATTTGCTCTTTCTTCTGATGTGCCGCGTCAGCTGCATTCAGCTGTCCGAGTTCTTCTGCTGTCGAGCCAAGCATCTGCACTTTGATGCCATTGCGAAGACCAGGTTGCGCAATGGTGGGTTCTGGATCGGGGTCATCCTGTCGATGCTGGATTTTCTTCCCTCTATGAATGAGTTTCTGTAATGATGGTGGGACAGAAGTTAGGGCCTCGAGGCGGGAGTGGAGAGCAGAGACGGGTGCGTTGTTTGAGAGGGAAACAGTATGTGATATTCCACGGAAGGAGATGGTCAGCATGATATCTTCATGAGACATAGTTTCCGTTGGCTGTCTGGTGATAGTTGCTGGCTATCTTATAAGTTGTGCAGCATTCATCAGGAAAAAACAAATATTGGTGTAGTTCCAGTGACAACTACATATTGCTACATAGTCACTGTAGTGATATGTAGTTAAATACGGGGCTATGTAGAGCTACGGGAGGCGCTGGGAGTAGTTGTATTCACTGTAGTAGCCAATAGTCCTATTCTAAATCAATCTAAGTACTCGTAGTGGACATACAAAAAGTCTCGAGGTCAATGAATGGATTTAAGTAAACTTGAAATTCACTCGCCAACTCATACACATTCGCGCTCGTCCACGTAGGATTGACCAATCAACCCATCTTGGGTATGAGGTGACATGGACGAATAATCTCGTCAACATGAATCACGGCCGAATTCCGTCGCAAGTGACGAGTTGAACGAGAGATTAGATGCAGACCAGACGACTCGTCTGGCTCTCTGAACGGGGTAAACCATTCAACGTATGCAAGGGGTCGCGGGTATGCGCCAAATTGACGAGGCAGCGTGAACAACACACGGACCTGCGCAACTCGGACAGCGGCTATAATTTAGATATTGTCATTGTAATACTTCGTAAAATGGAAGCCATTGACATACCATTCAGCGTGAGTAGTGCCTTCGATGCTTGGACGCCATCACTGCTAACCAGTGCCATGTCAAATCGATTGGGGGAACCTGGCTTCCGTCCAGAAGACGAAGGAAGCACTTCAGGCGTCGCCCTGACCCGTAGGCACTTGGGCAACTCGGACACACGAGGGTCGGGGGGAAGGATGATGACTACTTGTCGGAAAGTGTCAAAACGATCTTGGGGACCAGGCACAATGCTATGATTGTGCGGCAAATGCTTCTGTAAAAATAATGTGAGAGCGGGCAGGAAATCAACGGCGCCATGCATGGTTTCGAGATGTTGAACAGATCGACGAGGATGTGGGGCAGTCTTCGCCAGAACATGAATGATATCCTGCGAAACAACAGGCACCACATCAAAGCCCTCGTTTTCAGCATCAGAGTCGGAATCATACTCAGATTCCCGGTCTGTCCGGCGAGCGGCACGCTCAGCCACCCATTCGAGGTAAATGGATTGGCAGAAGACTGCCTCCTGGCGTTGAAGCCATAACGCCATCTGTTCCTCGTAGTCGCGCTTGTTACTTGCGCGGTAAGCCTCTTTAGCGAAGTCGATGTGGAGGCGCTCGGGAAGTTCGGTGTTGAATCCATCTGCAGCTCCGAATAGTTTGATTGACTGTACGTAGTGGGACAATTGATGTAGCTTTGGAATGTTGAAGTGTTCACGCACTGCGAGCTCCTGTAACACATCCTTGTGAGCGTGAAAAACGGTTGAGGGCGTTCTCCAGACAGTCCAGGGATTCGCTCGTATGTGTATGAAGTCGTGC